TAGTATACTTTTAAATCCTTAATTTTATAAAGGTTATTTAAATAAGTATGCTAAAACACTATTACTAGCTACATGTTTTAATTTACAGCCTAAACCTTATTATATATACTTTAAAAAGCCTGCATAAATAAACATAGTTCCTTTTATTAAACTAGCTTAAATATTATATTCCTATTTTTTAAAAAATCTACTTTTTAATAAACTTTAATAGCCACGCGTGAGTTTGCCGGGATTACTATTTTTTTATTTATAAATAACGCCTTTAGTGCCTTTATCCTATTTAGTTTTAAAGTAATTATAAGCTATAATACCATGTTTAAATAGCCCTTAATTTTTACCTTATATTTTATAAAGTTTAATAAAAAGCTATATTTACCTAGTATATTTGCGTTTAATAGCATATTTATAACTAAATTATTTATTAAATACGCTTTTATACTTACTTTTATATACACCTTTTTTTTTATTACACTTTGCTAAAAAGTATATTAAAAGTGTTATAAACTTAGTACTAGTAAAACTATTTTTAATTTTTTTAATTAATACTAGTATATAATATTAGATTTTTACTCCTAAAGCATGCTTTTTTAAAAACTTATAATTTATAATTATTAAAGTGCATTTTAAATTAAAATATACTATTATAATATGCTGCTTAATATAAGCTTTTACTATTATATACTTTTATAAATAAAAATATATTTTTAAGTTAGTTTTAATAGCTAGTAGTATAATAAAGTAAATCACGGGTAATATTATATTTTTTTACTTGTTTTTTTTTTAATAAAGCTTTCTTATATTTAGGTAAATACTTATAAAGCGTGTTATTTAATAGCATTCCTATAAAATAATACTAGTAGTTTATAATATTTATTAATTATATTAAAGCCGGTGCGGGATTCTTGCAATATGCTTTATTTTAATAATTATAATATAATTTTATATTTATTAATTATACTAAAACTAGTGCGGGATTATTATAATATGCTTTATTTTAATAGTTATAACACGGCTTTATATTATAAATAACTTTGCTATTTAGTTTTATATTACTATAATACTTATAAATAACTTTGCAGCCTTGCTTTATATTATTATAATATACCTAACTATTTTATGCTGTGTAGCTATAATATACCTGCTTAAAAATATTTTTTTATAAATTACTTTACTATTTTATGGCGCGCTATAATATACTTTATATAATAAAAATTTAGTCTTAGCGTACGCTTTATTTTATATATACTTATAGTATTTTTTTAAAAACTTATCCAGTGCTACACCTTTTTTATTATAATATACTTTTTAATATTACTAGTTATATTTTTATGCTGGCGGCGGTTAATAACCGCCCTGGTTTTAATTAATTATATAAACTTGTTTTTTTTATAATTATATATTTATATTTATAGGGGGCTATAGCTTAGTATAAATACATTATTTTTATTTTTTTATTTTAGTTATTATTATTATAAAAATTTTTATAAGCTATTATATTCTTGCATGTTTTATAAGGCCTGTTATTAATTATTAAATTACTATACCTAGGTGCTTAAAAATAGGGAGGATTAAGTTATTTAGGGCGCCTAGGGTTAGTTATACCATGGGTAATATAATAAACACCCTTAGGATGGTTAGTTATACTAACACTTTATAAAATACTATTTAAATTATTTAAAAGGGCTATAAATTAAATTAAAATCTTAAAATAATAAGATTATTTTATATTATATTAATGCTATTATTTTAAAAAAAGTATTAGTAATTTAATATCTTGGGAATTAGTTAAACTAATTTATTTACTTTTATTTTAAGATTTTTATAAATTACTTTATTATAGACCCCTTTTATAATTTATTTATTATTACTTATAGTAAAGTATTTAAACCTTTTTAAGCGTGTAAGACTATTAAAAAATTTATAATACTTTTTTTATATTACTTTAAAAGTAATAATATTATATTAATATACTGTGTTACTAACACGTGGTTATATATATTATTTAAGGTATAGTATATTATGTTAAGCCTCTTGCAAGCTTAGCTAAATAATATTTAAAACCTTATTTTTATAACTATGTACTAGTTTAATATATCCTATAAATAAATAAGCCCGCGATATATAATATTAATTAATTTATTATTATACTAAGCCAAGGCTTCTTTTTTAAAACATGTTTTAATATTATATGCTAGTTACTAGATAAACCTTATTTTTACTATTATTTAAAGTTGTTTTATAAATAGGTATACTAATTAATAATAAGTAAATTTATTTTTATTTATTATATTACTAAAGCCATATTTAGCTAGCATATTTAAAAAAAAGAATTTTATATTAATAGCCTTTTATTTAGGATTCTAGGGCTACTTATTTTTATTTTTTAAGTAATATTATTTACTTTTATATTTATTAAAATTCCTGTCACGCCTGTTACTATTATTATTATTATATTAATTATTATTATCTAGTAACAAGTTATTATTATTATTTAGGTTACCTTTTGGTCTTTTTTAGTATTTTTTTAGGTGTATTACTCTTGCGCCTTCTATTCTTTTTACTATAAATAATCTAACCTAGCCTGCTTTTTATAATAAGCTTTTTTATTTTCCAGCCTTTATTCACGTTATTATTTAGTTTCTTTTTTAATAAAACAGGGTAAAATACCTTTTAGCATGCAAGTAATTATATTATTAATTATTTTTTATAACACTAGAGTTTAGGTATTTATAAAAACTATAATATTATTTATAGGTTATTATAATATTTATTAGTTAGTGGCTTGCTTCCTTAAATTCCTATTATTTTTAGCTTTTATTCTTGCTTCCCTTTTTTTTAACATGTACTTTTTAAAATACTTTAAAGGTTGCCTTATTTTTATATATTTTAAATAAGTAAATAGCTTAGTAAAAAATAATTTAATAAGGGGTTTATATATGCTTTATAATAAAAAATTTTAAGATTTTAATTAAAAGGCAGTAGCTACGTTAGTTAGTTTAGTTTAATTTAAAAAAAGGATTTACTTATTAGCTAGTTTATTATAGGCTAAAAAAATAATTTATTTAGCTTGCTTAATAATAGTGCTAATATTATTACCTAAATTAAGGTAAAAATATAAAGGTGGTACTAATTTTAAATAAAACCTTATTTAAAAATTAATTAATTATAAATATGCAATAATAATATTATTTAGTATTTTTAGTAAATATAAGTAATTAGCTTTATATTTTAGGTTATTATTTTTTTTAATAGCTGCGGTGGCCTGCTCCTAATTTTATAATTTAAAAGTTATATTAATAAAAAATAGTATAGGGCTATAAAATAATATATAATAAGGTTTTAAAGTTTAAGCTTAAGGCCTTTATATTAATAATATAAAAAAGAAAGTTAGTAGTATTTACTATATTAGTAGTATTAAAAATAGTAATAAAAATAAAAATAATAGCTTTAATAAAGTTAAAGGTCCGGAAAACATAAAAAAAAATAATTTAATAATTAAAGTAATATTTTTTAGGGCCTCCTGTACAGGAAGGTTAAAAAAAATAGTTTAATAATTATTAATAAAAAAGGTGGTTTAATAGCCACTAGTTTAGTAACTTTTAGCGCTTTTTATACAGGGAGGTTAAGTATTTTTTACTTTTATAATATACTAGTTTTTATAAAATAATAATTTTATAAAACCTTCTTAAATGCCTTTATAAATAATTTTAAAGTAATATTAAAGGTTCTTGTATTGCCTATAGTCTAGTTTAATAAAAAAAATAAAGGTATAGCATGTTATTTTTATAATTTATACTTAGTAGTCTTTTTTAGTAAAGGTGCAAAAGTAGCAAGAAATTTAATTTTTTTTTATATTAATATAGTAATATTTAACACCTGTTTGTGTTTTATTTTAATAAACCTTTTTAATTAAATTACGTGTTTAACTAAGTCCGCCTTATATATAGTATTATTTTTTAAGTTTTGTGTTATAAGATGCTGTTATAACTTTTAAAATTTTATATTTTAAATTACCATGCTTTATTATTTTTAATATTATAATATAAATTATATAATTTAGGCTATAATACAGGCTATATAATTATATATTATTTTTAGCAGGTATGTATTATAATTTATTAATATTACTTTATAAAAAAAAGCTAATTATTAGTTAGACGCAAGAAAAAAAGACAGGGATATAAGATAATTTATAAAAAATAAAAGTAAATAAAAAGTATTTATAGTTTTTTAATTATAGTTTAGGAGTTTATAATATTTAATAAGTTTAAATAAAAATTAGTAAATAGGTATTAAAGTTAAAGTTAGTAAATACTTTTTATTAAAAATAACTACTTAATAATAATAAATAGCATAAGTTATTAATTACTGGAAATATTTCTTAATAGCTAGTTAAAGTAATTACCTAACTTTATAATAAAAAAAAAAATTAAAACCCTGTCCCTTGGGGACATGCTACTATTTATAATAATAAATTATACTATATATAAATATAAAAAGTCTTAAATTTTACTAAATCCCGCAAAGCGGGCGAAGTACTTAAAAAGGTGGTAACGCACGGCAGAACCACGGTACACGAAGTGTGGCAGCAATCGCTGTCACACTTTATAATAATAATATTTAATATTTTAAATATTCTTACTTATTTTAAAAATATTAAAAAAATATTTATAATTTTAAGCATGTTATTATAAGGTAATCCAGGCGGTATTTATATTAAAAATAATTATTTTTAAATACTAGGTGTTAAAAAAGTATACTATAATAAAATTAAAGTAATATATATAAAATTAGTAAAGAAGTTTAAAAGCAAAGTTTTCTATTTTATTAACTTTATAAATATTAAGAGATTTTAAGGGTAAAAGCCTTAGTAGTAAAAAAGGTAATATTAGCTATAGTAGTGTTTTATTAACTAACAAGCTTTTTTATAGGTTTATAATTACTAGCTAAAACACGGCGCTAAACTTCTTTAGGCCATTTTTATCAAAAAGTCATCCGATTTACTTGGTCGCGCTAAGAAAGTCATCTGGTTCATTAGGCGTCCTCCGAATGGGGATGGGTAGAGGGTGCTTATACCTCGTGTTCAAAGGCCAGCTGGCAAAGCTCGCTTGAAGCACGCCCGTGACATCAAAATCGACGACCCAGAGAGTCCCCAACCGATCGACGGGGAAGTTCTCTCGGTAAATATCGCCGTAGTAGCATAATAGTGCCTCATCGCTGAAGTCAACGGTACCGTGATCCTGGCCGGTCCCACAGTTGAGAATCCGAAGAACCTATGGATATCGATGTGCTCCATTACAAAGTACGCGGTTGAGCTATGCTTTGGGAGCCAGGCATGGAAGAGTTCCAGGATGCGGATGGCCGACTGGGACTTTGCGTTGATGCGAGAGTGAAAGAACCAGCTGAGCATGGGCTTCGGCCATTTTGACACTGTTATACTTGATGAAGAAGATCTTCCCATGCGCAGTAGTGTATGTTAGATGATTAGCATCGAGACCTTTCTGGCGGCACAGTGCAACGACTTGGTCTTTAGAGGGAAGATCCGGGACACCGGGGTTAAAGATTTCCTTGCCAGTGACAATCATGTTGATGAAGTTGAAGCAGAGCAAGCCTGACAGGCTGATTCTCGGATTCCTCAGCCAAGCCAATGCCTAGATGACGGTACCGTGGTTAGAGACTCGGCTCGGAGGACAGCACATCCATCAAGAGAGGACCGTGCTTGTTTCGCTGGGTAGAAGCTTATTCTCGGTGGAGAAAGGGAAAGAGCCTGGCGGGGACGGGGACCAAGTCAACGGCCTCAGGGTCAGCACTTTGTTCAACAGAGCTGCCCGTACCAAGTTACCAACAGAATTGTGCCGCCTCAACTAGTTGAGGCGGCTATGCTAGGCTACGATATTACAATGTGTATAGTAGAGAAGGATTATTATCGTCTATTGCCTATTGCTATTTACGCCTTCCATGCATGCTCCAAAGTCAACCCCGGATGCAAAACAGGCCAAACGCCGCCCCAAGTACAGACCAAGACTCCGTAAAAATACTCATGATCGCGCCTGGCTCGAACGTGCTGTTCTGCCCCCTCGACTGCGAGGCGGTGCCTCTACTTCCGGACTGCTCAGCGGCTGGTGTATGTGCTCTCGTCGACCACGGTGTCCGCCGCGAACACGTTCGACCGAGTCGCGGAGAAGCCGCTCTGCGTCTTGGTCCAGCTCCATCTCGATTGTTTCATCGACGGTGGTGTTCGTAGAACCATGGCCGGTTGGGACACCACCCGCCACCTCGTCCGTCCATTCTTCTGTGAACGAGTCGTCTGGAGCTACTCGTCGTCGAGACGCCCTGCCTTTGCCCTTGTCGCGCGATCGCGTTATGTTCTTGACGGGCCTAGAGCCGTCTTCCGATGCAGCTTCGGTCTCGTGGGTTTCCAACGCCCATATCTCCAGCGCCCGTGATAGGAGTGTACCCGCAACGCCCGCCCCACCAGCGGCATCACCGCCCCCGCTGGCCCCTAGTACACGCACCGCCTCGTGCAGGGTTGTGACGGCGTCGAGGGTGCGGTTCATTTCCAAAAGAACGAGTCCACGCGCAGTATACAATGAGCCAATCAACCCACGTTCCTCGTAGCCGCTCACACCGGACGAAGCTACTCCAGAGGCATTGCCTCCGCTTCCGCCCAGAAACGGGCTGTATCCAAGGCTTGCACCACCGGACCCAATGCGCAGACACTCGTCAAACTCGTCCAATGCTTCGGGGTATTTGCCCAAACGCCGCAGAGCGTGACCAAGGTTAGATCGCGTTGCAACCCACGCGCCCGGCTCGCATCGAAGGGACGTCGATAGATTCAATGCTTGGCGGAAAAGATCAATCGCCTCCTCAAGATGGCTCTGGTGGTAGAGTACAACACCAAGTTCGTTCAAGACTAAGGGATCTCCTCCCAAGGGAGACACTTCGGACGACGGTAACGAGGGTATTGACGGAACGGTGCCGGCAGCTGTCCCTGTGGACATTGCATAGGCGGCGCAAAGATACTCTTGCGCAAGAGCCATGTTATTCAGCGCCAGGTGCTGCATGCCAAGGAACAACTGAGGCAAGTGACTGCCTTGGAATAGTCGCGCAGCCGTACTGTACGCGGCAATAGCCTGGTCATGCTCTCCTTCGGCTGCGAATGTGTGGGCGAAGCCGATCCATGCGGGTGCAGAATGTGGATCCAACAAGGACGCTTTGGAAAAGAAGCGCCGGGCTTCTGCGATCTTCGAGACGGATAGGTAGTAGACTCCAATAGCTAGGTAGGTGTACGATTCTTCAGGCGAGTGGTCAGCAAGTGTATGTGACAGTAGAAATAGAGCATTTGTTGCCCCTGTTTCGTAGAGGCAGGCCAAGTGCAGAGGATATACAGCGGGAGAGTGTCCGAGTTGGTTCTGGCCTGCGCTCGTCTGTGCCGACAAAGAGGACCGCGATGTGGAAAGAATCGAAGACGTCAGCTCCAGCGCCTCTGCAAATCGACATTGCGTGTAGAGAGCTTCCGCCCGAGAAAGGAGTATGTCCGGATTCTCGGCCAATTTGTAGTGAGTGGATAAGGTTTCCGTAGCATCGGTGAGGACGGCTGGGGACGAGTATTTCGACAAACGAGTGGTATACAGCATTTTCGTGAAGTCCGCAGCTTCTTGCGAGATTGGAGGGTCGGCACCTGTAATTGAGTCAAAGTCCAGCGATTCCAAGAACTCAAGCTCCTCCGCCGGCGACATAAGCGAGTTCTTCATGAGCTGGTCGAAAGCTTCGAAGCACTGCACGTCGATCCGCACCGCATCCTTGTAACAGTCGCGCGCTCGATCGAAAGCATTCTGCTTTGCGAAACAAAGACCTCGAAGGTAGCACATGCCCGCCTCATATCGGATGTTCCCAGCGTCCTCGCGATCCCGATCGTCATGACGTGACTTTGCATTGCGGAGTGTTATTCGGCTCTGCCCATTCAGGTGTTGAAGCTTGCGGCGGCTATTATTACTGCGGAAAAGGTGGGTTGGGTTCTGGTCGCCGAGCACCGACAGGGCCTGCTCGTACTGGCTTTGTTTGATGTAGCAGTGCGCAGCGAGGTAGCGACAGGCCGTACTCCGGGATACGAGGTCTTGACGGGAAAGGAGGGCTAGGGCTCGCGTGTAGTTGTTGTTCGAGAAATGGACTTCGGCCAGCCAAAGGGCATCCTCGTCACTATCTAATGCGATGTGGTTAATCGGTTGCCGGGGCGCGGAGGCCGGGGAGATAGCTCACTTGTCAACGCAAGGACTTTGTCTCCGATGAATATCGCGGCGTCATACTGGCCACGAACTTTCGCCTGTTGTCGCCAGACTCGCAGAAAGTTCTCCATAACCGGCACCTATCTGAAGAAGTTGGGTTGGCGATTGACGAGGTTCGCGAGATTGAGCGGCATGAGCGAGCGCGAGCGTGTAAACAATAGAGTTTCCCAACGCAAAGCTGCTGGTAAATTGGGGAAAGCAGACACGATGGTCCTACACCATATGCTTGCGCGACGGCAGCAGAAGGAGGGAATCCAGTTGAATGCTGCAATTAGGCCGTCACCTCGTCGCTCGGTGTTATCGGTCATCGATGTTGATTCCCCGCGTCTCTGGTCGCTGCTTTTTTCGGAGAGGCACGTGACATCATTGAGCTGCGTCTCACCACGAAGATTCCAGCAGATCATTACATATTAAAATAATGCTTGAGTACAGTTATAGAGTAGCTGCAGCATATAATCCTATGCGGAGGTAGACAAATCTCTGATCTAGTAAATCTCTCTATACTTAGGATCGCCACATCACATGACGCAGCTGCCGGAGAGACAATCGCCAGCCCGCCATATCGCATCGCATCTTCAGCTCCTTCCAACAACCACAACCTCGCCCTACCTTAACTAAGTCACACCAGCCAATACCGCCGCCATGTCCGAGCGAAAAGTCCTGTAAGTGCCGCTTTCCCTTTACTCATCATCCTGAAAAGAATGACCCCCTAACGCCCGCAGAACGAAATACTACCCCCCCGACTTCGACCCGTCGGCGATAACCCGCACACCCAAGCACCTCCGCTCCACCGGCCCAAAGGTCATAACCGTCCGGCTGATGGCCCCCTTCTCGATGAAATGCACCTCCTGCGGCGAATACATCTACCGCGGACGCAAGTTCAACGCACGGAAAGAAACGACGGAGGAAAAGTACTTCTCGATCCCGATCTACCGCTTCTACATCCGCTGCACGCGATGCAGCGGCGAAATCACGTTCCTTACGGACCCCAAGAACATGGATTACCGCGCGGAGAAGGGCGCGAAGAGGAACTTTGAGCCGTGGCGCGATTCGAAGGCGGATAATGCGGACGAGACAGAGCAGGAGGTTCTCGATCGGTTGGAGCGCGAGGAGGGTGAGGAGCAGGAGCAGCTAGAGCGCGATAAGATGGCGGAGCTGGAGGAAAAGATGCTGGATTCGAAGAGGGAGATGGCGATTGCGGATGCGTTGGATGAAATTCGGACAAGGAATGCAAGGATCGAGAGGAATGAGGCGCTGGGGGATGAAGCGGCGCTAGCACATGTGCAGGACCAGGTTGATGAGGAGGCGCTGAAGGCTCAGAGGGAGGATGAGGAGGCGGCGAGGAAGGCGTTTATGACGGAAACGGGTGAGAAGGTCAAGAGGTTGGTGGAGGATGAGTCGACGCCGGAGCAGACTCCGGTTCCAGCGCCGCCTCCATCTTTCGCTCGTGTCAAGAAGGCGAAGAAGCCATTGCCGAACAGCCTGGGCATTAAGAAGAAGGCTAAGCCTTCGCTGGTATGACATTCATGATCTCACTACTCTGATTACTGGCGTTCGCACTGGGCATGGTTAGGCATTTTCGCGGGAGCAGCGTATTAAAGTCAATCTGATATTATGATTATTCAACCATACCATACATATCATGCTGAGGCAGTTCAAAAGAAAATGTAAGACACAAAAAAGACACGTCAATGAGCTTCATGGCCCCATAACATTACCCCAAGCGCCTCGCTAGAAAGCTGAGTAACATTTCGAAAACCCTTCCTTAGAAACAACAATCTGCACTGCAAGCCCATGCCATGACCCAAGAACAGAACGCCAATTGAACAATGGAGAAGAGACGACAAGAGACAACGACAAGTTAGAGGTACGGCATCCACAAAGCGTCACCACTAGCCAGATGCTGCGGGTTGACAGCCTTCGAGATAAGATCAATGGTGGTCTGGTTCGCGGGCAGGTTGCCTTCCGGTGGGCTGGCAAGGCTGACGGCGCGGTTGACGATGATATCGCTGTTGTTGTAGACCAGGTCCCGGAGTTGCTGTGGGGAAAGGACACGGTCGCGGTGGTGGGTGGTAGCCCAGAACATCATCTCATCGCGGACGAAAATGCTGAGCTGCTGCTCTAGCTCGTGGCGTGGCTCCGTCAGGCAGCGAGCAATGGCCATGATCGCGCAGGCAAATAGACCTTCCACAGCAATAGGTCCCATCAGCGTCTGGATATTGGGGGTAAGGCGGAAAGGCACCTGCTCCGGGTTGAAGAAGAAGGCCTTGTTCGGGTTGATGATGGGAATGAGCTCAGAGCCCCAGATGTCACCTGTCGCGCGCGAGATCATGATCTTGTTCGGATACCGGTTGCCCATGTGCATCATGTAGGTCATGAATGCAACGGCGGCGTATTGATAAGCAAACTGGCGGCGGAAGAGCCAGAATTCCGAGAAGTTGGGATAGATCTTCTGGAAGTAGTCCAGCACCATTGTCGAAGGAACCCATTTCTCTTGGATAGCCGTGAGCATCTCGGTCTTGAGAACCTGCTGCTGTTCGGCAGTGCGCTGAGAACCGTTAGTTGCTGTCGATTGCGAAGAAAGAAATCTACTTACGCTCTGTTTTGTCTCTGCCAAAGCCCTCATCTTCTCCATTGTGAACAGAACAGGCTCATCTTTATTAATGCCAATGCGTCGGCAGTAATCCTCGTAGATGCCCTGCATGGAAATGTACGACGGATCGTCACGAACCAAGCGAATGTGAGGAGCCAAAGGAACCATGAGAGGAAGGTGGAAGTTGAGATTTCGCCGGCGGCTCTCCTTGCGCTTGCCAAGCACTCCATTGAAGATGCGAAACAGTTGCAGAATTCGCTCTTCGCGTCGGCAGTGTCGGGCGGCAGGGTGCTGGACAGCAAATGGATGAACACTTCCGTCATGACCGCGAATCTTCAATCGACGGTGGCAGACGCCAATGCCGCGCACCAGATCAATATCAGGCAAGAAGCGATCAATGCGAATAAAGTCTTGGTTCTTGTCTTTGTGTTGGAGATACTGTCCTGGAATCTCAACCTCGTCGAATTTGAGAAAACGGAATTCGCTGAGGTGAGGGGAGTAGGTCTCCAAGAACTGGATATGGGGTCGTCGATCGAGCTTCTCCTCGAACTTGTCACGCCAGCGGCGAAGCTTCTGGATGTATTCGTACATGGTTGGCTTCTTGACAACAAAGTCGGCTTCGAAGGACTTTCGGATATGAGGTGGGAGGATTGTCTCGGCGAAGCGGGTAATGTTGGCTTCCGTCGCCGCCGGCAGTTTGAAGTCCTGAGCGTACGATCCAGGCATGCGGCCAACATACGCCAAACCGTCATTCAGCAGCGCCACGATCAGGCGGTACGCGTCCTCATCGGGTGGGCACTTGAAGTTCTTTTGGATCTGATCAACCATGGTCTCCATCGACAAAGCAAGCAAGGGGAAGGCCGTCTTGAGACCCGACATTATCTCGTCAGAATACTCCCATGGTTTCTTCAAAGGTTCCTTTTCCGGTTCGGCTCCAGTATTCGGTACTTGTGGTGCTGGCTGATTTTGTTGTCCAGGAACTTCAAGATTTTGCTGCCCTTGCGGTTGCTGCTGCTGTTGTACCTGGTTTTGAGCCTGGCCTTGGGCAGCCGCGGGGGGTTGAGCGGTTCTCTGAGCGGGACTCTGGCCATTGACCTGCGGCTGGGCTTGTCCTTGCCCTTGCTGGGGTTGAGGTTGTGCCTGGCCTTGAGCCTGGCCTTGAGCCTGAAGTTGGCCCCCGGGCTGAGTCTGTGCAGGCTGCTGACCAGCTGGTCGGTTGGGAGAAGCCTGAGCTTGGGCAGAGGGGGGACCGTTTGCGGCTTGTGTCCCGTTTACAGCTGGGGTGGGCTTGTTTTGCGGGGAGGCTTGTGCTCGAGCACGGGCAAGCTTTTCTTGCTTCTGATCATGCTGCTTCTTGATGTTGAGCATGTCTTCACGGTTGGTACGAAGCATGAAGAACAAAGCCTGGGGGTAGAGCTTGGCAATCTTAACCAAGATGGCTTTGCACAGACGCGCCTCGCGGTGAGACAGACTTGTCAACAGCTGGGGAATAAAGGTAATCCAGTACCAAACAGGTGTATCACCCTTGAAGTTCTCAAACGCGATCGCCACTGCACCTTCTTCGTTATCCAAACTAAGCAACCAGAGGATCCGGCTGAGCAGCTTTCTAGACTTGGAATTCTTGTACAGGCCAGCAGCTTCCAGGTAACAGCTAACAGCGTTGCTTGCCAGTTCGTAGTCGGTGGGATCGCTCTTAAATCGCTGGTCGCTGTACTGACCCCACTCGGACCACGCCTTTGCCAATCTCAAATCATAATACAGAGCAACACCGAATGCCTCGTTCGCCTCATTGACGTGGTTCAGCTTTGCGAGGAACATGCCCTTGAGTGTATAGAATTCGGCCTTTTGTTGCGCACCGAAGTAGTTGAGGTTCGTGTTGTTGATCACATCCAGACCACTGTTGAGTTCCTTGGGGTTCTGGTAATGACATTTGGCTTGTTCACGCAACTTCAAGAACGCTTCTTGAATTTCAATATTCGGTAGGGTGTAGATTCGACTGAGCTGTGCAATACAAACCTCTGGCATTTGGTGCTTCCGGGAGACATGGGCAAAGCGGTTGATGATCCAGGCTGTTTCATGGTATCCACGGTATGCGTAAGAGTTGCTGGCGACATTATTGGTTTGGGGTGGCAGTAGTCCGAGATATGTCGCGTTGATCAACTGGAAGATGTGCTGTCTCCACGTAACCAGGTCTTGCCAAGCATTGATATCATCCCACAGGTTGGGAAGACGGTCTCGCCACGTTCCGAGCAGCAGCTTAAGCTCTGCAGACTTGGTGTCGAGGTTGCGCTCGTTGGTTTGCGACAGACTGGAACAGATGTGGCTCGCGTCATGAAGCTCAACAAGGAGTTGGAAGTGCTCGAGGATCGGAAGATGGGCGTTGGTTATGCTCTTAGGCAGTTGCAGCCACTTGCGGATGGAAAGCTGGATCGACTCGTCGCAGACACCGTTGAACTCTTGGATGTTCTCCTTCTTGTTGTGGAATTGCAAAAGCGCCATGAACGCCTGGAAGAAGGTTCGCCGAGGAGTCGGGGCGTCAGAGACAGACTTGACAAGAGATTCCAGCTGCTCGCGGTTGTTCTCGCTCTGCCAGTTTTCGATGTTCCTCCACGCGGCTTCCAGGAGGAGATCGTTCAGGTTCTCGTGCTTCGCAAAGTCGCTGAGAATATCCCACTGCTGCAGCTTCTGCGCACAGATGAGCCAGTGGTCTTCCCATAGGTAATATTCACCTTGGGAGAAGGAAATCGAGCCAGAACGAGCCTTGATCTGAGCGCTCTCATATAGTTGCTGTGACTTGTCCCACATACCCTGCTGTTCATACGAGAGAGCGGCATTCGTTTCAACAAACTTGCATCGTCTTCGCCAAGTGCCATAGAAAAAGTCATCTTCTTGCAAGCCAGCATATACCTCCACCAGAGCGTCAAGGTTGCTCTCACGAACTGTCGGAGTATCGATGATAGGGTTGATGGCCGATTCCTCCAAATAAGTGGCAGCGGTATACCAGGCGTCGTAGGTACGGCTTAGGTACTTCAGGACGTGTGGCGGAATCTTAAAACGGGGGCTTGCGCGGACAACACCTTCAAGCAGAGCTTGTACAACATTTGGTCGCTTGTCTACCTGTCGTTGGTGATACTCGCGGGTGACAAGGCTCACCATTCCCTTTTCGAGGTCGCTGCGATCTTCCCGCGATAGTGTCGACCAAAAAATGGGGAACAACGTAGTCCACAGTTTATAAGCCGTGATGGGGTCTGTGTGTTGGAGTTGAGTGAGCGGCTCCATCAAGTCACGAGCCTTAACCTCAGCAATTTCACCAAGGAACCGCTTGCGATCAGCAATGAATGCCTCCAGCTGATTGTCCACCATGAGTTCTGCCCGACGCGGATCCTTCTCAGCATTGCCGAACAAGAAGTTAAGCGGATACATCGTGAAGTCGTCGGGATGGAGACGAGCCGGTGCAGTCATATCCACACAGCCCATGATTAGATGAGATGCTTGTGCAAGCCAGAACGAGTCCGCGAGTGTATCCCAGTTCTGGCAAGTCAAAACATAGCTCAACCGGGAACTCGCGAGGCGTGTCAGACTTCGATCAAAGATGGTCATGAAGCGATTGCGCATTTCTACATCCTTGGCTCTCGTACCAATCAAGAACGCATGCTCGAGTCTAACGGTCAACTCAGTTCGCGTGATTTTGGAGTCTTCGTAGATCCGGATCACAAGGTCGAGGAACTTATGCAGCATCTCAGGGCTCTGTCGAGACTCGAAAAGCAGCATCTTGTGGAGGACTGCCGTCTTCTCTTTCAGGGTGGGCCATGATTCACTAGACTTGAAGATCCAAGTCTCAACCATGTCTAGTATCTTGGTGCAAAGTCCTTCGTTCGTAGATCGCTCAACAAGCTGGGCAAGGACACTCAAGAAGGGCCGGCGCTGCTCACCCAGGTGAGACATGCGGACGGAAACCAACTCGATAGACTTGAAGATAAGGTCGATGCCGATCTCATATTCCTGCGGGTCCGGGGCACCCTCCGGCTTAGTTCCATTCTGGCCATTGGCAGTAGAGGCACCGAGAACATGTTCCTTAGCCAGCTTCTGCGAGAAGACTTTCATGACCTGGGGGATATGAGCATCCATTTCGGCCGGTTTGCTCTTGGAGAGGGACCAGAGGATGTTTAGACTGGAGATATAGTTGTTGGCGGAGAGAGTTTCGGTCGCGATCGCAGAGAGATAAGTAACAAACTCGGAAGGCGAGTGTTCAACGTCCATTGCGTCTTCATCTTCCGGCTGATCGTCTGGGAGAGCACTAAGCACCCGTTGGACGGGAGGAGGAAGTTTGGGCTCAACATCCATGTCCACTTCAAGACCGTGCAGAGAATCTTGGACCTCGGGATTATCCGAACGGAGTGGCTTTTCGAAGAGCTTCTGTATGAGGGAGGCACGGGAAACAATCCAGTCGTCGGGCTTAGATGCGAGGAGAATACGCACGACCTGCAGAGCGTTCACTATCGGTGTGACATACTTCTCAATGGGCTTGTCTCCCCGGTCTTGAGTGAGAATAGGCTCAATGACTTTCTGGTAGAGCTCAATGTTCAGATCACCCCAGTAAGCTGCCGACATCAAATTTCGGAGCAATCCAACCGCCTTTTTCTGCATATCGCTAGTGTGTACTGGACCTTGCTGCTTGGAAGACTGAAGCTCGCGAAACCTGGCGGCCGGCACCTGGAACCTATCGCTGGAGGTGGTGATGAAAGTAATAAGGTATTTGATCAAAGCAGCGCGCTGGTCAGGAGGAACCATGTATTCAGAGCGCTCACGAGATCCAGGAGGGCCAAGAGCCGGCGACGGAGAGGACGTGCCTTGGGCGTCATCGAGTTTACGCTTTTTCGAGTTTGGTGACTCCATGATGCCGTTTTGAGTGGGTGTCGACATGCTCTTCACTCGCTTCTCTTCCCAGATCCAGATCAGATTGATGAGGTTGAGTGCAAGCCTCTTACTATCGTGCGACGGGTTGGTTGGGGGAGCAGCAATTTTAATCAGCGAAGGGATAATAAGAGGGACGAAGTGCTCCCTAGATTCATAGAACAGGTCTGGTTGGCGCACGAGGAACTGGAAGATACTCATGACTTGCTGAAGGTTCGCGGTTTCCTCGGCGAGAATACGGCGAGGCCATTTAGCCCAGAGCGGGTACCGCGTGTCCTGAGGTTGGGCGTTGTTGGCTGCAGCAAGGATCCTCGTGGGCAAAACGGGAGCAAGAACATCTAGAGCTTGAGTCACAAGAGCTTTGCCCTCGTTCTGATGAGCACGCAAAAGTGCGACATACACCTGCACAACGATCTTCATCGGAGTCTCGTAATGCGCGATGAAGTAACTGATGAGGACATAGGCGCCGTACTTGTTGATGATGTCTTCTAGGCGGATGTAGTTCCAGGCGAACTTGATGATGTCCTTTCGTGAATCCTGCACCGTGGCGTGATGGTATTTGATCAACAACGCGGACAGCTGAAGAAGCTCCATGCGCGAGTGGTCGACGCCCGCCTGGCTGGACTCCTCACTCAGGTCTGCAACCTGAGGCTTCCATAGACGGTTCTGGATAGACTCAGTCATACTCTTATCCATCAACTTCGGGCCATCAGGGGAGCTATTCCACGTCAGTTGGACGTCCATGGCGAAAATCGGGTTGACCAAATGGCGGAAGGCGTAGGTCTTCATCTTTTGAGAGCAGGACCGCTGCCCATAAAGATCAAGGCATCGCATAATAACGGAACGCCGGTAGTCAATAGATTCATTGGTGATGATGTGCGTATAGATGAATTTTGGGAAGGCAAGGCTACGCTTAAGATCGCCTGCGGACAACCCATCAATGACTTCGAAAAGAAAGTCGAGATCGTGCATCGACTCTGCCAGGTAGACGGTGACGATGTCCATGATCTGGTCTTCAGCTTGCTCAACACGTAAACGCTCGCTCGGGAGAAGTTTATCACCATGGAGCTTGCGCTGAAGATCGCGTGCAGAGGCGATGACCTTCGTTCGTAAGTCGGGATGGGAGACAAGCCAGTTCTTCGTTGAAGCGAAAGAAGTGATGGAATGTACAGCGTAGATACCATTGATGGCGGCGGTACTCTTGCCTTCAGTCTGCTCCTGTCCAAATGCCGCGGTCATGAAGCTATCCGTGTCTGCGACGACAGCAGCACGAAGCGCGTCACTTTCAGAGTCCGCGAGCACCTGGGCGAAAAATCGTCCAAACCGCTCATCCTTAAACCTAGCGTAGAAAAAGGCCAGGCTTTCCTTGGAGTACCGGTTGAGATACTTAACCATAGGCTTCCGGAACGGACTGCTCGAAGTCCTGCGAAGCTTATCCTCCAGGTCCAATACCTTGTTCACAAGATGCTCCATGAAGGAAGTAGCAGCAGGCGGGAGAAGGTGAAAGATGTTGAAAATTGCCGCAACGATCTTCATAGGAGGACTTTGCTCGACAAGGCTGAATGAGACCTTCTGTAGGATCGCGTCATCGGCAATCACCTTCATATGGTCCAGCAGACGAGCCCCAATTTCAACCTTGAAGTAATTGGTAAGCAAGGTCAGAAGCCTAGCCAAGCCGTCGAGCCCAGCGACACTCAAACGCTTAGGGTCTTGCAGGTTCATGAGGATCGGGCGAAGACCATTCTGCAGCAGATCCTTCGGTAATTTGTTAGTTTGGGTCAGGACATCCCTCAAACCAGCATTGGCCGCATCAATTACATCAGGAGACCGGACGTAGAGCGACTTGAAGAAAACAGAGATGATGCGAGCGCGACTAGTATTCTGAGGAGTATTTGCAAAGTCGGGGAAACTCATCGCCATTGACAAGAGCCGAAGACAAGCAACACGCAAGTTCACAATCATCTCGGCGTTCTTGAACTCGTTCGGCTTAGATGCAAGATTCTCATCATCGGCGTCAGCTAACGCGAGAGACTCGAGCATAAGACGGTTGAGCGGATCATTGAAGGTAACGATGTCATTGCGCAGGCTCAAGCAAAAGGTGATGGCGTCAATGAACCCAATCTGCGTGGGAAACGGCAGCGCGCGGAGAGGCTTGTTGAAGATTGATTGTAACAGACGGTCCTTCACCGGGAAAATGAGTTCATGAACCTCACATCCCAAAACTTCAGCAATGGTGGAGAAGCTCCGGCGAGAAGCCTCACGAACATGTTTGTTCATATGGGAAAGCTCGTAGACGAAGAAACCGCATAGCGAGTAGAGACGGCTCTTTTCGTTCTTCAAATCGTCCTTAGTCATGTTCTTGCAGCATCTGCGCAAAATCAAGTCCAGGGTGTCTTGCGCCCGTACCCGGGTGCTAGCTGGAAGATCTGGCGGCGTATCCTTGATGACATACGTCAATGCCCTGACAAATTCCGCTTGCTTCTCGAAAAGCCAAGAGTCACCGAGGTCCAGGTCAGTGGCATAGAGGTGAATACCACGGCTACCGCCGGCCTTGGTAAACCACTCCTCGCTGTGACAGCTATGACAGAATACGCGGCCAAGATGCTGGAAGAATTGTAGCTTCGTCACACGTTCGGCAGACCCAAATATCGTTACTGCAGCATCCTTGAGAACTTGCAAAGCCACCTTGGCGGCATCCCGAACCTCGCCGCTGTCCGAGGATAACGATTCGACAACGGCTTCAGCGAAGACCCGTGAGTCCAGGTACACGGAGCCTTCACCGCAACTGACATCAAATGGCTTCCGGCTATGTCTAGCTTGTGCCAAAGACCGTCCAACTTCCAGCATAGCAAAGTGCTTGCAGACATCGGCTACGAAAGTGGTAGCACTCTGCTTGAGAGCAGGCAGTGTAGTTGCGAAGATGGAAGCCTTGAGAAGCTTCTTCAATGTCCCTTCCTGGGCAAGTTTCTTAGGAATCGAGCTAGACCGTTCGGACTTGTCGAGAATATCAGCCATGGCGGTAGTTTTGTTCTCAAAGAGATCATTGGCGTGCAGGCGGAGAAGAGAAGCCATGTCATCAGGGATATTCTCATATCCGATGAACAGCTTGAGCTGAGACGAGATGAGGTGGAACGCCTGCTGCTTGTAGTAACCATCGGATTGATGTTTCGAGACTTCCATCAGCTTCGAAATTGCAAGGTCAATGCCAATGCCAATGGGAAATGGGCGCTTTTCACTAGGCCCAATGAGTTTGATGTCAAAGCTGGGGGCATCGTCTGCATATTGTTCAAACGTGAGATCTGGAGGGTGACTCAAGAACTTCCTGTTTCGCCCACCAAGCTTTCCTAATATGCGCATGGTGGTGTGAGCGTGGAAGTGGTTATAAGGGTGAGGTCGGAGGTGGTCAAAGAGCGCCGTCATCAGTTCATCCATGATAGGAGCCATGATAGGGTCAAGGTAATCAGCCGTAAGGTTATCGACACAAAGCTCCAATGTTCGCAGTCCTTGCCCTACAAGGTCGGACTCTGCTCTAAGCGCTACAACGATGGGTCGCATGAGATAGCTCAAGTGCGGAAGGAGATGACTGAGACGAGCGGGAACGGTAAGTGTAAGCTCGACGTAGAGGTCCCGTTCTTGCGGCTTCCGTGCAGCCAACAACAAGTTGTTGAAGGTCTCGAGAAGCATTTCCAGAAGGGGAAGAATCTCCTTGTACAAGAGCTCGAACCGACCGCCACCAATACTTCGGAACAAAGAGCGGAGAAGAAGGAAGTAGTTCATGGGTTCCTCAGCAGTGACTGAAAGCTCAAGGCACTTGGTGACGATCTTGGAAACATGAGGGTGGAGTACCTGTTCATTCTGGGCGGAGAAGAGGGTCACAGCCATGAAAGACAATTTGAACATTCTGAGCAGGATCCGAGCTTTCGCCATGTCAGGTGTGCCAACCTCGTGAATCCGGTCCATAAGGTATTGCAAGACCATTCCGGAGAATGCAGGAGAAGTTGCCTCGCTGGCAAAGAAGAACTGCGGCAGATGCAATAGAGCGCCATGTTCCAGCATGAGGTCAAAAAGGTAGGGGATCTCGGTGTGGAACACTTCGTGGAAAGTAGCTGTGTCAATACAGTGAAAAACCGTGCCAAAGCTCTCCAGAAGCTCCTTCTCCTCCCGCGGCATGGGGGCCGTGTACTGGCTAGTGAGGAAATCAAATGGAGAAGAGAAGTTGACTTCTGGTTCCGGCTGGTCTACACCGTAGTATCTGAACACTCGAGCACCCTCGTGGAACAGCTTCTTGATAACGCGAACCTCTTCCGCATTGTAACCATATGAGACCTCGGACCAATTAATCGGAACATTCGCGGGATCAATCTGGACATGGTCGGGGTTACAGTTTTTGAGCTGGTGGAAAATGTTCTTCAACCCATTGATCAGATTCTTGAAGAGGAAAATGTTCTCAGCGATCGGGTCAGCTCCACGGTCCCGAGGGTTGGAGGTCTTAAGAGGAGATGCGGAAAAGATGTCGATCTCGTCCCAGTCGGGCGGTTGGTCCTTGTCAGCAAGATACTTCTCCGGCGCCGGTTCCTCCTTCTTCGTAGCTTGATACGCTTTGTGGAGCTTCACGATATTAGGGTACTGGTAGTTCATGGCGGCCAGTTTGTCGCCGATTGCATCTAAAATCATCAGCAGGAAGTACCGAGCTTCTCGCTTATCCTCCAGTTTTGATATCTTCTCAGCCATGTTAAGAAGAAGCTTGGCGCTCATTGTCTGGAAACTGGTCCCGGGTAAATCGTCGTGGAGATTCTTGGTGTACACCTCGATAGTCCGCTTAATCTGATCGCGAGTCAAGTGCTCCCGGACATGGTGGATGAGATCTGCGAGCATGCTATACGCCAATGGCCGCATCGTTTCGTACACAGTCAGACCATCCCCGATCAAAGTCCTCTCGTCCAAAAGCTGATCGATCTTGTCCAGGAAAATGTTCCGGTATGTACAATTGATGATGTGGCGGATAGCAACAAGAAGCTCCTTTCTAGCGCTCGACTTCTCCCTAGGGCAATCTTGTAAGAGTCGAACGACCACTGACGGTAGCGTAGGGAGGAAATCCTGTAACTGATGTGGTTGTAGTCGGAGTAAGTATGCAAGAAAGCTCATGGTCTTGACCTGAAGAGTGATGAACTCTCCAAACGCAGCACGATTCCGGATCTCCTTGCAAACGCCGGTGAAAATGGTTTCCTTTGCTGCGGCCTCTGCGTGAGCTTTCTCCTGCGGCTTTGCCTGCAAGAGCAGGATACTCTTAATCAACGGCACGAAGAGCTTGACATTGGCTGCCACTGAAGCCCGGTGGGTTTGGAAGATCGAGACGACGATGATCGGACATTCCGCGAGTACTTTGAACGAGTGCATGCCTTTGAGCAAAACATTGTTGGACGTCTGCTGGTCGGCGCCAATATCGGGAACGGAGGCAGCAGGCGAACTAGGCCGCGGCGACTGGAAGTTTGGGGCGGAAGCGCCGGGCGTTGAAGGCATTCCTGAAGGTGTTGCTTGGCTCGGTGTGTCGAAAGTATCGCGGACGACCTGCTCCATCGTCTGGAACATCTCCTGGATCAATTCGAGAAACGGCTGTACTTGCTGCGCGGTGGCCTTTGCCTGGTTCCGTTCCAGATCCATTATAGTCTTCATACACAGCACCGCATTCTCCTCGTTCTCGATTCGTACCAGGTCCATTAACAGATCGACCATGTCGGCGGCGTATGGTTCGACATCGGGAGACATCATCGGCAGCCGGTGCAGGGTTTCAAGAACACAGTTTCGGAGTTTCTAGCACATCCAAGGTGTAAGCTTCGTGCCAGCGACAGCATCATCATCACTCAAAACCGTCGCAACTCACCTGCACCAAGGACGCATTTGTGAACACAGGCTCGCCGCTCAATATGTTCTTGAAGACCGGCCATAGCTTCGATAGAAAGATCGGGTAGCTCGCGCCGGAGCAGAGAGGTTCGATATTATCGCGGAGTTCGACAGCGACATTGGCCCGGAGTTTGATGTCTAGGTAAACCGGAGTCAGCGTCATCACAGAGCTAGCACAGAGACAGCTCGCGTTGCCTTCCTAAGCGCAACCGTCTCTCTCAGACATACCCAGCTTCTCATCCCCCAGCTTACTGGCGTAGATGTCGATGTTCCGCTCCATAGCTACTGCGGCCCTCACCAGAGGGGTTCACAGCGGTTTGAACAAGACAAAAGAAGCTGCCAGGCCACCAGGCCGGCTCCCGATCAATAGCCAGCGCTCGTATCCGGGTGCGTGGTAGGCATAGGCGGAGGGCGATTCCGGTAGGTACTCAGTCTTCACACGGTATGAGCAAGTGTCGCATGAGACAGCACGGAATGGGAAGAGCGAGATCGTCAGGTCATTAATTATTATTAGGGAGAAATGATTCTGGGGGGCAGGAGGTAGAGAAGAACGCTGAAGGAATGAGCGAGGAGAAAGGTGTTGAGCGGGTCAATGAAGGCTCAAATGCAAAGTCAAGATCGCGCAAATCCACGCCTGTGAGAGCCAGAATAGAGAGCAGCGAGCAGAACGCGGGCATGGCCAGAGACCCCGACATAGTGCACTAGACCTAAACAGGCAATTTCGCGGATCGGTATTACTCCCGGCCCGTTTGACGCGCGCTATCCGCGGTCAATGCGCCTAGCTGGCTAATAATGAGCGAGTATTTGTTTAAAGCACGTGCCAGGCACAACGAACATTACGAGAGAAGAGATTGGAGCAAGAGGACGGTGGTATGAACGTCGATTGCAGGCTATGCCCTAATATTTCATCTTATAAACATCAAAAGAGGTTATCGACATCAATGTCGCTTAGGAGAAACGCCATGAGCACCCGTTTTCCAGACCCGAACACAGTTCTAATAGTCCAACTAGAATGTCCGCCGACTCATAGGTCTGACCAGCCATGCGGAAAGGAAGAATATCAAAGCCATGTACACAAAAAGAATTCGAAATAATGGGATGAGATAGGGACAATGGGGGCGATAAGAGGGTGCAAGGTGCAAAGTGCAAGGCAATGGTGGTGCGAGCATTGAAAGTAGTGGCGCCGAGAAATACGCATGAGATTAATGTCGAGGGCCTAGTATCCAACTAGCAAGTCATTTCGTCGAGTTGCTTCGCGCCAAACCTGTTACCGCGGCAGACCCAACAGCTCGACGTCGCGCTCGAATCTCGGTGCCACTACCACTGTTGCTTCGTCGCCTTCCACCGCCTTCAAGGGAACCACGGCGTCGTCTCTGGAATAGAGAACGTTCCAACGTTAGAATCAAGCGCTCTGTACAGAAAATGACAAACGCTTAGCGGAGAATAAAAAGCAGAAGTTTGGTTAATCACATCAAGGGCCAGGTCTCATCTGCAAGACAAGCAAGCGATCAAACATGCGGGCGACTTACCGAAGTGATAGAACCCTCTCGAGGCCGTCGGTCTTTTCCGGGACCGGGCTCATCCAGTTTCAGGGACTGGAGTCGCCTCTGGCTATCCTGAGTGAGAGCGTCGACATCGTCCAGCTGCAGGGGGATTTCAGCCGTCGATGAATTGAGTGGCAGGTCGACACCGTTTTGCTTCTGCGCGGCTCGTTCAGCGACCTTTTCCCATCGGTTTTGTCGAGCCTTCTCGCGCATCTCGGCGCTGTTTTGTCGTTCATTGTATTCGTGTGAGCACTCGTCGAAGAGCTGAGGGTTAATTTCCATGAACATCTTCATCGCGTTGTATACCATGCTGTGGATGGTCCTATACGTTGATTAGCGAGAACGTGATGTGAAAGGCGGATCTAGTACCTGTTCCAGTGCCCTTTGGAGTTCTCGAACAAGGGAGGGAACATTATCGGCAGAATGACCTCTACATTATCGCTGACCAGGTTGCAGAAGTATTCATTGTTCCAGAAGTAGAGCGCACGCTCCGCGACCTGGAAATGGGGGCTAGCGACCGACTTGGCCAGCTGCTGGAACAGTGGCTCTTGCACTTTAGCGAATTCCGCGGGGTCCATGACCTCGAAGATATCTTCAACTTCGTTGAGGTACATAACTTCCTTGGTACTGTTCGTTTTAGGCCAGTATCGGAGCAAGCCACAGACGACCTGAGACGCGGTTAAAACCAGAACAAGGGGGACTGCTTCCAGAGCCACTCACATCTTCCGTTAATGTGGAATCCTTCTCGAGAAATTGGACGATACAGTACGCCAGCTGTGGATGGTACATGCTGAGGCTCTTCACTTTGTGCAAAGGCAGTAGAACTCGGGTCAAGAACAGCTTGTGTTCCTCCTTGAGCGGAAGGGCAAAACCGTTGATAATGGATCCAAGGATCTCCAGCAGCTCCGCGATTCCATTGAAACGCTCGGTCTCGTAGCTGAATTGGAAAAAGACGTTGTTGATAGATCGCCGAATATATGAACGTAAATTTAAGAACTTTCCGTAAATGCGATGTAGCGTTGTCTTCAGGAAATCGCGCTCGCGCGGGTCTTCGGAATCAAACAACTCTAGCAGCTAATTAAACGGTCAGCGCATTCTGACTTCAAGAGCCGGTTGTAATACCTGAAGCACAAAATGGTGGTCGATGTAGGCCTTTGCGATGTTTGTGTTGAAGTCCTGGCTCTCAATGAACCGCAAGAAGAACTCATAGACGACCTGAATATGGGGCCAGGCGACTTCCAAGACTGGCTCATCCTCCTCCGGGTCGAATGCCTCGCCCTGGGGTGTGATCGGGGGCGGAATAGGTCTGAACAGATTCTTGGCAAACATTTCAACCACGCGGGGGTACATTGGTTCTGTAATAACGGAGCGGTTGTTGGCGATATAATCCAGGAGCTCGTGAAGAGCCAGTCTCTTGATCTCCTTGGACTTCATATCTGCGGTAGGGTCATTGAAGTCGAATATGATATTGCACTGATCGATCTTCTGCATGAACAGCTCTTGACGACGGTTCGGGGGCACTTCGTGGAAGCCGGGAAGCTTCTCAAGCTCTCGCTGGCGCTGATCTGAGATGTCGAAACGAGAAGAGTGTTGGCGCTTGGGAGTCCGGATACCCTCAGACATATCCTTCGGAGTTGTTTGAAGGCGATCGAAAACATGGGACTTCCGGGGAGGAGCCAGGTCTCCTGGCATAGTCTCGGCAGCGCCGGGCGGAGGGGCATGCTACAGTAGAAACTCAAGTTAGCCAGGGTCCGATAATCCATGGAGCACGCGAGTCGTTCTTCATCTTGAGCACTTACCGGTCCGCTGGGACTTATCACCACACTTGGAGCCATCGGTTGCCCTTGCTTGGTGGGAGTCGCTGAACTTCCGTTAGTGGCGGGTTGACAATGGCACCTCCGGCGTGCAGTGTAGGATACTCACCGGGAGGAAAACCTCCCGATTGCGAAGCATCTTCGGGGGCCTTGCCTCTGATATCATTCACGGACGTGGTAGACGACGTCGGGGTGACCTGGTTGGGGGACGCGGATTGTTGGCCATGGTGGATGCCCAGGTTGGCGGAGTTCTGTTGTGCAGCCTGCGATGCCGACTCTTTCTTCTTCGACGACTTATTATCTTTCGCTCTCGACAACTGCTCGTGCTAGGACATTTAGCATAACCCAGCGCCCGGCGGGGTGATCGAGCCCAGCCACGCGGGACTGTGCGACCCGCAACAAACTCACCACTCTCTGTCTGAAACCCTTCATTGTCACCGCTATTCGGACTGCCACATGTACTCGGACCTGGTTCTCGATGCCAGTGCAGCAGGATGCCACACGCTAGCAGGAGGGGGAAGGGGCGGATGCGGTCTGGCGGATCGGACAACTCTTAGACTGTTTGTTTCGGGCGGCCTGGACACATGAGCATTTGCGGGCAGAAGGGTAGCATTGGCAGGAGAACAGGGCGGTGAACTATCGAGGAGTAAACGTAAAGGGGGTTCGATGGAGTATCGTAGCTGGAACATTGCGTTGCAGCCACCGCAAGACGGGGTTAGGTGGCCGAGGAGGTCAAGCCCAAGGAGGTAACAGGGGGGCAAACACGGACCTCCCCCGACACGCGAGAGGAACAGGAAAGTATATAAAAGGGCAGCTCACCTCGAGGGACTTGCGGGCAAAACGATTGGTAGAAGCGAGGCTGAAAATGGTCGGACGCTGACGCTCAGTTGCTGGCGCGATCGCAGCGGTATAGGAGGAGCTCGCGAGTCGGTCAGGTCTGGAGGATCGACTTCCGTGTCGCTTATGAGAGAAGGCGGGGTGCGAAATCCCCCAGGGACTGAATTGGAACTCGCGAAGCACCGGTCGGACACCACGAACAAGCAGACGGAGACGACTATATTGCGAAGGATGGAGCGCGCAGAGAAAACAAGAGCATTGACGATGGGGTTCGTCGTGAAAATAGACGGCTATCACGAGAGGAGATGTGGTGACGGGCTGTGGCTGAGGACGCTCGGACGTGGTTAAGTGTATGGTGTGGATTCGCGGAACTGGCTGTTACTGCCTGGGGAAACACCTCAACCACGGCAGGCTGGAACTCCTAGCAAATCTTGCACAGCTGAAGATATCGACAGAGTTGGCGGCTCAACCCAATCCCTTTTTCCCTGGCCTCAGTGTCCTTATCAGAGTTCTGTACGGTAAGGGGCTGTCCAGCTGTGAGCCTGTGACCCAATAATGACGAACTCGAGGACGTTCGATGCGGACGGGTGACTGATTCATTAAATGCCCATGGAACCAAGTAGGCCATGGGCTAATCTACTTTCTGCTGCTAAGTTTCTCGACTTCGGGCCCATGGTGATTCTCATGTTTATTTCAGGAGTACAGGTTGATCAGGTGACTTGGTCGTGTTGACATCTCTGATACCCTCATAGCAAATTTGAGAGAGTTTCAGATTTGAATAATAACGTTCTCCTAAATCTAATCTCCCAATATCTATCTGAATAGAGTAGATCGAGTCCAGCAAGGCCGAAAATGTAGTGCTCGACTGACATATATATATTCTGCCGAAGACTCATCCAGTCAAACTTACTTTTGATACGCCGGCCGCGTACGGAGTATTTATTTCAGGAATATCCACCCAGATCGTTCCTTTACACACAAAGCATCCCATTCACTGGTATATCACCTGGGCATGTTATACGAATTACCTTCAGCGAGACCCCAGATCTTCACTATAGAGCTCGAGCCCAGCGTGCCAATTGTAGCTGTGTAGCTTAGTGTGCACGTGACGAGCCACCAAAAATAGTTTACCTATCGCCAGCCGGGCTTCGGACCAACTGTAACCTAAACACCACGCAAGAAGAACAGCCAGCACATCTCTCAAATTAGTCCGTGAACATATCGCTGTAATTCTAACCTCAGCCAAGAGCTAGTAGGATGTTCTTACTTGTTCTTCGTGCGATATCTACTGAAACCAAACCGAATCACGGTGTATCTCCGGACGCGTCTGGTTTCGTGTGACAAGCGAAATGCTGATAGCAAAGGCATGATGCATTTGAATTCGATAATCGAGTTTGGAGTATCTGCGACTAGATGGCTGTCCAGATATCACAACTGTGCTGAAATTTAACTATCAACTGGTGTCTTCTACCTAGAGCTCCGACGTCATCCACTGGAGAAACTAAGCTCGTGGATGTACCCAAGCTCACCACTCATCATCCCCCCTCCTTCTCGTTGACCTCCGACTCATAATTCGTCCCCAGTGAAACGCCTGAGGATTGACATAAGACGTAAGATCCAACTCCCCATCCTCCATCAACTGACAGGAAAGGAAAGTCAGTAACCCGCCACCATCATCCAACCGTCTATAATCCGCGATCGCCTCAAGGGCCCGCAAGAACGCGGCGCCATACTGCCAGCGGCCTCTCGACTCAAGCCACCGGTTGAGGTTCTGCGTCGCGGCGAGGTCGTTCCGGCAGTGGTTGCGCACGGGGAAGTAGATCTTGACGGCGGGGAGATCTCGTCCGGGCGCGATGTCGAAGTAGTACACGCATCCTTTAAGCATCTCCGGGACATCGGCGAAGTTGGGGATCACGGTGTCGCCGTTCGTGGGAACGGATGGGAATTCTGAGCTTGTTGGGAAATTGGCGGGCTGTTCGGTTAGGGTCTTGAGCAAGTCGAAGAGTTCTTTGAATTGTTTTTCGCGGGCTTTCGTGTTGGCGATGCGTCCGCCCATTGTCATGACCTCGCGGATTGCGTTGAAGTTGGTGTGCGGGCTGTTGAAGTACCATTTTATACGGCCTTTGGCGGGGTCGCAGTTGTCGACGCTGAGGCAGAAGGGTTTCAGGAGCTTGCCTTCTGGGCTTGTCTTGAGGAACTCGTGCATAGCGGCGCGAGAGGGGACGTCCGGATGTAACCCGCGAAACGACGCTTCCCAGCGCGGGATGTCGACGAAACCCTGGTGGTCGAGCGTGCGTGGTTGAAAGTATGTCTTGAGTGCGGTCGACTCCCGCTGAAACTCGAGGGAGTATATCATGCTTGTGCCGAGTGGACCACTGGTGGCGGCCTTTTGGGTATACTTGGCATAGTCGTGGTCGAACAAGGTGGCTAGGAAATGATGCGTCCAAGTGAGGTCGGCGCCCGGTACCGCGGCGGAGAGCTTGTGAAGGACTTCGTGCGTGGCCGAGTGATTCAACGGATCAAACGCCGTCCCTGCCATGGGCCCTATAGGCTCTAGGCCGAAGCGAACCTCTGGCTCGCCGTCGGGTGTGTTCCATCTCCATGAGAATTCAAAGGGTGTGCCGTCTAGCTGAAGCATAGACTTCCAGGTCGGGGAAGAGCCGCCTTCACGAGGCGCGGGTCCTAGATATGGAGCCTGTACGGCTTCTAGTTAGCGGAGTATATTAGGGAGACGAGGGGTGGAAACGTACCGCGTAGTGATAGTGATAAAGAAGACACTCATACTGCTTCTCGATGGGATACGCAGCGGCATCAAGGAGGAGAGCTAGGTGTCTCCCCGTGAGCTGCCACCACGCATCGGCATCCGGTCCACGAGACGGAAGCGTCTGAGACAGAACCCTCCAAGCCTTTGTGGACTGCCCTCCATCCGACAAGGACCGTCTGTGCGAAGCTATCCAAGTAGTAGCGGGCATCGTTGCAAGTTTCTAGCTGTCCGAACAGTGTTTCAAGTGCGAGAGTGCTCGAGTCATCCCATCTGAGACAGCGAGCTGCTCTTGTACACTCGCACAGCCGGAAAAAGCAACGTTTCTGATCTTGGAGACACGAAACCCGAGGCTACACCAGCCAAACGGGTGTCAGACAATAACGCCATGCTGCTCAGCCGCGACGATGGAGGGCTTGCGATTGGGACGGTTGCATACCCCGCGGACTTGGTGTCTGACTTCGTCTGCATTTGCGGCGTTGACTGGTGGGTTGAACCCCGAGTATGGGCTGACGGTACATGTCGTGACACATGTCCGGGCACATGGACTGCTGATGTTCTGTGGCAGGCTGGCAGCCCTGGCTGATTTGTCGACTCCTAGGACCCTTATCATCGTGCGAAGTATCTCTGTAACAGTTAGTTTTGGCTTGTCAAGTTTTAGCGTTGGGAGTTGGAGAATGAGAGGATGCTGAGAAGGACTGCGCTTGCAAACAAATGCTGGAAGGGGCCAGTGATCAAGCTCTCAACCCCGCCTTTTGGATTTGGGTCCCTTCAGCACCTGAGAATTTGTACTCTGTACTCAATACTCGGTACTCAGTAACAACATCCACAGGTTCCCCTCAATGTCAGCTACTCGTGCCCGAAGACGCAGCTCCGCAGCCACACCAACTGAGACTCAAGTACGGAGTACATCGCAACGAACAAGAGACGCCTGTCTCAGCCAGAACTCGCTCAGTTGAGGGGAATGGCGCCCGATGATATGAGACAGTGGGTGAGTATGAGGGAGATCCGACAAAATAAATGGAAGCGGCCTGGACGAGGTCCATGAGGTCAATCCAACAAACTCCCGCCCGCGATGATGACCTTGAAGTGACCCTCGGACGACTTGGGATCCGCCATTAGCAAGATCAAGAAAAGTGCGAAAGATCGATGATTGCTTGAGAGCTTCGGGAGTGCCTATTAATGTCTGAGTGAGCTTTAGGGCAAGGCCGGCGTTGGGATAGCGCATGCGCCGTCTTCTACTCCGTATACCCTGCAAGTTGCGGCTTAACCCCTGCTCATACGATGATCTTACTACGTAGCTTGGCTCCAGATGAGCGATACCAGCAATCTCTGGCCTATGGACTCATTATTGGTACGGCAGTCCTATCCCTGGTGGTTTGCAGCTTGAGGGTACCTTTCCTGCCACAACCTCAACCTCATCATACAAGTCTGACCATGTGATAGATTTACACACGACTGGTTGTGATCAAGAAGTTTGGATGGGATGATACCGCTGCCTGTGTTGCCTTGGTCAGTCACTACTCAAAGCTTTGCATAAGCTCGGGTTTAACGACGGTCCATCCTAGATTACCACGCAGGCTTTCAATGGGCTTGGGATTGCAGTTGTCTGCTACGGACAGGGTCAACACATGCAGAATGTTTTCCCGAACAGTCGAGCAACTTGGCTCAAGGTAAGGCATTGCAGCTTTCGCATGTATGGATTGTTAAGCTTACGGTGCGAAAGCTATACTATGCGGCATTGTGCAGGTATCTGTATACCTCACTGTCGGTGAAGATCAGCATACTGATCTTCCTGCGTCGGGTGTTCATCAAAGAGTAAGGTCGTAGCCTGCGAACCCCGAATGATCATTTACTGACACGGAGAATCGGATTGGTTTGCCATTGCTGCTCTTGGGACTCTTCAACAAAGCGAATGTTCTTGCGCAGCCAGTGCGGTGCCCTTAACATGGGTTCAGCTCCAGCTTGAGAGCCTCCTCATCCAGATTAGTAAAGTCTTTGGGAGATCGCACAATAAAGGCAAAGGGGCGCTCGCCGGCATCCTCGTCGCGACCACGACTGCCAACTCGGCCACAGCAGGATGAGCGGCCAAATGCGACCCAATCTCAACGGGCGCAACCTGCTACCCCTTGACCTTCATGAGATCCTTCTTGCGATCCACAACGTCCAAGTGAGAAGTGTCCTTGTCTTCCTCTCAGAGGCGGAAAACAGCGACGTCGCCGGTGCGTAGTGGGTTAAACACGCCGAGCAACACGACCCGAACAAAGAATACGAGCAAGTAGAGGCCCGTCCACGAAGAGCCCCGATATTCCGTGCTTCACCATCACGATACCGTGGTAAGGGAAGGAACTATAATGTTGACCTGAGGGTTGATGCCACAAATCGTGGTCAACCGTCATATGACACTCATCTATGAGATTCCAACAAGTCTGCGAAAGGCGTAAAGAGAGAGAGGTGCAGCCGAAGCAGCACAGGGTCATCCTTGCATCTGAGGTTAGGTCGAAAAGGGGAGGCCCTCTTTCTGCCACGTCCTACCGCTTTGTGGGGGCTTAGTCAGCTACGAGTGGGTTTGCACTGTTTGACTCTCAACATCTCTCGATGATGCATGAACCAAACCTTCGAGAGACAGCCAATAACATAGCTTTGTGTATTCTGACAAGTATCTGTGGGGATAATCTGTATCTGTGCACCCGTCCTATACATATCTTGTTGCGAAATCATTGGGCGATACAAGCGTCGAGCTATCTGGCGAAATCACAATCTGAATAGCTTCATTTCTCCCCAGCCAAAGGCTGCACAGTAAGAGCCATGGCGGAGAACGACCACTCGAGAACCGCCCCATTTTACCAGATCCCAAACCGCCCTCTAGTCTGCGTTGAACATCCTGCAATCATCAGGAATGTCGACAAAGCAATCGATACGCTGCAAGGAAACGCAGGCATTAAGAAGGTAAGTACATCCAGCCTGATAAGCACCATGTCTGACATTTTTCCAGATCCTGGACCCGCCCAAGCCGGATGCTTCAGCTAGTCTATCGCTCCGGCCGGAGGACGTAATGGCAAGGCCACTGCAGTCTATCTGCTCGCCCTCGAACAACATTCTCCTCCAGGTGACTGTTCCCAAACGAACGGGGCGAAAGCGCAAGAGGGGATCAAATGAGCCGTTTCAAGATGACCCGGATCTCTTAAAGAATAGTGATGGCTCACTGCGGCATACTGCAAAAGACTGCTTACGGAGTTTGCGTGATAATGTGGGCAAGTATCAGGTTGAGCCTGTTGGGTTGGTTGAGCGGACGCATCTGTTTCGAGGTACGTCTTCATCATTCAAATGATATACTATGTACTGACTGCCTTTAAAGGAATGCCCGACTTTGTCTTCTCTACAACCCCCAGCCCCTTCGCCAACCGCTTCCGCGAAAAGATCCTCCCATTCAACTACCACAAGATGAAAGAGTTCGATCTCGACATGAGCAAAGGCGCCCTCCAAAACGTCGACCTCATCCCCCCTCCTTCCTTCAGCCACAGCGACATCCCCTTCCACTACTTCTACCGCCAGAACCCAACAGTCCGCCAAACCCTCGACAAAGCAGGCAACCCAACCACAGTGAACACCCAAACTTCCGCCAAAGTCCTCACCCACCTTGTCCCCTACGACATCGACCCAGTCCCCCAAGGACCCCGCGCCAACCTCCCCCCCATCGAATCCCTCGACCCCGTCCTCAAAGAGACAATAGCCATCATCCTAAACCTCTTCGAGTCCCGCCCCGCCTGGTCCCGCCGCGCCCTCCGCAACAACCTCAAATCCATCGAGCAGCGCTACGCCCTCCGCCACGCAGTCCCCTACGCAGGGTACATCTTCCGCTCTGGGCCCTGGCGCGACGCAATCATCGCATTCGGCCACGACCCCCGCAAGGACCCCGCCTCCCGCATCTACCAAACAACCATGTTCCGCATCCTCCCAGGAACCTCCGAGACCGCCCGCGACCGCGACACACGCGACCGCGAAGCCGGCGGCGGCCGCCGCCACACGCTCCTCCCGCGCGCCAACGATCTCCTCGCAAACCCGGAGGTCTCAACATCCAGCACATCGCACCTCTTCACAGGCCAACCACCGCTCCCCCTAGACGGCCGGATGTGGATGTTCTGCGATATCATCGACCCGCTGCTCCAGGGCATCCTGGAGCCAACGCCTCAACCAGCGGACTTTGTACGGCAGGAATGCGACATCGCGACGGACGGGTGGTACGGGAACGGCACGATGGCCAAGATGAAGATGATCATGCGCCATAAGATCCTGGCGATGTATGAGGGGCGGAGTCCCGCGAGGGACAGCGAGTACGCGGTTCTCCTGGACTTCCCGGACCATGCGAGTCCGGCGACGGGGCTGGGCGGGTTCTGGCTTGGGCCTGATGCTGGGAGTATGGTCACGGCGTTGGCGACGGAGATTAGGAGTATGATTAAGGCGGCGCCGTCTTGGAGGGAGAGGGCGATGGCTAGGACGGCGGCGAGGAAGGAGGGTAGGGGGGTTGGGGTGGGATTGGTGGAGGGGGAGGGAGATGGTGCGGAGGAAGAGGATGGCGCTATGGGTGAGGCGGCGGAGGATAGCGAGGGTGAAGAGGAGGCGATTGAGCAGGAGGAGATGATGGAGGCGGCGGCGGAGGCTGTGGATGAGGCTGCGAAGAGGAGGGATGAGGAGGATGAGAATGAGAATGAGGTTGATGAAGAGGATGATGGGAATGAGATTGATTGATAGCTACGGTATCTACGTACTACAGTCTTTCTAGGGAGTACAAGGAACACGGCTGTAGTAATGGATTAAGCAATACGTACATCGTGGACGGCATCAAACGTGACACATCTGAGTTCATTAGGTTGTACGGAGGACACGCCATGCTATGCTGACAATGAATGAAACAGAGTAAAGGTCAAGGTAGGTAAGTAGAGCAAGACGGCCAGCCCAAGTGAAAGAAGAACTAGAACACGAAGCTAAAGACAAGAAGGACAGGAAAAGGACAAGTGGGTATCAATACAGCGAAATACTCCAAGAACACCAAGCAATTCCAACTCGAACAATTCCAAGGAAGCAAAGATCAAAGCAAGAAACCTAGGTCGAGTCCTCGACTGACTCCTCAGCAACCTTTCCAGCAGCCTCGAGCACGGACTCGATGGACGACATGCTCGACAGCTTACTCCGGGCAACCTTCTTCTCAACGGGCGCCTCGTCCTCCTCATCGAAAACAACAGCGTACGAGAACGCATGACAATCGTCGCCGTAATAATCAGCCGCATTGAGCTCGCCTAATGGGGAGCGAGGCTCATCCAGCGTGTCGGACTTCCTAGCCGCAGCAGGGGACCCCTGTTGGCGGGTGCGGGGAAGCGAGATCCCTAGATCAGCAGGCGGGATATTCTCCTTTCCGCGGTGATCCGATTTGATTTCTTCCCTGTCCTCGTCGTCGGAAATATCTAGGACGCAGGTGGAGTGTTGCATGAGGTTTGTCATCTCCTCCTGCTCGGAGTCGACGTATATGTCGAATGACCAGGATGCAGGCATTTTGGGTGCAGGAGTAGCAGCTTGGCTCTTGGGCTTTGATTTGCCAGATGACAGGGCTGCAGCAAGGGAGAAAGGACGACCAACGCCTTTGCGGGCACAGTCTGGACGGCTCTTGGAGATTGTTGCACGGCGGGCAAACGGCTTGCTGGCTTTCAACTGGGGGGAGCGACCGGCGGGTTTGAGGGGTGCGGACTTGGGAGTCAACTGGGATGTTTTTGTGGGGGTTGAGGGTGCAATTGAGTCTTCGAAGATAGAAAAACCAATAGAAGAGGACTTTATTGGCTTCATGGGGCTTTTGGCCGGTGCATGGTCGTCCTCATCGTCGGCAGAGCGCTTCCGTTTCGTGGACTTGAGTGCTGAGGGGTGGATGTTCTCCGAGTCGAACTCAGCGAGGGGTTGCTTTTTGCCTGAGAGCATGTTGCCTTGAGGGCAGTGTTAGCATCGGCCGTGGACGCGTAAAGTGGTTTCTGTTCGTGCCAGTGGGTACGTACCGTCCTGCTTGTTGAGGACATTCATCTTGGTGCGGAGAATGGAGCGCAGACGAGGGGCATCCAGAGGAGCAAAGGGTTGTCGTACGGCAGCGGGAGACATTGTGAGAGCGGCCATGTCGATAAAATAGCGATCGGATGAGAGAAAGACAGGAGTGAAGAGCGTGGGCTGAGTGAGAAGTGAACTGGGGCCGGTGGATTTGTTTTGGTCGCGGCAGCAGGAGCGAGAGTGGGGTCTGATTGGCGAGCGGCTTATAGTAGTGACAGGAAGTGACAGCTCTATGCACAAGTTTAAAGTGACTGTCTGAATCTATGGACTGTACAGCAGAATGAAAATGAAGTGAAACAGATAAAGAGAGACGTGGACTCGTAAGTAGAGAGCTGGTTTGAGGGCGAGGTCGGGTCAGTTGATATAGAGAGCAGGGCGCGAGGCACGAAGCTGCAGCAAGGGCTCGACACGCTATGGAGAATTCCTGCACGGTTGAGATTATTCTGAATCCCAAGGGAGGCGGATCTTGTGAGTCTTAAAGCAGGCGAAACATGCAGCAGACACCAGTTTCAAGAGGAATGGTATGAAGTCAGCCTGGATGCTGGAATGCCCGGCTGTATAAGTACTCGGCACCGTGGAATGGAGAGGAGAAGCGCGTCCAGTTCGTGTCAGCGAGGTCAAGCTAATTAGCGACAGGCTGACTCGAGTATCTTCAGATCCTGAATCTGCAAGGCATCGCACGATGGAGATCCAATAATTGCCTGCTTTCCCCTCACTTCATCTACTCAGGCGCGTCCAGTCGTATTTTATTGTTACCGCCGAGTACGGGTATTATACGCGCTCTCGCTGCTTGAAGCACGCTACTCGGCAGGTATTTACCACGCGTGACATCCCTTGATTCTATCTTCCCATCGCTATACAGCTTCATCCCACACCTACTCCGTATACCAGACGGAATTGAAAGGAGGTTATCTCAGCATCAGCTGTCACTTTATGGCTGAGACTGGATCAGTCACAAAGCGTTTGTAACTGCCTAACTTGTACAACAATTCAGCTTCCAACTTCCAAGTATAACTCCGTCTGGCCCGTCTGACCCGAGTCGACTCCATCCCTTCAACGCGTCCCCCAGTCAAGCCTCGTCGCGTCAGTTTCACGGTCTTCAGCTGCTGCTCAACTTAATTATGCTTGATTAGAGCACCAGCAGGCAAGGTTGCTCGTCGAACCACGTATCTCGCCGTCCCGTCCTGCGCAAGCCAGTTTCATGAACGAACTCCTACGCTTGTCCGTCGCCCGCTCGCCAACTCCCAGTCCCGGCTCGCAATTCCAAGTTATCGGCTTATTTTAGGTTGCCTGGCCCAGGCTAGAGCATGCGGCGGTCTGAGCTCGGCGCTTCTGGCCGTGTTTCATTACAGCTGAAACCAATCCCAAGCCGAAGGTAGTATGCCGCGCTGCGATGCTATGCGCTGCGCTGCTATGCCATGCTATGCTAAATTAGTAGCTTCGACGTGCGGAATCAAGGCTAATTACGTGAATTACGCGCTTTATCGCTTTCCCTGCCCCTCCTGGACCGTGCCCGTTGCTCACGGTTAATTATAGTTGATTGATTGCCCGGAAGATACGTACCCTATAGTACCCTATAGATATCGAGGTTGCAGTCGCACTTGTGCGCGAAGTTGAGTTGATTTTGCAATTCAGGGCTTTACGTTCGGAAGCGTGGATGCCCAAGAGGATTGCAATCGCAGTCGCTGTTGCATGTGCTTTGCCCTTGCAACTCGTATATGTGTATGGAGATGCATTGGTTGAGTTTAAGCGCTTCGCAAGCTATTCTTGCTTCTGGCGGCGTTGCGTTGCTATTCTGGTTCTGGACGCTTCGCGCCAATTGAAACGCATGACAAGTCGCGTTGGCAATCTGATATATACCAGAGCAGGCTGAATCTTCTATGTCTATTCTATAAAGCTGGACATTGCCGTACTATACACTACTACCTCGCATCAGTAGGCAGCTAAATCTCATCTTCCCACGGAATACTATCCATAGCGCCCTGCCTCTCGACACACCGTGCCGAAGCCCTCGTAGCCACTTCCATCGCCTCGTCCATGACACCCTTATACCGCTGCCTCTTCTCCTGCACCTCCAGATCCACCCCGGCCTTCCCCTCCGCGCGCCTCGCCTCACGCCACCTCGCAACCTTAACCGCATAAGCCCCCACAAACGTATCTCCCGCGGCCGTCGTATCCAGCACCCTGCTCACCTTGGCCGCGGGGACCTCATTCGTCACCCGCTCGTCCAGACTCTCCGCATCCGCAGCACTATACCACACCCCCTTCGCACCCAGCGTAACAAGCACATAGCTCACGCCGAGAGAATGGAAGTATCGCGCAACCTTCTCCTTGCTATCCTGACTCTTCTCGATCCCCGGAACCCGCAGCAGCACCTCCTCATCCGGCGTCATGAGCTCCGCCTCCGTCTCGTTCATGACGAGGTGGTCAACGCCCTTGTATACGTCCTCGGGTAAGCCATTTGGTGGCGCAGGCGCGGGGTTGAACATGACGTCGGAACCGGCCTCAATTCCCTTCTTCCCGTTCGCTCGCTGCTGCTCCTTCCACCGCCCAATCTCCCGGAGAATCGCGATCGTCGTCTCGGTTGGGATCTCGCCCTGCATGACAATGACATCCGGAATCGGGTCCGCGAGCGCCATCCCAATTACCGATGGCTCGGCTTGCATCCCCGTGTAATTCGCGCCTGGTGAGAAGAGGATTCTGTTCTCGCCGCCGGCCGAGCTATCCACGATAATCACTGCCACGCCGGTATATGCATCCCCCACGACTTTCACGCGCGCTGTATCGACGCCGGACTTTGCGAGCGTTGGTTGTAGGAGTGCGGGGAAGTGGCCGTCGAGCCCGCCGACTGCGCCGACCATTTCGACCTGGACGTCGCCGGCGTTTGGGGCCGAGGAGGTGGAAGAAGGCTGTGATCGGGAGAGCCGCCCGCATGCAACTGCTTGGTTTGCGCCTTTCCCGCCGGCGCTCGTGAAGTATGCGGAGGAGGTGATTGTTTCGCCGGCGTCGGGGAAGCGGGGGGTCACTGAGACCATGTCGGCGTTTAGGGAGCCGATTACTCGGATGGTGGGAGCCATTTTAGAAAACTTATACCAATCTGAGGTGATTGCTAACCGGGATCCTCGATCGAGTGGTAGAATAAGTGTGAAAATAGATGGTGAGGAAGCTCGTGAGATTGTCAAGGAAGATAGTGAGATGAATGCGGGATGCGTGATGCGGGATGGTTGTCCACGGGTTGTGGGGTCCTCGTCCATAGGCAGTTACCTACAGACGACAGACGCCGCTGGCTGCACAACTCTTTACAGCCATGAACGCGATTATGCTGTTAAATAGAATGCTTGGAAACATACCATATCCGCCATCATATTTATGACCGAGGGATTCGAGGGTAACCCCTCAGAGCATTGGAGATCAATCAACCAAACCCCAGGCTGCCGTTATATATCCAGTCTCTTCATGCTTTGTAGACCGACCACGAGATGGTGATCTATTTGCCGACAGGCTAGTCCTTATAACATAAGACAGTCTCTGCTACTTATCTGATTCAAAGCCAGTATGTAAGTCACGATATCATGTTCATGAATTCTCATCAAATATCTAAGTCTCATAATACAAACAACGCCGGACCCTTATCCCGCTGTGCCTAACCCAACTAAGGTATCGTTCTGATATGCTATACCGTAAAATCGACAAGAAACTGAGAAGAAGTCTATACACCCTGTCGGTACACCTGTGAACCTCCAGACCGTATCTGAATCGTTTGCCTCCGCTGCAGCACAATGACTGCCCTGTTTAGCGCTTGCTCTGTGTATCCTCTGCCGTCGACGAACTCGCGGCGCAGAGTGGCAAGACTGGTACTCCATCCGATGGGAAGTCGGCGCTTCAGCTCGTCTTCGATCTTGGAGACTTCCTCCATCATTTCTCTGCTTCCCTGACCCTCGCCCTGTGTAATGGCGTCCATAGTTGAGGCAAGGAAAATGCGGATGGCTTCGTCAACGTGGGCTTCGGTTGCGATAGGCTGCAGGCTCAACTTGGCGAGCGATTCGGTGATACGGACAATGGCTTCGAGCTGACGGACTGTGATGGGAATGGAAGAGCGGGCGTTGGCGTCGAGCTCAGCGCGGTGGACCTGCTTTCGGATCGAGACGAAGTGCGACGAAAGCTTCTCGGCAGCTTCGGGGGAGAGACGGGGCGCGCAGCGGCTCCGGCAGTAGCTGATGTACCGCTTCATCTTCTCGAGGGGAATCTCTGCCTCGACTTGCTCCTCGATACCGCGACCGCCCATGTGCACCCCCATAACGTGCCGGGCGATGTTCTCGTCGCGGCTGCGCTCGTGGTCGTCGCGAACCACGAAGATCATATCGAAACGGGACAGGATGGTGGTTTGGAAGTCGATGTTCTCGCCGGGCGTCTTGAGGTCATCGTAGCGGCCGAAGATGGGGTTCGCTGCGGCAAGGACGGAGGTTCGGGAGTTAAGGATGGTGGTGATACCGGCTTTGGCGATGGAAATCGTCTGCTGTTCCATGGCTTCGTGAATAGCAACTCGGTCCTCGTCTCTCATCTTGTCGAACTCATCAATGCAGACGACGCCTCCGTCTGCAAGTACCATGGCGCCACCTTCCAGGTAGAACTCGCGCGTAGCTGGGTCTCGCTGCACAGACGCTGTGAGACCAGCAGCGGATGAACCCTTACCGGAGGTGTAGATGGCGATTGGTGAGACCTTTTCGGTAAACTTCAGCAGTTGAGATTTGGCGGTACCAGGGTCACCAAGGAGAAGGACGTTGATGTCTCCACGAAGTTTCATACCATCAGGAAGAATCTTCTTGGATCCTCCCATCAGCAGACACACGATAGCCTTCTTAATATCCAGGTTTCCGTAAATAGAGGGAGCAATGCTCCTCGCAAGAGCATCGTACAAGTCAGGACGACGGCTGAGTTCCAGAAACTCTTGTTCTTCTTCTTCCGAGAAAATATAGCTCCCTTTGGCGGTATGGTCGAGGTCCGTTGTGATGCCAACAGCCCGCAGGTAGGGGTTGCGAATGGCCACAGCACCCTTTTCCTTTCCTCCTTTTTGATAGATAGAGAAGATACCCATCACCGTGCAACGGGAACCGGGGACAACCCTGTTGGCGAGGTACCGGTCGGCAGAGATGAGGACGTGTCGTGGCAGTTCACCAACTGGAACTTGGTCCGGGGCTTCTTGAAGCTTGAGCACTTGCTGGTCGACAAACTGAGATTTTTCGTGAGCAACTACATAGGGGTCAAGCGGGCACTGAGTGTCGGGCTCTTCGCCGGGTTGGCGCTGGCGAGCGCACCGCCTGGGGAGTGTGAGACCTGAGAAACCACCGTCGACCCGGATATTGTCAGCGTGATCGCAGGATTTGCAGCGAATGTGGACTGTCGTGGCCTTGGAGGATATTGTTGAGGCACCAATCACGATACCAGGAATGCGGACGAGGTGAGAGATGTTTGTAGCGTTCAAGTCGCGGATGGAAATGTGGGTGGCTGAAGAGTGGAGGAGAAGCTGGTGGGTAGGGAGAACGATGTCTCGTTGCGAGGGGTAAACGATGCGTTGAGTACATTGTTGAAGGGCCGCCTCGAACTGGAGTCATTAAAAGTTAGCGGATTGTTGGGTCTCATGTTGGAGGTGGGCGGCACTGACGAGAGGGATGATATCTGCAGGCTCGGTGGTGAGCTTGTGGGCTAATTCCTCGTTGTAGGAAATCAGATGGGCAATGTCGATGTCACAATAGTACTGCTTGACGAGAGCGTTTTGGCGTAATTGATCTCTGACTTTCATTAGCCTTGCACGGAGTTTGCCCGACCGTTCTGGCATACCGGTAGATGAAAGCATTGTCGAGCTGGAACTCCAAAACGAACTCCCTCAGTCGGGACTGGATTTGTGTGCGAGATTCATCAGCGCCGTCAGTGCTGGGAGCGAGAACGCTCAATGTGTAGGGTGTACGTCTGTCCATGTTGGTGGCAGAGGGCGATGTGGAGGGCGAATGTTGAGGTTGAAGCACAATCAAGGAGGTCCGCCGCAGCAAAATGAATTTCCAGAATCGAGAATCCAGGGACACGAACAGAGCGCGTCGCGTGGAGCCACGCGTAAAGTGGTTCTGCCTGAGATCCGAGGCAGCACTCAGGTACCGGGGCTGGAACATTGATATTGCGATGCATTCCAAAACGGATTAGCGGCTGGGGTCGAGTACGCCATACCCGATCGGGGTGAGCTACGCAGCACAGCAGCCGACTATCGCTTTGACAGTTGGCGATATCATTGACTCGAGAACTCGTCGATTTCTCATCCGTGCCGCCTGGCTTCTGTTGCAATTGCTAGGTCGGTTGCCTATGTTACCTGGCACCAGGTCTAGCTCAGTCGTCGCTGTCTAGCTGCCCTTGTCATGCTCAGGTGAAGTGAACAAGCTAGGTGGCTGTCAGAGTCGCCAGTAGACGGCGAGATGTCAGCGAGCCCCCGGAAGTCGATTGACAGCCTAGCCTCGGGCGCATCGACTCCTTCTTTATCACACTACTCGTTCAACCAAATTGAATCTCCCCGCGGCTCGTCTCACCGATACCCCCTGAGGAGAGGGTCGACCGCCAGCTCGATTGTGAGCATCGGCGGAGTCCTCGATCCTTCCAATCGACATGGAGCGATAGCGGAATCGGGACAAAATGGTGCGTTATAACCGGCAATTGATTGTGCTGTACTAACTTAACAGCCATTTCTACGCTTCTTCAACCTCCGATTGTCCGCACCGGCCTCGTCCCTCATTCTCCAGCCGCGGCTGGAGGCTACAAACCTCCGAGCACTCGCGATATCCCTCCCGTCCCCTTGACGAATATCCCCCATGTCGATCGTAAAGCCTTCGAACCGTACTTGAGCCAAGTGGGGTCGTTGTATGAGGTCTTCCAGGAAGCAAAGGAGAGCAACGAGCAGGAATCACAACTAGCGCGGGCAGGCAAAACTACACCGAGGGCGGACGAGCAGGACACCCTGAGTCCGAGGACTTTCGAACGTCGGTTATCTGGAGTCTCAACCCACTCCCGTTCAACCTCTCCATACTCGACAGGCCGGAAGAGGTCGTCGAACCGCGGCCGTACACCCGCAGTGACCCCCTTGTCAACAATTCCGCCGGTCTACTTTGAGGATGACTTTCATCTCGAGAACCCCCGAACGTTTGATGTGGTATCGGAGAGATCTGAGGTTGTCACACCTCCCAAAGCACCGAGCAAAGACAACAAGGTGGACATTATTGAGCCAGCGCCGACTGGGAGGAAGGCACTCGCAACGAATGCGATCCTGCAGGAGAAGCTGTCTTGGTACATGGATACCGTGGAGATCCACCTGATATCGTCTATATCGACAGCCTCCAAATCGTTCTTTACCGCTCTCGGATCGCTACGTGAATTGCACGCCGAAGCTGCCGATTCAGTCAAGCGGATCCAGGTGCTGCGGAAGGACCTCCAAAAGATCGACAAGGAAATGGCTCTGGGGGGCTTGAAGATTGTGAATCTGCGACGCCGAAGAGAAAATGTTCGCATGCTTTCTGATGCCGTCGCTCAGCTTCGGGACGTCGTCCAATCCGTTACCCGGTGCGAGGAGTTGGCCGAGGATGGAAATATCGAGGAAGCAGCAGATGGCTTAGAGAAGGTTGAAAAGTTGATGGCGGGAGACTACACTCCAGATCAGCCGGAAGGCGAACAGCGGAGGACTGTTGATTTACGCAGACTCAAGGCGTTGGAGGGTGCATCGAACGAACTCGACCGATTGAGGTATCAGATCGGCACAGGCTATGAGAATCGCTTCTTAAACGAGCTTCTCGGTGATTTGAGGCGGCACGTTGACAACGCACCGTTGACAGCGACAGTGCAGAGATGGGGCTATTCATTCTCGCGGCAGCGCGGCAGTCAGCGATCTAGTGTTGCCGAACCACCGGCGTATATGTCCATCGACGAAAGGTTCCGATCTCAGCTACGCTTGCATCTTACTGGACTCGCTCGCGTGCATCATACCACAACGGCCGCGACTGCGTTCAAAACTGCCATTCTGCGAGAAATGAAGAGCTTGATTCGCAGACACATGCCGAGCAGCAATGACGACGACAACGAGTCCATGGTATCAGTTTCTACCCATCGGTCTCACCAGCTTAGCTCGCAGGAGAAGTCGTCTATCCTTGCTCGCAACCTCCGCGCCATGGACGCGGAAGACTCATACAACATGCTCGCCCAGGTGTATACTGGTGTCAGCGAGTCATTACGCAGGCTAAGTGTCCAAGTCAAGGTCCTTCTTGACATAGCCAGTGGATTGGGAAGCTTTCAAAGCCCAAAGTCTCCCATTGGAAATGGTCCGCGGGACTTATCGCATGCAGCTCAAGACGAGATCCTCCAGGTCTTGGACATGTCGAGTCTGCTTGGCCAAGCGGTGGACATTGCTCAGTCTCAGGCGACCAAAGTGTTGAAAGTCCGTTCTGAACAGACGGCTAACCTGTCGAAAGAAGATTTCGTCAAGTACTTTACCCTGAACCGACTTTTTGCGGATGAATGTGAGGCGATCTCTGGTCGAGGCGGCACTGCGTTCAAGACCGCCGTTGGCAATCAGATCCGTGACTTTATCAACCGGTTTGGCAACGACCAACGGCACCGCATCGTGCAGGTCATGGATTCTGACCGTTGGGACGCAAAAGACTTTGGTGAAGCCGAGTCGGAGATCCTGGACCGCATCTTGGGTGCCAGCACCAAAGATATCAATCTCTGGGTTAACGCCTCTAAGATATGGGTGATTCAGGAGCGAAAGCCATCAGATTCGACTGCAGTCAATGGGACAAAGGAGAAGGAAAAGACGCGAACAGCAGTAATTGACGAGCAAAAGTACATTCTTTCCGACTCGGCAATGGCGATGATGAGGAGCATTGAAGAGTATCAGTTTTTGATGGCAAACATACCCAACATGATACCCGACATCTCCTCTGGTCTTTTAGAGTCACTGAAGCTATTCAATTCGCGGTCGTCACAGCTGATTCTAGGCGCGGGGGCTACCAGGAGCGCTGGCCTGAAGAACATCACCACCAAACACCTCGCTCTATCGTCGCAGGCTTTGAGCTTCATCATCGCGCTGGTCCCGTATATCAGAGAGTTTGTCCGCCGGCACTCGCCGCCTAGTTCTTTGATGGCCGATTTCGACAAGGTGAAGCGACTATACCAAGAACACCAGTCCGGAATTCACGAAAAGCTTGTGGATATCATGGGCTCTCGGTCGTCCATTCATGTCAACGCGATGCGACAGGTCGATTGGGATACCAGCTCGCGACCTGCTGGCGTTAGCCCGTATATGGAGACCCTGACCAAGGAGACGGGGACACTGCACCGTGTGTTGAGCAAACACCTGCCGGAAATGACCGTCATGATGATCATGGACCCGGTGTTTAACAGCTACCGAGATCAGTGGACCCGAGCGTTCGATGAAGCTCAAATCAAGACGGAAGCCGGAAAGCAGAGGTACGCATCACTTTATAAGAATCAAGACGCATACTGACTTGTACAGGCTACGCCGCGACGCAGAACACTTCCAAGCAAAACTGAGCAAGATAGACGGATTTGGAGACTTGGGAGAACGTCTGTTAGAATTGGTCGACCGGAAGACGATAGAAGCGCCAGCGCAGGAGCCACCAAACGGCTCTCCCAAACAGGGTTCTCCTCAAACCCCTGCACAAGACGAGGCTAAGGCCTGACCGTCTTTGCATTAATTCTTGTATCTATAATCACTCCCACCTGTACAGCATCAGCGATATATATACTTTCATACTTCTCGTTCATAGACTATTTATTCGACCACCACTATTTTACATCTACAGCATCGGAAATCATTCAAACGGATCAAGAAGTCCTCATTCAATATTCTCATAATATAATACATCATAAATCCGGTTAGTTCTCCACTCAATGAAGAGACCGGTCCAAGCTGGCTGAAATCCAAGTCGGCACCAGGCCAACCGCATTCATCCCCGATTCATTCCATGTGGCTGCTTAAACACCAGGCTGCGCACCAAGACCCTTCATCTCGCCCAGCGTGTTAGGCTCGTGGCCGCCCTTCCCGCTGCCGCTGTGGTTCTTGTACCGCGCCTGGCCGCTGTAGGGCTCCGAGGAGCCGGTCACCTCGGGCATCTCGGCGGTGCGGGTCGCGCGGTTGAGGGTGTCGTGGTCCGGGTTTGTGCCGTGGACTTTGGTGTTTCCGGCTTCGAAGGTGTTGTCGGAGACTTGGTTGTCCTTGGCGTATTCGACTCCGCGAGGCATGGTGGTTGTGGAAGTGTGGAAGTGTGGAAGTGTGGTTTGGTTTGGTGGTTTGGTGAGACTGCGAAGGGCGTTAGTGTGCCTTTTTTGATTTGGGAGGGAGAGAGACCGTACCTGGAGTCTTGAGACTTGTAATAGAGATCCGATTGATTGATGGGTGACTGCTTGATTGATGAAGACGAGTGGTTGTTCCTCGAGGGTGTTATATAGCCCAGGGTGCCAGGGTCCCGTGGGGCGTGGTGTCACAGTGGCGTCATCGCTATGACTTCACCAACTGGACGCCAACAAGATCGTCAACTCCGCATCCGCATGTTCTAGAAGCGAGGAGCTTGTTTGCGATATGTTATTCTGTCATTATGGAGAGTTGGACTTGAGCTTGCGTCAATGGCTACACATCGGTGATGCTATCTGGCGATCAGGCCAGGTACAGAGCCAGGTCGCATTTCCATTTGACCATGATACAACGAGAGAACACGGAGAACGATGTTTCGAAGGAGAATGCAGTCAATTGCTATCTATGCTATAGGTAGTCGCTACGTAATGGCATATACATGCTCTCATCTCCAACACCACAACTCGCAGTTTCCAACATCAGCAGCGCAAGTCAACAATGGTCTGAGCAGTTATCGGATGCAGATGGACCCGTCATTTGTCTCTTCTCCTCGTCGCTGCTCTTGAGCCTCCGCCGGACCCGAGACACAACGGACGCGCTTCTAGCGCAGTCGGCTCAGCTGTTAGGATCTGAAAGGCGGCGGCAGGGTTACGCGAAGGGTCATGCTCTGCGAGGGCGCCAAAGGTACGAATGTTTGTTGTGTTAACTGATGATGGATATGGCTGACGAGATAGGCAATTCCTATCGTCCCGTGAACCAGTTGGGTGGCGCAAGTCAAGCTGCCCGCCCTGGCGACGGAGGTGATGGGTCCGGAAAGACTGCGAGCTCCCTAATGGCGCTGCGGTGCCTGCAGTGGTACGCAGAGCTTCATCTTCGGCTCCATGTCCAGGGATGATTGAGTCTGCTTGTCTTGATGATTGCCTGTGGGCGCGCGGCGGCCTAGACGCACTATGAGACTGAAAGCCTCGCGGTCCTGGTCTTATGGCTGTAGGAATTGCAGAGGACGGGCGATGGGTGTCTGAAGCATGTTGATCCAGTGCTGGATACCTTTTCGGGCGCAGTTCTGGCCTCGGCGCAACAAGAAACATTTGTTGATGTTGGCTGAGTCCTGCGCGCGGGTTCTGCCCTGTGCTCGGGCTCTGTCCTGCGCTCGCGGAGAAGTGATGAGTCCCAGAAGCAGGCGTTGGAGCAGGCGCCTGGCTCGACGATATAGCCGGTAATGGCTGTCCCCTGGGATACACATCACTTCGTGTTCGTGATTGGATGCATGGGGCGAAATCTCGGGCTTTATCGCCTGGAGCAACTCTACGACTCGGCCCTCGCTGCTGGCGAGTATAATTCTGTTGTGAGTTAGATTCAGCGGAATCTTCCCTGTTACGAGTTGTGGTGCGCCGAGACTGCTTGCCGGTTTTCAACTGGCTTTCGTCATGTTGTTGAACTAATCTCGACCACTCTGCAATCCGGCTCCTAAGTTCCGACTCAGATGGCCTCGGTGGCCCGGCAGGCACTGGTGTGTCTGTGGCATCGTCTGCTGTCTCCAACGGTGTAGTAGAGGGCCCTTCTCTACCCTTGTGGTTGCGCGCTTCTTCGCTGTCGTGCTTACCTCCTGGTCTATTCTTGCGCTCTGGTCTGGTCGCGTGCTCGCACTCTAATGCGCCCTCATGCTCGTGCTCTGGCTCACTCCCGTGCTTGGGCTCTGGTTTACCCTCGCGCTCGTGGCCTGGCTTGCCGTTCTCAAGCTTATACTTGTTAGCATGCGTCTTCCTGTGCACCTTTCCCCCACCGCTTGCGACTTACTTTGCTCCGGCACATGCAATCGGACTCGCGCAGACATACTGGTAACTTCCACTCATCCTTGAAGTCTTCCAGAAACAGACCCCACCGTTGGACGGGGTGCCGCATAGCGAAGAACAAGAAGTAATCGGAGAGATCCATTTTGTCTGAGCCGCTAAATGTTCCCGCTCGCTGGGACATATAGAAACTTGGTCGGTTGTTGGCCGACGACAGTCTAATTATGGTCTGAGAGTCGAAGTCGTCGATAACTATCAACGACCACCGGTCAAGGCTCTGGGTCGAGACGTCTTTACCGGCGTGAATGATGCTCGGGGAGGGGGTATTTATAGGTTTTGGATATATGGATGTGGCTTTGTCAAAGTTCAAAGCATTTTATTGCTGCCACTAAGGATACGAAGGTGACAAGGCCTTATCCGGATCCAGTGTCTTGTTCCGAGGTTGGCTGAAGGTAGGCCCTTTCAGGATATCATGAGCAAAGAACAGCACCACGGTACATTACCGCATAGTCAAGGAAATTGGACAAAGCTCTTTGATGTCCAAGACAAAGGGATTCAATCAACTCTGCATGGGACCTGCAACCTCATCCGATCTTGACTACGAGCTACGTTCGAGGCACGGTATGCTTCCTCTCAACGCACAGCTGGGAAATATCAATCTAATGCACAGGGACTTTAGGAGGTTTTATGCTCGGAGAGTCTAGCTCAGCCTCGCTGTATTATTTTCATTACTGTCATTGCTTCTATTCATTGTCCACCACTATCCACTCACCTAGCTACCACCGCGTCCGATCATGCAAGTCCAAGTCATATTACAGCCGTCTTATCATCTTCTTCGCGGCGCAGAGCGAATCCCGTTCCTTCAAGCCCGCCCTCAGCACTGTACAACGTAAGTAGAACCCATCCGCGATAAGGTAACGACCGCAACCTCATCCGTGAGGCTTCGGCCCAGGCCTGGCCATGACGCTGGCTTGGGCGTTGCGGCCTGGAAGCGGCCGTCCAGCTATAACCCGAGCCTGAGACTGAGACCACATTTGAGCCTGGCCATTCCCTCCGTGGAATATTGGCTTTGTATCATAGGGCACGGGAGGCGCTGGGCGCTCCGTTTCGTGGGAGCGTGGGAGGGCAGACCTAGGTGCCATAGGGGCAGGAGTTGATCGGGGTGTAGGGTAGGAGAAGTTTGGACCGTTGCCCCCTGCTACGGGCTGAACCGTCGATGCCCCCCCCCGTGTCAGGCGAACTTCCCGGACCCGGACACACCGTTTGACCCAATGGCCGCGGCCCCGTCCTCGTCCCCGTGCCCGTCCCCGGCCGCACCGTCAACGGCAACGCTAATGTTGACGACGACGACCCGGACGCGGACGCCTGGGACGAGCCTGCCGGGTCGGGATTGGCAAGACGCAGCCTGCTCCCCCGTGGCCTGTTGTCTGCGAGCTCACTGACAGCTCTCTGGGTGGCTTCTGCTATCATTGATTCCGTGACGGTGACAGTATGCGCCGAGGATACAAAGTGGTTCATGTATATTCTGTTCGCGTCAGTCGTCTCATTCTCATCATGAAGCTCTCCGGACCGGTGACAGCAGTTCAAGGCTTGGAGGATGAGTGAGGAGGACCATTTCCATTTCCGCGTTGGGGCGCTGGATGGGCTTGGTATAGAGGAACTTGAACTTCGAACGGAAGTCCTACTGCGCTGTTTGCGAAGGCGAGGCATTTTGGTCGATGTGGTTGAGATACTCGGGAAGACTGACTTGGGGGGTGAGAGGCCTTGTGAGGTCCAGATACCCTGTGCAGTGATTTCCGGAGAAGTGATTTCCGGGGACAAGGTCTAAGGTATGTATTTATGCTGCGTGGAGACAATGAAGGGAACAAGGATGAAAGAGCAGGATAATGGGCCTGGGAGCATTGTTTAGTTCTTTCGGGATCCGTCCGATCCCAGTTCAAAGAGCTCCCCGATACTTAGGGCTGCAGCTATTGAACAAAGAGGTTGAAGGAGCTTTGACAGAAGCATTGACCTGAATCCATTCGCTTGTAGGACAATGGACAATGGAGGGCTTTGCAGTTTGGGATTGGTCCCCGGCTTGGACTGAGGTCTACAGCGGACCTTCAAGGCAACGCTATCTAGTTTCTCTGCACGACGATTAAGATGTTCATGGTTGCTCGTCTACATTACCACGAAGTAGGAATCAGTCTGTATGATTATTGGAGTGAAGACGCTCCTTATCTGACGCGGTGATCAATGACTGGCGCAAGGGTGCCACCAGCATGAGCCCTAACAAGCGTATCCCTGCGAAACTTCCAAATTAAATAAAGGCTTACGATTCGGGCATTGACTGTTCGAACAGACTCTAGGTCCTATCGGCCAGTTCCGATGATCCAACTAAGATTCTAGATATGCTGGCCAACGTTGCGTCGCAGCCAGGAGTCCATCCACCGCGAGTGTCCATTGCTGAGTTACGCCCTCAATGACGGCACAGACCCAGATCGATCGAGATCGATAAATATCCTCTAGTCCAGGCTGCCCGTGATTGCCAGGTCGAGTTATACAGCAGCGCCTTCGTGATACAATGAGCAGGTGATTATGCTTAGATAGCTGGGCTTATTGTTCAACGTAAGAAAGGACCAGCAGGCACACTGAACAACGACTAGGAATAGCAACCCTGATGCGAGACAGTTACACTCAATGACATTCGATCGGCAGCAAATCCACGACTGATAATGACAATGCGTGGCATCCGCAGACCGGGCGAGCCCTGAGTCCGAACGCGGAGTGGTGGCGATCGCCCTGACACTATCATGACTTCATCACGCCCGACTATATAGCCCTCTCTCGTCCCAACTGAACCCAAGCCCCTCACTACCATCATACAATCTAACCACCTGCAGCTACCACAAACAATCGAACATCATGTCCTCCCTCCAAGGAAAAGGCACCACCTCCTCGGACAACCAACCCACAACCTCGACCCGCGGCGGCGCAAGCGCCTACCCAACCCCTGCAAACAACTCGGGCGGCGGCGCAGGCTGGGGCGACTCGGGCCTTCTAAAGGGCGGTCTTGAGGGCGTCGTATGTCCTCCATTCCCTTCCTCCCCTTCCATTTACATTCGGGGCAGCATGCTAACACAGCCCGCAGAGCAACCGCCTCTCCAGCTCCTCCGGCGAGTCCCACTCCGGCAAGCTCTCCAGCGTCACTGGCGAATACGCCTCGCTCAAGGAACAGAAGACTGCTGGGGAGCAGCGGTATCAGCAGGATGTTGATGAGGCGGGCGGTGTCGTGCCTAGCTCGGGTGATCATGCCGATGCGAGCTTTATGACTGGGAAGCCCGGTGGGCATGGGACTTTGCCGGGCTGGGAGACGGCTAAGGGGGCTGTTAATAGGTGAGCCACCCATATATCTTTGCTCATCTGCTATGTGGTGGTTGAGTACGGGCTAACGGTGTGCAGTCTGATGGGCAATGAGTAAAGTGGGTTGTATTGGACGGCGTTCTTGGGCTTCTTTTGTGTAAATACTATCTATCTTCTACTTTCAAGACATGACTTGACTCTATTCCTTGCTCTATAACTCGTATCCCTGCATTAGTGGTGATGTGATCGATCATTGATGCACTGGGGATGCCCTCATCTTCCGGTAATGGTGACGTCACTCCAGCACTACACAGTGCTCTCCCAGATGAAGAACCCTTTCCAATCTCTCGCTCTAGCTGTCTAACGCAGCAACAACAGTCTCAATATGGGCGTCCTCGGCATTCTTCACGCAGCGGTAGACTGGCTCCTGGGCTGGGCCAAACTGGTCCGTCTCCATCCACCAACGAACTGAACACCAACTGACTGCTGCAGGTCCAAAACCGCGAGATCGGCTGGCTCACCATTGACCGCAAGGTGCGTCCAACTTCTCAGTAAAAAATACCCAGCGTCTAACACCCCCAGACCGGAAAATATAAACGCGAGCAGCAGCCCATCTGGAAGAAACTTAAGCTCCTGCTCCTCTTCAACCCGCTAACGACATGGCTCGACACCACGCACGCAATGAGGCTGTATATGCACAACAGCGCCGTGAAGGAGGGTACGTCGCCTGCCACCCCAATACCAATCTCCTTTGTACCGCAGGCTGATACGGATATGCGTTTGTCAGGCAAAAAAGAAGCAACCCCGGCGTCGGCAAAACGCATCCGCGAATTCATCTCCTTCTTCCGCATCGACATGACGCAGTTCGAGCCCAGCGACCCAAACGCCTTCGCCACGTTCGAGGACTTCTTCATCCGCCACCATAAACCCGGCAGCCGGCCGATCTTCGAAGAGAACGACCCCTCCTCCGCCATCTGCGTCGCGGACTCCCGGGTCGTCGTGTACGAGGCCGTGGCCGAGAGCAAGAAGATCTGGATCAAGGGCGAGGACTTTAGCATCACGAATCTCGTTATGGATCGGAAACTCGGTCCGCAGTTTGGTGATGGGCCCGTTGCGAGCTTTAGACTTTCTCCGCAGGATTATCATCGGTATCATTCTCCTGTCTCTGGGCGGATTAAGGTGTTCCGGAGTATGCCAGGGGATTATTATGAGGTTGATCCGCTGGCGATCCGGAGTGGGGTGGATATTTTGACGAGGAATGCGAGGGATTATGTGGTTATTGACTCTGAGGAGTTTGGGGAGGTGCTGTTTGTTGCGATTGGGGCGAGTCAGGTTGGGACTGTGCAGTATGTCCGCCTTTCTATGTTTCTGTCTGCCTTTGATATGGCAGTGGACTGGGTTAACGGGTTACAGGATCCATGAGAAATGGCAGAAGCCCGGCGCGGAGATCAAGAAGGGTGACGAGCTGGGGACGTTCCAGTTCGGCGGGTCGAGTATCATTGTTGCGTTTCAGAAGGGCCGGATCCAGTTTGATGAAGACCTCATCGAGCCAAGTAAGCGTGCTGTTGTGGTGGACGTCGAGGTGGGCATGAGTCTTGGGAGGGCTACCTCCAAGGCGCAGTAGTTGGCAGCAGCAGCAGCAGCAGCATCTTGTCGCTTCTTACGCGGCCACGATTTTCTTTTTCTAGCGGCGTTAGCATTGATTGATATGGAGTTGTCACCTACCTCATTCCAGGCTGCCATTGCTCAGTCTAGGCTTTCTGCACCTGTCCTCATAAACTTTATTTGCCGCCTCCGTGACATCAGCCCGACATCCAATATCCATGGTAGAACAGCTGTATACCTATGGTAGACTTTGACCCAGACCCAGCCCTAAAGCTCGAGCTCGTGGCGCGAGTCCAGCCAGCGATGACTTCAAACCCAAGCACATAAAACATCAGACAAGCAGGCAAAGCAGCAGAAGTACGCAATACCCCCATAAGATTCATCATGGCCGCCTCCATAACTAGATCCCCCGATATCCCGCCCAGCGCCACCGACCTGCGCGACGCCTACAACCTCCAGCTGCAATCCGCATCCGGCGACCCCGTGAGCTTCGGCGACCTGATTCTTGAAAAGGGCGAGATCACGACGATTGTTGTTTTCAGTGCGCTTCCCTCTCTCCCCTCGCTGTCCAGGCTAATGTGTTTCGTGCGTGTAGTCCGCCACTTCTTCTGCGTCTACGACCAAGACTACGTCCGCTCCGTCAGCCACCACCTCACCGACAGCGTCCTCCAGACAACCCCCGCAGCCGCAGGCGGGCCGATCCAGCTGATCATCATCGGATGTGGGGACCCTTCCCTGATAGTCCCGTACGTCTCTGACACCGACGCGCACTTCCCCGTGTACAGCGACCCCGATGGAAAAGTGTATGAGAAACTGCACATGGAGCGTACGGTCGCGAATATCATGCGTCCGCCTGTGTACACGGATGTCGGGTTCTGGAGGTCCATGGGTATGACGCTGCGGCAGATGGTGGGGAGGGGATGGAAGGGCTTGCGGGGTGGGAGGTGGGATCAGAATGGGGGTGAGTGGGTGTTTCGGAATGGAAGGTGTCGGTTTGTGCATCGGATGGAGAGTGTGAGTGATCATTTGACGGCGGGGGAGTTGATGAGGATTTTGGAGAGGAGGGGGAGTGGCGATGAGGTTGCGCTTGGGAAGGTGGAGGATTGACGGGTTGTGATGGCAATGGCGATGGTGTCTGAGGAAGAAAGAGACATGGGAGAGGCATCTTCGCACGGCGCTTCGTGACCTAAATGTGTGTATTAGCCTTTAGACCTGATCGTGGTTGATTTAGTTCATCGCTCCTGCCGTAATGGCGTGTCCGCGACGCTTGATGACCGTCTCCGTATACTCCAAGGCGTCCGTGGTCGCCACGCGTCTTGGCCGCTATTATCGTCGGCCTTGTCGTGTCCGTCTCGTTTTGCCCATGTTTACCATGACTGGAGATGCTGTGCCTTGCCGCAGATGACCACCGCTTCATTTTTTTCAGTTGTGACATCCTGGCGTCGAGCCGGATCACAAACTTCAGCTTGAGCCCGTGTCCTGCCGGTACCATGCAGTCCTAGTTCACAAGAGGTATGGAAATCTGGATGATGGGCGCTAGTTGCTCGTCGGTCCTGGAAGTGCCACAATGGAGTGTTGGTCCGACGTGAGATTCGAGAAGGCGAGCTAGTGCACCGATCTGCTCAATCGGAGGATGTTCTTGTTCCCCAAGACGCCACATTTGGATCCCCAAGAACGTTTTATCAGACCGACGGGTAAAGACGAGGGTGTGAGACAGCGAGGCGTTTGAAGGTCTGATGGAGAAAGCTCTCATTTCGTCAGGAATGCTCTATGCGGATGCTGGTAGTTCCAAAGAGCAAGGATGTGCCCATGGTGGTACGCTCATGAAAGGAGGAGGAATAAAGGCAGGGCAGGAGTTCGTCAAGAAGTAAATCATGATTGGGTGAAGAATTAATAAGAGGGTAAGATTGGATGGAGTAGAGAGAAAGAGAGAAAGCATGGTGGTTGTGTTGTCTAGGTGACTCTGACCTCCGGACCATGCTGAAGACACAGAGTCCCTCATCCTTCTCAACCATCGCCTCCCACCATCTCTCTCCCTCTACTTTCTTCTCATTCTCACCTTTCTTTGCCGCCAACTACCAAGAGCTCTTAGTAAGTACTTCCCGACTCCATTGCCGCGCTCTGTACTGACCACTTCTCCGCTTTGCTTTCAGAGTCAGGGCCAAACCTCCAAGACTCTCCTGTCCCTCACCCTGGCCTTCGCCATCTCCAGCCATCCAAATGGCCATTGAAAAGGTCCGCGCTCCGAGGCATGACCGCACCAAGTGGGTATTGACCCTGACTTGTCTGGCCTTCAGCTAATATACAGAATACAAAGGTTGCAGGGCGGCACACTCACGGTCGTGGTCGGCAAAGAAACACAAACCCAAACTTTCCTCATCCACGAGACCCCCGCTCGAAAGGTCTCCGATTTCTTCGACAAGGCATTGAGCGGACCCTGGAAAGAATCCAAGGAGCGCACCGTGGAGCTACCGGAGGTGGACCCTGATGTATTTGCTCTCTTTGTCCACTGGTTTTACTTCAAATCACTCCCTGTCGGTCATGATGATATCGGTGCCGAAAAAGACATGGAGTACATGGAGCTTGCAAAGACATATGTGCTGGGCGACATGCTTGTTAGCTCTGCGTTGAAGAATGCCGCAATTGACGCTATAGTTGAGAAGAGTTTAACTCCCAAGGCGGATGAGAATACCTATTATCCCAGCATCGAAGAAATTCAGTATATCTACAGCAACACTGTGGATGGGGCTGATATCCGCAGACTCATGGTGGACCTTTACTTTGAGCATGGAAACGACAGCTGGCTGAAAAGCAAGACCGATTTTCCAAATGCCTTTCTTCTGGCATTGGCTGAAGATTGCTTGGAGGAACGTCGACGGGACAGTGAGTGGATTAAGCCGGAGAGGTATCACGCCTCGGCTTGAGGAGGTGAAACGGTGGGCAATCATAGCCATATGAAGATAGCTTGGTGGTGGTCTTTTCTCCGCAGATTAAGCGGCGAACAGAGCTGTCTACTCTGACATCCCTGGCATACTAGGTATAGTGGCATATTGGATATTCTAATTCGCAATCTACCGACTTTAGTTTGTCGATTACCCTTGACCTACGCGTTTTGCCTGGTAGAAGCAGCCTAGCAATGGTGAATACTCCTGGTGACAACCTTGGGAACTTTATGTCAATTTCTGCTCACTAAACATATCATGCGTGGATTGATACTCGAGTCCTAATTAGAAACTCGAACCCTTCAATCGATCCTCCCTCTGCTCTCTCACTTTCAACTTTCATCCAACCCTACCTTCCCCCTGCCTCAATTATTTCCCCTATCTCCACTTTTGCTATTATTATCCAGCAAATCTTGTGGCCCCAAAGGCAAGCATTCACGGTCAAATCCTAAGATCTACAACTCGCGCGATAGCATTAGATCTAATTTCAGGTAACTGTCATTCTTCAATTTCTATTACTGACACCACTAACACTGCCATGGCTGAAAGATGGTCTCCAGATCTCCCTGCCGTCGCCGGGCATCGCGCACTAAGCGCCGAACGGCCTCAGCCATATCGGAGTGGAAAGTCCCATCCGTGAAGGAAATCAGAGTTCCCAAACTGGATCGTGCTAAGTAGGTACTGGCCTTGATCTATTGAGGCCCTGCTAACTTATGCACTTCGTTTACAGGCCGTCTGGCACCACAGTGACCATCGTTGTCGGATCTGAAGGCCACACACTCTGCATCCATGAAACGCCGGCTCGCAAAACCTCCACTTTCCTTGATGAAGAGGTGAGCTGCTTGGAAAACGACTTTAAGGAGAAGAAGATCGAGCTACCAGATGAAGACCCCGAGATATGGGCGCTCTATGTGCATTGGGCGTACCTGGGATCAATTCCGACCAAGGCCGACAAGGAAAGTATCAAGGATGTGGAATACCTGGAGCTTGCGAAGGCATACGTGCTAGGAGAGGTCATTGAAAGCCCTGGGTTTTGCAATTCGGTAATTGACGCAATTTGCTGGAAGGTCGGGTTGGATCACAGCAAGGACAAGATCTCTTGAATCCGGTAGATGATTAATGATATCTATGAGAATCCCGGAGGCTATGCTATTCGCACTCTCATGATGGAAATATGGGTTGATCATGCACCAGATGACTGGCAGATGACGAAAGAGACCCTTCCATATGAATTTGTCTTGGAAATCGCTGGCGTTGCTCTGGATGCTCGGAACTCCAGCCTCTATACAGATCCCTATATGAAGGGCCCAGAGTCTTACTATCGGCCTGTCTAGCGGACTAATGATCCTGCTCGCCAGTAATTTTCTTGGACGGTGTTGCGGTGCCGGTTATCTTGTTGAAGCGAAGGGTTTTGAGAGGCGCTCTAATTTGCGACTGGTGCAGAATGTGACACACATTAACTTTACCTAGCTATTCTGCTATTTTGGCCTTCCGTGGCACATACAAAGATATTGAATTTCTCTTTAATCTACAATTTGATCCGTCTGGTACGTAGTATTGAAGTTCGTCACTACTATCCTCAAGTGATACTAGATACCTAGGTGGGATAACGCGGTTTCATCCTGTCCTGGTGCAGGAAGGCAGTGGGAAGTAAGGCATTTAGAGTAATTAACTCCCTATATAAGTCCAAACCCTTTCAGCTGATGCTTTAAGCGGTACAAAAGAAAAGAAAGGGTGGTGGCTGTTGTCTAGGTAAGTGACTCCACTCAGACTGGTCAGGAACACAAAGCACTCGCATTTTCTCCCTCCTCCCTCCTCCCTCCTCCCTCCTCCTTCTTCCTCCCCACCAATTCTATCCTCTCTCTCCCTAGTCCAGCCGTCTACTCCGCACTTCATTATCTAGTCTTCAGGCCCTGGCCGGTGAAGTCTCCTTTTCACAGCCTCTTCGACCAACGCGCCTGCTTCTTGTCCTGTCTCGGAGGACCTTCGTCCAGAGACTCTATCTCTTGGTAAAAGCTAGAAGTGCTAGGTATCAATCCCGGTGTTTTATCCAGTTATCACCCATGCCCTGACATCTATTTGACGTCTAAATTGCTCAAAACATCCGCTGTTCTGTTCGCCTCCTCGAAACAGTCCACCTAATCATCACCTCAACCTACGCGCGCAATGCTCGGCGACTGGGTAATCCGCGCCCGTGAGAGAGCCCGAGGGATGTACGTGATGCGCCTTGCCTATCTCCTGGTATCGCTACTAATGCGCTAGATACACAGATTCTGCGGCGATACCGTCTAGACTTCGGTCGGAGAACAACGCAAAACTTTCGTTGTTCACGAAGCGGCCCTTCGCGAATTTTCCCCTTTCTTCGACAAGGCATTGACCGGAGAATGGAAGGAGGCTAGGGAGCGCGTTGTACAGCTGCCAGAGGAAGATCCCGAGGTGTTTGACATATTCGTCCATTGGGTCTATTGCGGCAAGCTCCCATTTAGCATCGATGAACATACCGGCGATATCGACGCAGAATATATGGAGCTAGCGAAGGCGTATGTTTTCGGGGAGAAGCTGCTCAGTCCAGAATTCCAGGATAGGGTGGTCGACGTGGTGGTTGAAAAGAGTCGTGCTGACAGGAACCATCGGCATTGGATGGAGTCATGCCTTGGGATGGATGTCGTTCGGTATGTCTACGGGCACACGCTAGAAGGAACTCCGCTGCGCAAACTCGTCGTGGACATCTTTTTTGAATACGGAGACAAGACTTGGCTGGATGGTGAGATTGATGTCCCGCAACCCTTTACTCGGGCTCTCGCCATGCATCACCTGGCTGGTCGTGTTTGGGATGAGAATTGGGTTTACTCATCATTCAGGTATTACTCTGCGGGTGAATTCTCGGAGTTCTGAACATTAGGTCTTGTGGTGCATCTTTCTTTATGCTTCATGTGGCCACCATGCTTAAATTGTTTATCCGGGCGTTATTGGGCCTCCTTTGGTAGTAACTTGAATAATCCACAGTATCGGGCGTGCAACCTCGCAATCTCAGTGACCCAATAGATGCAGTACAATCATTAAGACATGGTCTAAAGATGCGCCTCACTGTAGGAAGGAAGCTGACCGGTAAGATGAGGGCTTGCCGCTCCTACAATTGGCCTTCTAGCCTTTCCATATTCTTCCACCCGTCCTTTTCTCCAGTCATATACAAACGAAGTAACAGAACGATGGCACGATTGACACCACCTTAGAGTTTCAATTTGGATAGAGCACAAAGCCCCCGTGTTTGCATCTCTTCTATCTTCTTTTTCACATCCATCTTTCCCTCACTTATACCTCATGGCCCATATGTTTCTCCTGGCTTCCTCTCTCCACATCCCCCAACCACCTCGCCTGATTCACCTTCATCCTCAACCTGAGGTCTATAATTGTATGCGACAACAGAGTTTTGCGGTGAAGCCTCTACCTAGGAGCTCCAAGGACCATCAATCGGAGCCACCCCTGAGCAGCTTTCCAGGTAGATGCCGCCATCCTCAACGACTCCATGCCCTGACGCTTACGCCTCAAGACTACCAGTTCTGTCGCCATGCCATCGAAATTACCGGAACCAGAAGAGCCAGTCCGGGGGGATAGAAAATTCCGCAAGTAGTAGGTCTCACCCTTGATCAAACAAATCAAGATTCATGCTAATGCAGTCTTCACACCTCCACAGCTTCCTAGGGCCCGCAGTCAGAATTTACGTCGGAAGCGAAGCCCAAGAATTCTGCATCCATGAGACATACGCCCGCATGTACTCCGCCTTTATTGACAAAGCCCTGAGCGGGCCCTGGAAGGAAGCCACAGAGCGGAAAATCCACCTTCCTGCGGACGAGCCTGAGATCTTCGTTCTTTTCCTCTGTTGGTTATATGGGGGGACCATCGCAACCGAGAACTATGAGGAAGGCAAACGGGTAGTGGACGTGGAGTACATGGAGCTCGCAAAGGCGTATGTCCTTGGTGACAAGCTGATGAGCACTGGATTCTGCAACAGTGTAATCGACGCGATCTGCGAGAAACTTGACCAAGAAACCAACTGTGATAACCCCATGTCTGCAAAGCTCCCCGGCCGCGATGTCATCCAGTTTATCTATGAAAACACACTCGTCGATGCTCCGATACGAAAACTGATGGTGGACATCTGGTGGAACCATATGAAGTCAAGGTCCCTGGCGGAGAAAACTGATATCGCCCTTCCGCAGCCCTTTGCTGTGGACCTTGCCATTGCTGGTCTTGACAGAAGAGGCGAGTCTTCCTCTGTTCTTGTGAAATCCAGAGGATACTATTCTCCGGTGTAGGGGTATGCTTTTTCTTGCTGGTTTCACTTATGATTGGGTAAAGAAGGCAGATTCTTCTTCTTTTTTCTTCTTCTTTGGAACAGAGAGTTCCAATTCTAGAGAGACACTCGTTTTCAGCTAATGCAGGATTGGTAATGCCATATCTTTTGGGATATGCTCCATGGTTCTATTCTTTCTTTTGTGAAACTAGACAGATGGTTAGCTATTGTTCAAGCTACAATTAAAGGCTCGATGCAAGGCGTCGCCGTTCGTGGCTGCGGTCAATGCTATTTCAACTACAAATAGTGAGGATGTGAGGCCCTTTGTATACCGTACTAACTAGTAAAGCTATTAATTAAATACTATAGGAGAGAATAAAGAAAGAAATAAGTTATTTATTAAAAGCTAGAGCTACCTAGGGGTTTATATAAATATTTTAAGCCTTTAAAAACTTATTAATAGCCTAATTCCTTTATTAAAATAATAAGGTATTAAGCGCCTTACTTTTTTATACTAACGCGGTATATAAAGGCGTTAATAAAATAAAAACTTTACTAAACTTTACCTTTAGCTAACACACCCCTTTAACGCCTACTAAATACTAAAAATAAGGCTAGAAATATTTACTAAACTAAGTATTTTAATAAATTTATAATATTATTATTTAATAAGTAGCTTAGTAAGGCCATTTATAATTATTTAATTAATAAAAATTTATTTAATTTTAAGGTTTTTATACTAAACTTCCTATTAAAGCTATAAGTTATAAATATTAATATACTAAAGTTTTAATTAATACTGGATATAAGGGCTAGTAAAAATATTAATAATTTATTTATTATTATATTAAACCAAGAAATAATATTAAAAATTAAATTATATTAAATTAAAGACTTGGTACTATTAGTAAGTTATTTTAAAAGCTTTAAATAAAGTAAGTAATTTTATTTTAATTATTAAAGTTATAATTAAGCGCTACTTTATAACTTTTTATTTAATTAAATTATTATATAGCTTGTAAATATAGCCTATATTAAAAAAATAATTAAATTAATTAATAAAGGCTATATTAAAGTAGGCCTTGTAGGGATTATATACCTTTAAAATAAGCTTATTTTTAAAGCTATTTAAATTAAAGTATTTAAGGGCTATAAAGCGTGTATTATAAAAATAAAAAATAAATTAATTTATTATATATTAATAATAATCCGCTAGATTAACTAGGTGTTTTAATAATTAACTAATAATATAAAAAATATTTAAACAGGTAAGCATGCTTGCATATTTAACTAAGCTAACTTTAAACCTTATTTTTTTAATTTATTAAGGTGTAGTAGTACTAAAGTTTAAATAAAGCTTACTAAAAAAAAAAAAGGTATTTTTAAAGGTTAAACTATTATATTTAAGTAAAATTAATTTATAATTACTTTAATATAAGAGTCTTAATATAACTAAATCTTGTACTTTTTTTTATTTTAAATAATTTAAATTTTTAAAAATTATTTTACTTTACTAAAATACTAGAGCTTGTACTTTATTACTAGTTTTTTTTTAAAAGTAGCTATAGCAGCTTGGCCTTTTTTAATAAAAAAATTTATAATAATAATATTATTTATATAAATAAAAAAAATTATAAATTTATTAATATAAAGGCACTCCTTTTTAAGAACTATAATAAATTTAAATTTTTATAGTATTATAGCTAAATTAAGCTACTAAAGGCATAAAAACTTTTAAAGTTTATAAATAGCCTTAAGGGCCTTTAGTAACTTATTTTATTACTTATAGCTATTTAAAAAGTAAAAATATACTGCCTTTTTAAGGGCAGTGTTAAAAAATATGTTAATAGCATTTTTTTAATTAAAATTAAGGTTAAAAGTGGCTATAAGTATTATAAAAACTTTAAAGGCCCTTGCTAAGGCTATTACTACTTAATTTTTTTTAAAAAATTTTAGTTTTAAATCTCCGCACACACAAATTTAGGCTTTAGCTTTAATAAAGTAGTTATTAATATTAAGTTTATAAATAAAAACCTATAATAAAAAAATTAGCTTATTTATTTTTATTTTTTATTTATTTACCACTTTTTATGCTCTTATTTTATAAAAAGCTTTTAATTTAAGATTTATAGCCTTTAAAAACTTATTATAAAGTAAATAATTTTTAAAATTACTCTAGCACTTGGGAAAAAAAAATAAATTATTTTAATAAAGTTATTTTTTTATAGGGTTTTAATAAAAAGTAAAAAAGGTAAATTAAATATAATTAAAGTTATTTAAATTATTTAAGGAAGCGTTATTTAGATTTAAATTATATATATAATTATTAATATTATATTATTTATGCCTGCGCCTAGATATCCTAAAAAAAAAGCTAAATTTATTAAAGTTCTACCCTTTAAGCGCGCTAAGCTTAAAGGCTAAATAAAAAAAAAAAAAAAGCTAGGCGTGCTTATTTATTTTTTTTAAATAATTATTTACTTACTAAATTAATAAAAAGTTATTAAGATATTTAAGGGCATAAAATTTATTACTAGGGATTTTTTAAATAGGCTCCTGGAGCTATTTATAAGGCCAAGTTTTATATAAATTTTTTATAATAATAAGGTTTAAAAGTTGCCTTAAAAGTTAGCAAGTATAAAAACCTATTAGGCTAATTAAAGGCCTTTTTTTTACTAGTAGTATTTTTAATTTTACTAGTAGTATTTTAAGCCTTATTTTTTACTTTATACTTACCACCACTATTAATACTTTTTTTTTTAAAAATCTTTACCACCCGTGGTTTATTTATATTTAAAATACCCTTATTTTTTTTTTTATTTAAAAAATTTGCTAAAATTAAGGTTAAGGTTAATTTTTTTAGTTACGTGGTTTTAAAAAAAAATATTAAAAATTTAGGCTGGAGGCTCTAGTAACTTAATTTTAATATTAATAATAAAAAAGGGATTTTTTAAATTATATAGTTTAAATTTATTAAAAATAATATTTTTACAGGCATGTACAAGCTGCTTTTTAAAAAACTAAATTTACTAAATATTTAAGGTAATATAGCCTAGTAAGTATTTTAATAAAGCYTTTAGTTTTATTTTATAAAAACTTTTTACTTAAAATTATTTTACCTAGGTAAAATAACCTAGTATTTTAATACTAAAAATATAAGGTTTTTTACTAGTAAGTGCTTCCTATAATATTTTTTAATTTAGTGGCTTAATAAAAATTTAATTATTAATATAAGCTACTGCCTTTATAACCCAGGGCTATATATTAAAAGGGATCTTTTTATAAAAAATTATTATTTTTACTTTTTTAATTAATATACCACTAGAATGCTTAGCTATACTATTTTAAAAAAAAGTATAAAAAGTAAACTAGTTTTAGAATATACCTTAAAATATAATAAAGTTAGGAATATTATTACTAAGTATAAGCTTATAATTATTAAAAAAAACCTTAAAAATAATACTAAATTAGGTTTAAATAAGCTTAATATACTACTTAATAATATTTTTATACCTGCTTTTTTCCTGGTAAATATAAGCCTAGTAAAACTTAGTATTTTTATTATAAAAGTAAGTTACCTACTTTTTTTTATTTATTACTTTTTTTATAAAAATTAAGTTAAAGTAAACTTAATTAAATAGTGTAGTAGCGGGATCTTTAAGCCTTTTAAATATTTATTAAGGGGCTTATTTATATTTATAAGTATTATATTACTAAGGTAGTTAAAAACTAGTAATTTAAACTTTTTTAATTATAATTAATAAGTATTAAAATACCTTATTACTAATATAGCCTAGGCGCTGGTAAAAAGCTTTAAAATCTTTTTTAATATAAATTTTTTAAGTTAAGGTTTTAACTTTTTATTAAGTTAAAGTATTAGCCTTTTCTTGCTTTAAGTTTTCTTTAAACTTAATTATTTAAAGGTTAAATAAGTAATCTTTAAAATAAAATACTAGTTTACCATTTTTAGTAATTAAAGTATTAAAATTTTAAAAATATCTAGCCTTTTTAAAAGGCCTAGCTACTAAAATATTAATATAAAAGCTAGGTATAAAGGCTATTTTACTAAAAGTAAAAGGTATTATTTTATTATTTAAAGCCTTAAAATAAAAAAGTACTAATCCCATGCCTTAAATAATAATAGTTATATTTTTTACTTAAATATTACCTTTTTTTAATTAATTAAAAAAGGTAAAATAGCTAAAATTATTATAAATATAAATAAAGGCACTAGTATTAAAAATAAAGGTATTTTAAAGTATTAAATTACTTTAAATACTTATAATAAGCGCGTAGCTATAATATTTTTTTTTTACCATGGCCTAAGTAGCTAAAAAAGCTTTTTAAGCTTTTTTTTTAATTTTTTTTTATTTTTAAGAATTTATTTGTTCTTGGCCCTTACTTTTTAAAGTTTCTTATTATATTTATTATTTTTATTAAAAGCTTTACTAACTTTTTTATTTATATTTTTTTTAGGTTTGTACCATGGCTTTTTATATAATTATATAAAATATTAATATTATTTTACTACTTAAAAATAGCCACATAAATAAGAAAGCTTGTTATTAGTAAGTGCTATTTTAAAAAAAATATTTAACTTTTTACTAAAAGTTATAAAGGCCATAGCTCTGGCAAAGTTCTTAAAAAAGCTATTAATTATAAAAAGATATTATTAATATTTAAATATAAATTAAAGGTAAGAAATTAAATTAGTATCTTTTTAATTTAATTAGTTAGTATTTTATTTTATATAAAAGTTTAAATACTTGCTAATTATCCGCAGGAAGGTTATATTAGCTATTTTATTTTTTAATTTAGGTTAATTAAGGTATTTAATCTTTTAGTAGGCATTCTTATAATTTTAAAGCTAATTACTAATCTTACCTTATTAAATTAAAGTATTTAGGGCTATAAAATAGTTATTAAATACCTTTAGTTTAGTTTTAAAATTAATTAAAATAAATTATTACTTTAATTTAACTAAAACCTTTGCAGTAAGTTTATTTTTAATAAGTTATTAAATAAAAATAATAATAATTTTTTAAATAGCTTTATTTATTTTCTAAACTTTAGTATAATAATACTTAGTATTAAGCTAGTATTTATTATATATTTTAAAAGCCTTTTTAATTATATTTTTAGGAGGCAACTTAAAAAAAAAAAAATCTTTTTTTTTTTTTTAAAAATATTTAGGTTAAAAAACTCCTAAACTCCTATTATTTAAGTAAAGTAAAAAATTTAACTATACTAAGCTAGCTAGTTATTCCTAAACTTAAAAATAATTTTTATACTTATAATATTATTAATAAAGGTTATAATAACTTTTAAGTTAAGTATAAAAGTTAAAAATTAATTAATATTTATTTTAGTTTAATAAAAAAGGTAATTAATTATAAAAAGGCTTGGTATAGCTTTAGGGCGTGTACTTAAAAATATAAATAGCTTTAAAATATTTAAAAAAGGTAAAAATTTAACAAGCTAAACTATTAAGTTAATATCCAGGCTTATAACTATAAGGCCCTTTATATATTATATTAACTAGTAAAGCTATTAATTAAATATTATAAAAAAAAATAAAAAAAAAGCAAGTTATTTATTAAAAGCTAAAGCTACCTAGGGGTTTATATAAATATTTTAAGCCTTTAAAAACTTATTAATAGCCTAATTCCTTTACTAAAATAGTAAGGTGTTAAGCACCTTACTTTTCTATACTAACGCGGCATGTGGAGGCGTTGACAAAATGAGAACTCCACCAAACTCCACCTTTGGCTGACAGAGGAGGTTCCCAGTAGCACACTGCTGTCCTAATTCAGCGTAGAGCGGCAGTGGGATTCATGGCACGAGTGTTGCTAAGTGTTGGACAAACATACCGTCTTCCCGCTGTTGATAGTGAAGTTTCCCCAACAGCGCGCTTTTCCCATTCCTACAACATCGTCGTCCGGAGGATCTTCCGTTTCTGCGCTAGATTCTGACGGTTACCCTGCGTGCCTTACACTTCAGACCTTCCACATTCTGACCTCACTCAACTGCCGGCCTATCCGTCGCTTGGAATATCTCGAGATTTCGTGATGGCCATTGAAAACGCCGCGCGCGTAACACAGGCCGCCCCAATCACTGGGAGGTCCCACATTAACCTCATCAAGGCCTTAGCTAACATAAATGTCTACAGCTGGCTTTCCTTCAATCTGGGATTTTAACCTCTTGATGCAAGGCCTTGCGGCTTGCCATTGCAGCCCCGTTAATGTACTTAAAACGTAGAATACCACTGTTCCGTCCTCGCGCCCTGGGGGGGNGGAGTGGGGCAAGGATAAGTATGGCACCGAAGTGTTCGCAAGGGCGAACTTGGTGAGGAGGACTTTGTCACCGATGTCTAGGCAAGTCAGGAGTTTAGTAGGATTGGAGATCCGAGACTGGCAATTGCTGATCTCGATTCATTGAATACTGCATACAAAAGAGTTTGGATCTCCTAAGCAAACCACGGCAGTATAGTAGTAAACCATCGTACTGCTGGCAAAGCTGGGAATCCTATCAGGCTTGCGTCCTGCTATGCCTCAGCACCTGCCAGGACCCAATATTATGCTCAGTGGCCCTGGTGCCTTTTGTTCCCCACACTCCAGGCTTCCCCTTCCAACTCCTCCTCTCTTCAACAACTCCCTACCGTACGTTGTCTCCATCTGCTTAGGCTTGCTTCCTTCATGATTTGCCTACCGGGTATCATACCTGCCAACATCACCCTACGGCCACCTTTGTTTGCTTGATCTGAAACGATGCGACTCGTCGCCAAACGTGTCGGCTTAGCGACCTCTTCTCGCAGTTCCTTAGACAAGTACCTCCTTTCCTTTCTCCCGGTATTACCTTTAGGCTTGAAACTGACAGATTCAGACCTGTTCTCCGGATGCCAGGAACAATTGAAAGATCAGCCCTTCAGGCAAAACCTGCATTCAAGCGCCCACGCGAACCCTCCGAACCCCCAGCGCCAGCGCGGAACGACCGCCACCTCAAACACAGGAGAATGCGAGTCGCAAAAGAAGACCGGAAGAAAGTATCGGGATATACAGTTGAGGTTGTAGTGGGAGAGGAAAACAAAATGGAATCATTCTTTGTTCATGAGAATCTGCTCCGGTCCTCTTTGCCACACCTCCTTCCAGCCCGGAGCAACAGAACAGTCCATCTCCAGCATGATAGTCCCGAAGTCTTCGCTATTTACCTCCACTGGCTCTATTACGGCACCCTCCCAACCAAGGACACAGCGGCGATTGATCCCGATCCTACTCCTGAGTACCTGGATCTGGCCACCGCTTGCGCTTTTGGAGCCAAGTTCGAGTGTTTCGAATTTCACAATGCTGCTATGGATGCCTTGGTCACGATGATGAACAAAAACAACATTGATAATATACGTTCCCCGGATATCCTTGTTAAATACGCTTATAGTCGTCCGGCGTCCGGTAAGGCCCTACACCGGGTGCTTGTGGATATGTATCTGTGCCATGCGACAGCCGATTTGCTTGACCGGGGCAATTGGGAACACGGTCATAATATCCAAGATTTTTTACTCGATATTGCCAGAGGGTCGCTGGGCCGTGATCTCTCCAAGTGCGAGCCCCTTGACCCATCGAACTACCATATTTAAGACGGCCTTGGAGTCTTTCAAGGATAACGGCATATGTCAATGGTTTTCGCTCTCTTGCTCGAAGTTGCTCTTATGTTCTCGCAGGCGACAGTAATGATGGTCCGAGGACTTACAGGTATGCGGTTCAAGTCAGAAATTGGCGAAGTGGCGCTCAATTTCTTGGTTTCTGCGGCGATTGGTTCTTACTCCTAGTTGGAAATACTGAGATCTCTTGTTGCTTCACCCGCGTACTTCTATCCTGCGTTATTATGGCAGTGAAATACACAGCTTATATTTCCTTCTCATTTACTATCCAAACATCAAAGGTCTGGCATAATTGCCCGGGATTTCATCAAGATCTCAATGGTATGAGCTCCAGTAAGCAAGCAAGAAAGACGATAGACAGTTAGTAAGGCTTCGTGGAAGGGAGACACTGCCTTCTTTTATCGGTTTCCACCTCACTTCAATCTAACACAACACAACCAGTGCGCACTCCCTTTGCCTTCCTCAACCTTTACCTCTTTCATCTTTCCAACGATCACTTGCAATAGTGGCCTGTCTGGTTTCGTTGCTCAAGACCCCGCGATCCTTCTTGAACGTGACATCTCGATAAATCTGCTGTGACCGTGGCCCAACGAGAAGGCCTTGCGCGAGGTACACACTCCACCCTAGCTGATCATTCCAAGCAACTAAAACTCGCTGCGATTTTCCAGATGTCAGGACAGCCACCCACCCCCGATTCTTCTCTGAAGCGCCAACGCAAACAATCGACAAGCTCCACAGAGAGCAATGACAGGAACAAAAGGCTCTGTGTCGCCAAAGAGGACCGGCTGAAGACAAGCGGGGGAGTCATCACCATCTTGGTAGGAAAAGAGGAGAAATCATTTTTTGTCCACGACAACTTGCTCCGTCGCTCATCGGCATTCTTCGAAAAAGCGCTGGATGGCCCTTGGATTGAGGCGACTCAGAGAACAGTCAAGCTACCAGAAGATAACCCTGAGATATTTGCCATCTACGCCCACTACGCCCACTGGCTCTATTCTGACAATCTTGCAATCGTGGACAACACCTCACGCGAATCCTCTCTAGGCGACTTCTTCGAGCTCACTGACTGTTACGTGTTTGGCAATAAGGTACTCTGCCCTGGGTTCCAGAATGCTGTTATTGATGCCTATGTCATGAATTGGTACAACAGCTCCTGTCGACTTCTCTTTCGTCCCGGGGAGGAAATAGTGAAAAGGATATATGGAAACACGGCGCCGGGCTCTGCACTACGTCGCATCGTGATCGATCTTTACAATCGATACGGTGACAAGAAATGGTTGGATCACTGGAACGAACATGAGATCCCGCAGGAATTCGCGGTGGATATTCTCAGGGAATTGCTACCAGCACGAGAAAAGCGTTATTCGGACCATGGCCCTCTCAAGGCATCTGACTATCATGTATAGGCTACCTTGCTCCTTTGAGGATGGCATATGAAGTTCAGGCAGGCGTTATTACTCGGGACTTGCCATTTTGATACCACTTTCCTTTTTTTCTGTAGGCCTAGCCATCCATCCTTTTCACAATTTATTGTGGAGCTTGACCTTGGATATCTAAAGAATACTGGCAGGTGACTGGAAAGCATGACGCACCGTTTGATTGCATCCCTTACGAGGCAGAATTAATTCTTTCTAATTGACTACACATTTAATACTATGAGGCTGGGATAGTGGTGACATCAGAAGCAGTTTTCTTGCTTTGCTTTCTTTCAGATAAAACATTTGTGCGAGTTCTTTCGGGCCTCTAATGGGCATCAATACTTTGAGCTTCAAGTAGGAAGACGGATAGTTGAGCCCCTGTGGCTCCTCTGTAGGCAGGTTTCGAAAGGGCAGGGCTGTAAACGACCCTTGTCTTTCACTTCCTACTCTTTCAAAGTGGGAGGCAAAGGGAGAAGGATTAATAGGTAGTCGATCTGGAATAAACCAGTAGGAACATTTTTAACGACAGAGCAAGGCTGAGAAGAACCCAGTCGCATGTTGCCTAGGCAGCTAAGCGGCCCTGCATCCGCTAGCCGACCTTTTCCTCTGTCGCAAACGCTGCCATCCAGAAACTCTCTTCCCACGACCACTCTTTACCCCCCATTTGATCGACCCTAGAACACTGCAACATCTCTGTGCAACCAGCAGTCTTGCCAAAGTCTTCGCCCGTCAATGTACAATCATCTTTTCCCATCATATTATCGCCGCTCAAACTCACCTGTGTTCTGCAGATGGCATCCACAGAGCCCACCCCCGACTCTCCCATCCAACGCGCACGGGAATCATCCCCACCCCATGAACCGGACAAGAGGAAGAAACTCCGTACCGTTAAAGAGGAACACGCATTGTGAGCCAAAAGGTCTTCCAACGATACAGTTGAGTCTAGCTAATTCGTGCAGGGATTTCGGAAATGTTGTCACCGTGGTGGTAGGGAACGATAGCGAAGGGAAATCGAAATCTGTTATTGTTCACGAAGACCTACTCCGCGCATCATACGAATTCTTCGACAAGGCCCTGGACGGTCCTTGGAAAGAATCTGCACGGCGAATAATTGAACTTCCCGCGGATGATCCGAGAATATTTGCGATGTACGTCCGCTGGTTGTATTTCGGCAGCCTAGCGGTTCTTAAGGGAAATGTTGAGGCAGAAGAAGGCGAAAACCAGTTCACCAACTTAGTCAATGCTTACATCCTCGGCGATAAGCTGTTGTGTGGTGACTTCCAGAATGCTGCTATCAAAGAATTCGTCAAGAGAATGAAATTTTTCGACCCCCACAACGATGTCGTGAAACACATCTATGCACATACAAGGCCTGATGCCTCTCTGCGCCGTCTTGTTGTTGATGTGTTCATCATGAATGGTACCAAGGGCTGGCTTGAGGACTGGAATGGTGATGAAAACATCCCGCAGACCTTTATCTTGGACATTGCTAAGGCGGCGCTGTCTGGCAACAACGGCCAAAGTAGGAAGAGGCCTGATCCAAAAGACTACTATGTATAATTGTCACTCCGTATCAATGGCGCCCTGCTTGTTCATAGGCACCTCTGGCCACGGCTGAGTGCTACTTCTCTTTTTACTTTATTAGAATTGACCATTGGAAAGTTGTTTGCCTTGTAGCATGACGCGAAGAAGATTCTATCGAGCTACACAGAATTTGAAACCACATTCCTTCCCTTGGATAGCCAATAATGGTCCATTTCTGTGAGCGTCTCACAAGGTGGACGCAAGGCGAGCGGGCAGGAAGACCACCTGCAGGGTAGCCAACCCGCCCAGCGGACTTTTCTTCCGTTGCAAACGCTATCCATTCTACAAGCGACCCCTCTTTATCCTCCTTCCCTGACCTTTGCGCCGTTTCTAGGTCAGCAAATGCCCAGGACACCTCATTGCCATTTCCTGCCTCTTTTTGCAGCCCCTACCCACACGTTCTCTACAGATGGCACTCACTAATTCCACCACTAACCATGCCGCTAATCATGCCGCTAAGCGTGAACCGGAAGCATCTCCCAGCTCTGAACCGGACAAGAACAAGAAGCTCTGCAGTGCGAGGGAAGACAGGGAGCTGTGAGATCAACTACCCTTCGCCAATGCATTCCGGCTTAGCTCATTCTTCTCTTCCAGGGCCTTTGGCGATGTCATCTCCGTCGTTGTAGGAAACACAAGCGATGGAACATCAAGGTCGGCCGTCGCCCATGAAAAGCTACTCCGCTCATCGTCCGAGTTCTTTGACAAGGCGTTGGGCGGTCCCTGGAAACAGACAACCAAGCGGCGTATTGAACTCCCAGACAACAACCCTGATGTGTTTGCGATCTATGCCCACCGGCTATACTCCGGCTGCGTGCTAGCATTTCCTGGCGAATCGAGGGACAGTGACGTGAAATTTCTTGAACTCGCCAGTGCCTACATCTTAGGCGATAAGCACTTATGCCCTGGCTTCCAGAATGCTATTATCGAGTCATTTGTAGCGGAGCTTTACGAACCACAAAGACTATTTCCCTCGAATAACATTGTCAGGTACATCTATGAGCATACACAACCCAACTGCGCGCTACGCCGTATAATAACTGACGGGTATGTTTATCATTCGCAACCTGTTTGGTTTAATACTTGCGAGAAGGCAGGGGATATTCCGCACGCCTTCGCTGTGGATGTTGCTAGGGGCTTGGTAATAATAGTGGATTCCGGTGAAAGAAATCGCGAGCGTCTCAGTGCAGCGGACTATTATGTCTAAGACAGATATATGGTCCCTATGTCTTCTTTGGTATATCTGGTATTTGCGACGCATATGGCATCTGTTCTGATGGGCTATCTTTTTGGGCCCTCAAGCACCTACGTATCTGCGATGTCCCTGGTTATCTTGTGAGGTCTCGCTTGGAGCTTCCTGGATTCCGAAGTTAGCAGCCTGATTAGCTACATTTCAGATTGAAGAAATCATGTTTGAATGATTTTTTCTGGTTTTTGGGTCTAGTTTACGTCCACGAAGCTTACTAAGTGCATGGGTCACCGTAATCCATACTGTACCTACGGCGGGAAAGCCATGCGGGGACAGATGCGCGATGCGCGTGGCCGAGCAACACCAACATCCCCAAACCAACATTCCAACCCCACCACACTCTACCTAGTACCCTCCTCTATCCCATCGAAAACGACGAAGAGGCTTTACTAGATTCTTCGTCCATCGTCATGATGCCATTGGTTAATTCCCATCCTCTATTCCACCTCCTAACCGTCCTTTCCATCCTCAACCCCAACCTCACGTCAGCGGCCTCGCTAGGCGCCTACAATGTCGACCCGGCCTCAGTCTCCATCTCCGGCTTCTCAAGCGGCGGCTTCATGGCAACCCAGCTGGGAATCGCCTATTCTAGCATCTTCAAAATCGGCTTCGGTGTCTTCGCCGGCGGGCCCTTCGACTGCGCGAGGAACCAGCCCGTACGTGATGTCCCTCTACCCCTCAACAAATAGGCGGCGTGCCACAGACACTAACACGATCCCAGAACCGCACATGCATGAACAACAACATCCCCGCCATCGAAACGCCAACAGAGAACATCAAGCTCTGGAGCGGGAAGCAAATCGACGATATCGCCAACTTGAAAGATCGCAGGGTCTACATGCAAGTCGGGGAGTTGGATCGCACGACCGGCCCGAATGTTCTTTCGCAGCTGAGGAATCAACTATCGGGGTTCCTGGACAAGAAACTTATGACGTATATTGTTACGCCTGGATCGGAACATACGATGCCCACTGATTTTGATAGCGACGGGAATAACGACTGCGCTGTTTCTGGATCGCCTTTTATCAGCAACTGTGGGTATGATGGGGCCGGGGAGGTATTGGGTTGGCTTTACGAAAATGAATCTCTGACGTCGAGAAATATGGGCGCTCTAAACGGAAATGTCTTTGAGTTTGACCAGACTGATGGATTCGGTGCCGGTGCGAGTGCCAGCGGTATGGGCGAAAAGGGCTTTCTCTACGTCCCCGATGACTGCAGGAACAACTCGACGGTCTGCAAACTCCACGTCGTCCTCCATGGATGCTGTGGAAGCTACGACCTTATCGGTGAGAAGTTTGTGAGGGATACCGGGTATAATCAATGGGCAGGTAAGCGTCGCATTCGGTGTTTTCTCCCATTTGGACCTGACCGCGCCTAACTAGCTACATCGCAGATACAAACAACATCATCATCCTCTATCCACAGGCGGCAGTCGACAATTCGCTCCATACGATCTGGGACGGCGGAATTCATTCTAATCCTCTCGGGTGCTGGGATTGGATCGGGCTCTATGGGGATGACACGGATCAAAAGGGCGGTACGTATTCTCGCAATATATTCCTCCAACAATAGTAATCAAGTTGATAGGGGCGCAAATTGAAGCCGTCGTGAACCAGGTCAAGAGAATAATCAGCGGTTTTTCGGAGGAGGGTTATCGAGCGGAGGCCGCGACTATGTCTGGGACTGCATCTGACCATATTCATTGGGAGCTCTAAGAACGATCTCTACCTGGCGGCGAATCCCGAGGCGCATCAAGCAATTCGCTAGAATTTTTTCTGCCCGGAGGCCCTCATGCCACGGTCTAATCTATGAGGAACCCTGTTCCGGTATGGGCGTTATCTTTTGGCCTGTTGAGTTGCATAGGTATCCGAATAGAAGCGTCAAGTCGGTGGAACAGCTACGTCCAATTGCTCCCAAGGCGTCGCGAAAAATTTGCTACAAAGAATGGGCAGTGGAAATCATAATGAAACTACACTGCATGCTGCCCAGTCATGGATGGTCCTGGTCTGTCACTGCTTTGGGCGTAGCATAACCACCACCGCACTCTTATAATCGGAGGTGCGGAACTCGGCCTCACCACGTCTACCTGCGTTTTTTATCGCGCAGGCCTGCCGTTACGTTTGTCCTGCTCTTTTCCAAGCCTTTTACGAGTAGTGTCGTCCTCGATTATCCGAGGTCTAATAATGGCGGATCCGTTCTCGAGCACGGGAAGCGCCGTCGGCGTTGTCTATGTCCGACTGACCCTCTGCCAGAGCCTGATTTCATATTCCGAGGTTATGGGCCATGGAAAGACTTTCATGACGAAGTAGGTGAGGTTTGATCCCGCATTAAAAGTCTCGGCGGTCTTCTTAATGCTCTGCGGGATATCGTTGTCGACTCGCCAGCTATTCATGTTACCGTTCCCCTTCAACCCATCCACGAGGCGACGCGCGTAGCATATCCTGTCAACACGGCGTGCTCCACAGGTAAATTCACGCTAGTCTCGAAACTCTGCTTTCCATTTTGAGAGACTAAGTCGCCGATGAGGAGAATCTCTGCATGAGACCATCGCGCCGGCTGTCTCCGTTATGTTCTCTTCACCAAGCTGGTCCTCATGCATACGTGCCCAAGTCATACCCCAGGGTAGGCGCGGCCATGGGACCTGCATGTCACCCGAAAATATATAGGATATTCTAGAGGTAGGGCTAGGTATACTCGCAAGCCTTGAGGGCTAGCTGAAAGTCTATGGTGAGTTTCAGGGTTTCGGGTGCAATATACACGCATATGTCTTGATATGTGGACCGTGCGATGTGGAGGATTTCATGTCTTAAAGAATAAGCGTGGAGCAAGTGAAGAGCCTACAGAATAGATGACTTGATGTGCATTAGACAGGTAAAATATACGCTACTCATTGCTCTGATGCTCTAATCCCTGTTAACTTATCTCTAAACCAGCCTTAAAATGCAGATTTTTTTGAGATATCACCTCTACCAGAGGTTTGTATCTTAAATACACTTGGACTAGCGAGTATCTCACCCTTGGCGGGTATTGGGAACCGTTCTCAGTACAGTGGAAGAGTAGTACAATGCTGCCCTGGCACAATTCTGGGTGATTTCAAGCATGCACGCAAAGCCATAGTGATCCACCTTGATGAAATGCCTTTTTTACCCTGCTGGTATTGTCGTTACTTGCTTTCAGCCGTATATATTGACAGCAGTTACCTTCATCTCCCACCCTAGTTGCTCATCTGATAATCTCTTTGAAAAGGGCAAGCTCACTGTTATAGTAGCCACCCTGGTTGCTGTGGTACTCCAGCCTCGCTATTGGAACAGGCGGGTCTCCGTCGAATCTCGGCTATTGGTTGCAAGACCTGCCAGTGAGCAAGACCAGTGAAGCTGATACACCAAGTCAACTCTCTAGACTTCGATTCTTTCAAACTGCGTAAGGGTTAAGCGGTGGACAGCTGGCGCGTCTTACAATGTACAGCACTTTTTTGCTGGATCACCAGTCTGGGGTTCGAGATTTCAAGGCAACCCGAGATATATATCTGCGTCAGACCGGCAGTATTCAACGAACCCCACGAAAAGACATATTCGATAGCCACCACAAGATCAAAGACACGATGAGCGACAAGAGCATGCCTAAAGAATCACCGCCTGGCCTTTTTTCTGGCCTCAGGCCTTATGCCGCCTGAATCAGACATCCATTTTTGTTCCATACAACCCCACAACCATGAAATAGAATGGGAAAGATTGGCCGGGATTGCTTTCTGCCAGCGGGGTACGGAGTAAACAATGGTATGGACCATACGTCTCCCATCATAACATCGTCGTCCCTGCGAAGCATCCCTAAGATTCTCCGGTTCCTTGTCCCGCAGTTGTCGGAAGGGTCTGATATCAAGGGGCGGGAATCGGGTGGTACCCCGTCCACTAATGGATCCATAGGTCATCGTCTACCCCGGTGTTCGACGAGTGGCCAAGTTCGAAAAGGAAAAGACAGCGAAGTCGAAATCCGCAGGCCCCCCGTTGGGATGAAAATCTTTCTTATGTGCGGCGTGCCGCTGCAAGGGCTGGCCCGGGGTGCAGGTTCGTTCGTATACCGCATATTGCTTCTCACTCGTCCGACAGAGTCGCCGGATTTCGTTGTGCAGAGGCAATATGGAACGCGGGCTGCAGGCGCTGTCCTACCCGAGCCGATTATTTCGTGTTGTATGGCACTTTACTTGCAGTGCGGCTGTGCCTCGAGGTTTACGGGGTAAGCTTGGTTAATGTGCGTCATACTACTGGTGTTTGGGATAAGTCCACTATAAACTTCGGTGTACGGAGGACATTCAAATGCCCGGGCACGAGCTTCAAGAGATTGAACAGGACCTTGATGGAAATCCCTCACTTGGGTGAGTCGGGAAACCAGATCTCGGGCACATCGTGAAGAATGAGATGGTGGTAGGTGGATCAAAAGATCTTCCCGGTGCATCGCTGCTGCCTGGACGTGGACCTTGAGGTCTGCTGCGAGGATGAGGTTGCCTCACTGCATAGTGCAGACTGCCAGCTTCTATACAGAGTCCACGGTGAGATCGACTACCCGACAACCTATAGGATTACCGAGTATGCCACCTATCCTTCCGTGATCTTCAAGACGGGAGATGCATGAAACAGGATTTCAAGGTTTATCCATGCACTATGCAAGATCGTGACCCGCCATTGCGGTCCAGATATAGACGTGTACTATCGTGAGGTAATCGGAGACAGAAGACATGGGATTGCCACGCCTGTGGCTTCATGCCTTGGACTGTGGAGTCTGGAGAGTACGGGGGTATCCGGGGCACAGCTGCAGTGTTTCTGGTAAAGTATATGGGCGTTTGCGAGGTGGATAGTGCAGTGGACAATATGCAGATCAAGTCCAGCTCGTGGAAGATAACCAAGGGGGATAATGATCGTGGATGTCTTTACGGGACATTCCGGATAACGATGAAGATATGCAGATGGGCATTGTGGATATCAAATAATATCAGCAAATCGGTAGAAGCATTTAGCCATTTCCTAGATCGGCATTTGATAGCAGTTTCAGGTTATACCTTCATAGCATTGTTTCAGCGGCGACTACTCTGCTGGATACATATGCATATACCCAGCTAGGAATTGGGGAGTATCCCATTACCTCACTGCCCTCTTCTTCTTGCGCAATGATGCATACCTAGGTAAGTTGGTTAACCGCTCTAGGCCAGAGGCAGAGGATGGCGAAGGGAGATTTCGAGGTGGCCGAAGTCTGCCCCCGAACATGATCTGCAGCATCCGGCAGATTGAAGATACGACCCAGCCGAGTCTCGACTCCTCATGGAGCTGTGAGAACACGGAAGCCTGGGAGATTGGTAACTGGGGACTTCATCTGGCAAGCTGGTTGGGCTCTGGAAGACGGGACTCTCGTGCGAGAGAAGATCGATATATGCACAATGACGACAGTGACCCATCTATCTTCAGAGTATTCCAGGTGGTCCATGCTACTAGCAGTTTCAGAACTCCATGCCGTATGTTGAATGCCGCATAGTCTGAGGACCCGCTGGCATGGGGGTAATGATATCCTCTACAGCAAGAACGACTGGCGTCCAATCATTTGTAACAAACCGCGCATTGAGCCCCGGCATTCCGATTGGGAAACCTCTACGGAGGTTAGGGTTGTGTACCAGGTTCTCTCTCGGAGTGGCTTAAGCCACCGTGGCACGGACATGGGGATACTTCGGATGCAAGTAGCAGCGCAACATCATCGTGCAGATTGCAGAAGACATCGGGAAATATAGGGACATTCTCTAGGGCCGCGTAATTGGGTATATGCCAAGCAGTGATCCAGGAACAGAGTTTTTGTGCCGTTGCGCTGTGCGGATCCGGATCGTCGCCGAACCGAAGATGCGCCGACTATTGCTGCCATGGAGGTGAAGAATTCTGCATCACGTCAGAGTCTGCTTTACCTTCTCTTAAGGACTCATAGTAAGAGCAACTAGAAACCCGCTGAGGTGAAAGGGTAGAAGGTGGAAGATACACATGATACTCCGAGTCCGGGGTACGTCGCACAACAAGCAAGCACCTTAGTATACGCGGCGAGTCTTGGAGTACCAGAATGGATTTACTATGTTACTACTTACTCCAACTACTTCTCTGCCCATGCTCATACCGCGATAGGAAAAAGCAGACAGCCATCTTATCAACCGGGGCCAGTGGAGCCAGACGGGACGCCCTTATGGAGTACCTAGCAAGCACATAGGAGGAGTTAGGGCTCAAGGTCATCCACATCCAGCCTTGCGATGGCGATCAGTGGGTCTGTCAGGCACTGGAATTGAATCCCGAATCCCGAGTGGCTGCCCGCGAAGGAAACTGGATACGAGCATGTGAAGGAGTTTAATCTATTGCGGTGGGACGCCATCACTAGCATCCTGGTAGTGCGCGATAGACTGGTAGGGCTAGTGCTCGTAGGCGGGATGTGGCTCAGGAGAATATTGTATGCTTGGATCTCCGATAGACAGTGGCAGATTGTCGTCTCGTGGAATTTACAGCGCTATTGAGCTGTCAAATGCCAGTCGATGGCACCAGCCATTTCGTGCAGTGCAGATTGCTGTCTCCCCTATTGGGCTGGCCATGCATCAATATGCAGGGCATTCAAACCTTGCGAGATGGACTGCCAACAAGTTCAATGAAGGTTTCCCCAGCTGTTGTCGCCAAGCGCCGAAAGTGGAAAGACACAGAGATTCAGGTGCAGGCACGATGACGACGCACACAGTAAAAGGCAGGAGCCATAGAACCTACCTGAGACCCTAGTGGCGGAGACCCTTCTCAACCAAGTATTTGAGATGTCAAACGTATGCTTTCTGCCACAGCCAAGGGCACCGAGGACCATGTGAAGTGCCGATGATCATCGCCCGCGGCGGAATGACGTGTTGGGTGTCCATTGGAAGTCAAGGAGCCATCAACCGGAGCCATCCGGGTCTCGAAGAACTGCCTGATGCGGCCGTTGTTTCGGGAAGCCGAGTTGTGGCCTGTCAATGTCATGGCCGGGCTGATCGTCTTCATATACGTCTTCGGGCTCGGCTTGCGAGCAGCGATCAGCTCGATCTGCGTTTCGAGAGCGAAGAATGCAATTCTCGAACATTGCCGTCTCGTGGAAATTGCTGGGCTGATCACCGCTCATTTATCCTGCGCCGAGGGCGGCTGCAGCGTGAATTGCACCGGCCGACCGGTGTGATACTGACTCTGCACTATCCCTTCCAAGCACCGTGGCAGCGAATTAGACAAGGCGGCCCGCAGGATACACGCGGGAGGCCAACTGCCGTCCGACACGAGCAGGGGTTCAGCATAAGCTTAAGCACCGAAGGGGTTCGTTGCTCGTGCTCCCAGACTCCCAGCGCAGTGACAGCCGCCCCAGCCCTAAACGGGATGCCCAATTTTTGAGACCCCCCCACCCATCCCTAACAGTGGAGTCTCCCCATTCCGGCATCGTCCTGGCGATCTTCTAGTCCTTCCCAATAGTTTGTGTGACCGCCCCACTGGCCCCGGTATGGGATGGCATTGCGATTGAGACCGAGCCTGCGCTGGCGGTTCCTCCAGCAGGCGTCATGCCGTGGCACGATGGTGCGCAATAGTCTGGCAGGATTCAGGAACTATTTAGGAGGCTGCACACTCGCAAACAATGGCCCGACCCAGCCCTTTTGTTTGCTCCCAACTGCATCCCCAGCTGAGGCCGGAGGACAGAGAGAAAATGTTGCAGGACGAAGTGCGCGCTCTGCGCTGTGATGCTCAGCAGCCTGGATCGCTGCAGAGGTTGGACTCGCTGCTCAGTACGTACCAGCATGAGCAGGAGGAGGAGGGTGCTGCGGAGCCATGGCTGGCCATGGACATCCTCCGCTGCTACCAGGACATCTGGCTCAGCCTGCCAGAGCACGCTCGAGACGGAAAGGACACGGCCACAAACACAGTCCTCGCCCGCATCCAACACCGCATGAAGCAACGGACCGCGCCTCTCCCTGACCTCCTGCTCAACGACTCCTCTCGACCAGCCCTCATCGACCCGACCTCCAACCAGCAACTCTCGTACGCACGACTCCGGTCCTTCATCCATGACTTTGAGCTCGGGCTGCCGTTTCCCGCGCAGGGACGGCCTAGGGTTGCCGTGATGCTTCCGAACGGACCGATCCTTGCCCTGGCGGTCATGGCCATTGCGAACCGATACACCATGATCCCGATGGCTAGGACCGTAGCCCCTGAGCAGCTGAGGGCGGACGTCGAGGCCGTCGAGGCCGATGCGATTGTCATGCTGGAAGCTGATGTCGACAAGGTCCAGCTGGACGAGAGCCTGCCTGTTTTCGCCGTCCACCCACAACCAGACCTCACCTTCACCGTAGCTTCAACGAACCCTGCATTCGTGCCAGCACAGAGGACGAACAGGAGGAACCCCGACGACGCGGCCGTGCTCCTGTTCACCAGTGGCACCAGCGGCAAGAAGAAGCTGGTCCCAATCACAGCCTACAATCTCTTTGCCAGTGCCGTCTTCACCATGGACAGTGTAGCGCTCGACGGCACCTCGCGTTGTGCCAACATGATGCCGCTCCATCATGTGTATGTCCTGCTCTGCCTGATCCCCTCTTTGAGTAACGTTGCTAACTGCATCAGGGGAGGGATGATCCGCTCCCTCTACGCGCCCATGCTCGCCGGTAGCTCGACCATCTGCTGCGCCTCCTTCGACCCGAGTCTGTTCTGGGACGTCGTCGAGGCCTGGAGTCCGACCTGGTACTATGCGACGCCGACGATGCACCAGATGATCCTGGCCGAGTCCGAGCACCGGGCCGACGCCCTTCGGCAGAGCCAGATCCGGTTCATTATCAACGCAGGCGGTGGTCTTCCCGCGACGCTTGCTGTCCAACTGCGCGAGGTGTTCCAGTGCACTGTGCTTCCCAGCTACGGTATGACAGAGTGCGCGCCGATTGTGGCGCCACCGACGAATTACAAGCTCGATCGGGAGGGCACGTCAGGGCGACCGGTTGGGCCGGACGTCGCCATTCTGGATGCGTCTGGACAGCGTGCGCCAACGGGTGTGACGGGCAGGATCTGCGTTCGTGGATTCCCCGTTTTCCCTGGATATCTGACGGAGCAGGGTGTCATCAACAAGGATGCGTTCGATGCGAATGGGTGGTTCGATACCGGTGATCTTGGGCATCAGGACGGCGAGGGATACCTGTTCATCACCGGGCGGAGCAAGGAAGTCGTCAACCGTGGAGGCGAGATCATCTCGCCCATTGAGGTGGAAAGCGGAATTCTCTCAGCGGCACGAGACCCGTCTTCTGCTCTCTATGGCCGCATCTCAGAGACCCTCGCCTTCTCGACTCCCCATGACGTCCTGCAGGAAGTGGTTGGCGCCGTCATTGTGACACCCGCAGGCAAAGCACGGCCTGACCTGCGACAGCTCCATGAAGCCCTTGCTGAGCGGCTGCTCCAGCCAAAGTGGCCGGCTCTGATTGTGTACATGGACGAGGGCGTGCCCAAGTCGAACAACAAACTGCAGCGCATCCGGTTGAGCCAGCGATTAGGGCTGGAGACCCTGACGGACGCTACCCCGGTGGCTGAGAGGCACTTTGAAGCCAAATGCCCGGCTCAGGGGACGCCATTGACGGTTTCCATCCCTCATACGAGCTGCATGATCGACGGCCAGCAAGCTCTTCCATTTATCGCAGAGGCCTCCGGCAACCCAGACGTAGTGATGCGCCACAACCCCGTCGACGGCTTTCCTCAGGCCATCTTCTTCAACTCCGAATCCCAATCCCCCATCACCGTCGCCGAGCTCTTTCACTCTCTTCGACATTCCGTCCACGGATACCTCATCCCCAGTAGCGTGAAATCCCTCCCTGGCCCCATTCCCCTTGATCTGAACAGCTATGTTGACGAGAAGGCCGTGGATGAGGCCCTCCGGTCTCTCAATGCTTCTGCCGACTCCTCTTCGACTGAGTACCGCGTTCGTGGCATCTTCGCCCAGGCGCTCAGCCAGGCTGTTGACGAGGTTGGCGCGGATACCGACTTCTTCGCTGCTGGAGGAGACAGTCTCTCCGCCGGCCGTCTGATCTCAACCCTTCGTCGTGAATTCGGCATCCGTCTCTCGGGAGACGTTCTCTTTTTGCATCCTACTGTTGGGGATATCACTGATATTGTCGACCAGGCCTGCGCGAAGAAATCCCCTGATGGCGCTCCGGTGGAACTTCCCGGGTGCACCGAAACACACAGCTCAACGAACCCAATCGTACTGATCCTCCAGCTGCTGCCAATGCTTGTCTTCTATCCAATGCGGGTTGGATTGCAATGGACTATCTTCGTGTTTCTGATGGGCGAGACGGCAAGACGCTTTCCTCCTGATGGTGTGCTGATGGGACGCCTGCTGCATATTGTTCTCATTGGACTGGCTTCGCGTATTGCAATCGGGATCATTGCACCGGTGTGTGCTATTCTGTGCAAGTGGCTTCTCATCGGACGGTACAAGGCCGGGCTGTATCCCATGTGGGGATCGTATCATACACGCTGGTGGTTGACGCAGAAGGCGATCAAGATTAGTGGAAAGGTACCCTCCCTCCGAGGCGCGCTTCATGGATCCATGCTAACTGGCACAGGGAGTATTCAACTACTTTGATTTCACTCGCAATCTCTACTACCGCCTGCTGGGCTGCCACATCGGCCGCAACGTGACGATCCACCAGTCTGCCTCGCTGGGCGAATACGACCTCATCCGCCTGGAAGACGACGTCGTCCTGGAAAACTGCATTGTGCGCCCATTTGCCGTTGAACGAAACACGTCCATGCTCTTGCAGCCTATCACCATCGGGTCTGGGTCCCAGATCGGTCTCCGTACCGTCATCGCCCCCGGCTCAAACCTCCCTCCCAACACATATCTCGGCCCCAACTCCTCCAGCTGGGAAATTGACAGCTCAGACGAAGCGAACAAGGACCTGAACTCGGCCGCCATTCAAGGGCCTCACTGGTTCTGGGCTTTGCTTCTCGTCGAGCCCCTTGGGTTGATTGCCGGGTTCGCGTACCGGTTGCCCTGGCTGGCCGGGTTGGTCCCCATTGTGATGCATTACCCCCTGCACGGATATGACATGCTGCGGGTGATTGTCTTCTGGTTCACCAACCCCACGCGTATTGGCTGGCACATTCTCGCGCGTATCTACTACGCCGTCGCCGGTCCCATCCTCTGGTTCATTGCCATCCTCCTGATCAAGACCTTCCTCGACCTCACCTGCGGCCGAGCCCAGACCGGCCCGATCGAGAAGATGTCCCAGCGCCAGAAGATCCGGCAAGCGGCGCTCTTCAAGGTCCTCCCCAATGGAAGTCTCGGTCCCCTCACCCGACTCATCGGCAAGCACTACGAGCTCGTGTCGGTCGCCATCCGCCTCCTCGGTGGCCGCGTCGGCAAGCGCATCTACTGGCCGTCTGTTGGCCCCGGCATCCAGGACTTTGATCTCGTCGAGGTCGGCAACGATGTTGTTTTTGGCTCTCGCTCGTACCTGGTCACCAGCGACGGCAGCGGCAGAGAACGCGTCACCATCGCGGACGGGGCCATGCTGGGGGACCGTGCCGTGGTCCTGCCTGGCGTCACCATCGGCGAGATGGCCATGGTCGGCTCTGGCTCTCTGCTCCGTCGCAACGGCTTCTACCCCCCTGACACTGTCTGGACCGGCAGCAAGAACGGCAACGCCATCCAGTTCCCTTCTATCGGCTCCAACAACAACCAGCTATCTTTTCACAACGAGAAGCCCAAGGCCTCGACCCCATCCTCCTCGTCTGGCTCCGCCACAGTCACAGCCAACAACTCCGGCTCGTCAACCCCTGAGCCCTTCGACAAAAAGGCATTCGAAGCATCAGCCCGCCAGCTCCCCATGGAACGCGACACAACCCGCCCCTTCGGTCGTGCGTTCTACCAAGGCTTCGCCAACTTCTCCGTCATCCCCATCCCCGGCATCGTCTGCTACTCAACCTTCATGGTCATCCTCTCCACCGTCTGGCGGCTCATGGGCGTGCTGGCCGGCCTCCTCGTCCTCGCGCACGCTTTGCGACAGGAATACCGCGCCTTCGACCGCGAGTGGTGGCAGCCCTTCTCCGTCTACGGCCTGTTCACAGCCGTGGTCTCCGCCGTGTCCTTCGCGCAAACCATCATCGGCGTCACGGTCGTCATCGCAACAAAGTGGGCCGTCATGGGCCGCAGAACAGAAGGCGCATACCACTGGGACAAATCCTCCTACAACCAGCGCTGGCAGTTTTACTTGACTGTCGAAACCCTCATCAAGGACTCCTACCGCGGCATCGGCGTCCTGCCTATGCTCTCGGGCACCGCATACCTCAACGCATTCTACCGCCTCATGGGCGCAACAATCGGCAAGGACTGCTCGCTCCTCTCGAACGGTGACCCCAACATCCTGCTTACAGAGCCTGACATGGTTACCCTCGGCGACCGGGTCGCAGTTGACGATGCGTCGTTGGTCTGCCATCTGAATACAAGGGGTGAATTCGAGCTGCATCCGCTTGTCGTTGGCGACCGGAGCATCCTGCGCACCGGGTCAAGACTCATGTCCGGCGCGACGATGGGGAATGACGCCGGTCTGCTTGAGCATACGCTTGTGCTCTCTGGTGATTGCGTTGATGATGGCGTTACGATGCAGGGGTGGCCGGCGGAGCCGTTTGAGGGGAGGAGGGTTACGCTTTGAGCGGTAATGGCTTAATGATGTATATAGATTGCTTTGCTTCACTTCACGTATTTACTTTTGTTACTTTGATATAGAATAGACATGAGATATGATTAACTTAACTTGTCCTTCTTTCAGCGTAAGGTACTTTTACACAGATGGTGGAAGGGAGGTGGTCTACATGGGCCCGTACGTCCTCGGCGCATATCAAGCATTCATTCTAGTAGAGAGAGCGCGGGGTAAGTGCAGTTATCTTCCGATATCTGGGTGTCTATCGTCTTGCCATGAAACCATCCTAGCCTGCGCAAGGGGCGTACGGAGCGTGCAATGCCGTGCCGTGCAGACATGTTTGGCTTTCTGGTTGGTATCACGGTACCTAGGTAGATAGGGTTAGCTCATCGTATAGCAACTGTAGCTAAAGGTATGCACCAACGCCGTCTAGGCCAGACCCTGGCCAAGTCCAGCAAGGGCTTCCTATGGTACGGATACGCTGGGCAAGAAACAGCCTCTACTTTCCAAGGTTCTACAGGAGGGGGTCTGTATACGGTGATGAACGAGAACTATTTCTTTCTCACGCCCATAGGGTATAAGGGAATGCAAAACTCAACCCCTATCTCCTTCCATCACACCGACCAAGACGCAATGGCCTCAGACCCGAAACAAATGGACCTGGTGATCGTCGGCGCCGGTACCGCCCATACATACCCTACTCCAGCATCCCACCCTGCCCGCGCCCAGCTATGGTGGACTACCCCTTTCTCCGGGCTGCAAGGCTGGCTCGGCCTCGCCGCCGCAAAGAGCGCACTGGACCTCGATGCCGATATTAAGCCTGTCGTCCTTGGTTCCGCCGGCTCACTGGGTGGAGTCTGTGCAAAGAGCGGCTATATCCAGGGTTACGTACGAATGAACCGGCTCAGGAGCTACGCGTACCGTGATTTTGCGATGCAGGACGCTGTGCCGCACCGAGTGGAAGCTGCTGGACATATAGCTGGACACGCGGTGCATGGGCATCTCAGGGCGTATGCGGAGTGTTTTGGGATTATGGGGAGGAGACGCGTGAAGTGCAGGGTGGACGGGATTGGGTATCGGCAAGAGGGAAGGGGAGGGGGTGAGTTGTTACGTGCACGGCAGCGACAACAACAGAGGGAGAATAGGGAGAGCAGGAGCAGGAGCAGAAGAGCTGGATCCGAACGCCCAAGCTCATCCTCGCGATGGGACTGACATCCCAACCGCGCATCCCGACATTCCCAGGCCAGGACTCAGTCAGCGCCGCTCTTCCGTGTAAAGGAGTTTGCCACGCACCAAGGATCAATCTTGGCCGAGTCTGCCAACCATGTCAACAATAGTGGCCAGCTCTCCTGGCCGATAACAGTCCTCGGCGGAAGCAAATCCGCCTGGGACGCTGTCTACGCCTGCGCATCAACCGGCCACCCCGTCGCCTGGATCATCCGCGCATCAAGCACCGGGCCGGCATCGATATCCCCGGCACCCGTTATAGCCCCCTTGAATATTCTCCTCGAGAGTCTCCCTCTCGTTCGTGTCCTGGGCTGGTTCACCGTGTATCTGGGCAAGGAATCCTATACGCAGCTTTCTGCATGGGATGTAGCTTGGCTGTCTGATTGTGCGGCTTTTGTGGGGGCCTAGAGTGGGATATGCTTAGGGCAACACGGTACGCTGGGCACGGAGAGACAGCGAAGTCGAGGCCGTGGGGGAGTCCGTTTTGGGTTGGGACTGCGGTGGGGATTCTGAATCTTCCGGCTAATTTCTTTGATCTTATACGGGAGTGTTGATGCGGGGGTATGTTGGGGATGTGGAGAAGTTGGAACCGAATACGGTTGATTTGTCCACCGGGGAGAAGATGAATTCGAGGGCGATGATTCTTTGTACGGGGTGGAAAGCGTTGTTTGGGATTTGGTCCTTGCTGGAGGGCATTGAACAGAAGATGGGGTTTCCATGGGCTGCGGGCTCCCTGGACGAGGACCTTATTGAGTAGATTCGCAAAGATATCTACGCGTGCTTCCCCATGCTGAGCTCCTACCTAGACAGCAAGACATATCACGCCAATAATGCCCAGGGCCAAGACGCAAATGAAACTGAAACAGTCCTGCACCCCTTCTGCCTCGCCCGCTTCATTGTCCCACCCGGGCTATGGGACGACCGCTCCATGCCCTTCTGGGCACCGTGACGACCTTCAACACGACTCGGGTTGCCGAGGTGCAGGCTCTCTGGGCGGTAGTGTACCTGAACCACGGTCTCGATCTTGATAAACAAGGCATGGACTCGACACGCCACGAGACGGTTGTGCCGTATCGGCCGGAGGATTATATGGCGTCGGTGGAGGAGTGGAAGGGGAGATCTACATCGCCGGAGGGAAAGAAAGTGAAGAGCAGTTAGTTGTTTTTCGAGGCTCGAGTTTGACAATTGCAGGATACTTCTGAAGTTCGTGTTCATTGGTTTAAGGGCTCTCTGGTACCTCGGGCGAGATCCATGTGCCTAACCCTAACTCAAATCTTATGAATCACATTAAACCCATTCCATCGCTCAATGCAGGACAACGTTGAAGGGGCTGCTTGCATAAGGTGCCCCACACCGAGTTTTCCTCTTAATTTAAACAACACCGGTCGGGTTCATTTTACAGCGGGCTCTTCATGCCACGGAAGCTTGGGGCCTGAGCGGGATGAAACTGACACAAGCCAGGTATGATGCGTTGGTTGACGATAGATACCATAGACGACGTCTCAAACAGTGAGTGGAAACTGGTTCAGCTTGACGTGCGCGTCGATTGGATTTGTCCATAGTATTCCAAGGTTGGCTTTTCCTTGGAAAAGGCTTCGGTGTCCACCTTTACCCCATACAAGCACTACACTCGCAAACTCGTGGAACTAATTGCTGTGAAGAGATGGCAGTCAATGCAGCGGCAGGATCGACAACCTGAACAGCGGGCTTACGGAGTCCATTGCGATAGTTGATCTGATCTTCCGCTGGGTCAATCTCTTTCTATCAGTCCAACTGGTCAGTCAAAGGCCAGAGTTGATACATGACCTGCCTAGCTGTACGTATCCCAACGCTGCTTCGTTCGGCATCCAACTAGGTAGCTAATATCCGCAGCTGGAGCTCGGGCGCGAAGGCTAAACAGCAAGGGATATATGATTGCACTTGGGCAGTGAGATGCAAGCACCTTCAGTGGCGGGTTCGAATTCTTTGCCACTGCAACTACCGTAGGACTCTCTGCGGTCCGATGAGGGAACTGGAGCCCTTAATCTATAGATACCTAGGTAACATCCTCCCGACCGGAATACTTTCAAGCGCTTGGTCAGATCCCGCCAGACAGTCAAGCACTTCAAGCTGCCTAAGTTATAGAGATTGCTGTGGTAGCCGTGCAGGAACGCGCTTTGAGAGACCAGCTTTCATACATGCGATGCTACCTACAGCTTATGGTGCGTCCTCAGCGAAGCTTGCAAACTCCTGGCAGACACCAAATCCCTCTCCAGCTCGGCCGTATTGACAAATGAATTGTCCAACTCGGACAAGTCAACAACCCCCATAAGACGCATGCTCGTCTCGATCTCATCGCTTAGTACTAGCAAGGCATCAGTGTGTGATCAACCGTGGCCTAAGGTGAGTAAACTTACTCTGCAACGCCTTATCCACCCCCTCAGTCCCGTACCCACTGAGCGCATACAAGAACGGCCGACCAAGGCCTACGCCCGTTGCTCCAAGACACAGCGCCTTGATGACGTCCGTGCCGCGCCGAACGCCGCCATCAAGGTATACCTCGACCTTGCCCAGCACCTCCGGACAGAAGATATTGATCTCCAAGAGCGTCGATATCGAGCTGGGCGCATAGTCCAGCTGCCGGCCGCCGTGGTTACTGAGGTAGATCGCATCAACCCCGGCATCAGCCGCCCTCAGCGCATCCTCCGCCGTCTGAATGCCCTTCATGATCAACGGGCCTGGCCCCCAAGCCTCCCGTATCCAGGGTATATCGTCCCACTCCAGCGCAGACGAATGGTACCCGCGCAGGACGGGCTCGTCGCCACCAGGCTCAGCCAGCCGGCGCACCCCTCCCTCTCCCTCTCCCTCCAGCTGCCCTCCATAAATCTCAACCTCCAGCTCAGCCTTGAACCGCTCGTCCGCCTCGCGCTTCCCAAGGACAGGCGTGTCCACTGTCACCACGAGCGCCGCGTACCCAAGGCTCCTCGCCGTGCCGATGACCCCCCGCCCCGCCTCCTTGTCATGCGGGAGATAAAGCTGGAACGCCAGCGCGCCCTGTCCAACCCGCGCGCCAGGATTCACGACCCGTTCCCGTCGTATCTCCTCCGCGATCGCGGCGTGGCTGATGGATGAGTAGCTGGAGGCCGCGTAGACGATGTTATGGCGCGCTGCCGCGCGCGCTAAGCAGAGTTCGCCGTCGCGATGCCCGAGTTTTGCGCGCGCCGTCGGTGCAATGAAGACTGGGATGCTGCTGGCGTGGCCCATGATGTTTCGACGCAGTGAGACTCGAGAGACATTCCGCAGGACCCGTGGGCGGAGCGTTAGCTTGCTCCAGTCGGCTAGGTTCCTGTGCAGGGAGTGCAGGGAGTCCGCGGCGGAGCTGTAATATGCCCAGGCGTTGGGCGCCAGGGTATCCTTTGCGACTGCTTCGAAGTCCGTGAGGTTTTGGATGGTGTGGAGATGGGGGGTTGCGTTCGGTTCTTTGGCCGAGGTACTGGGAGTAGTTTTGGCGTTTGGCTGCCGGTCGCCCGGGACGAATTTGACGGGGCCGAGGTTGCTCTCTATTCTTGGTTAAATAAGGACAGTCTGGAAGAGGCAGGGGATATATAGACTCTTTGGAAGCTCCTCCAACGTCCCCTCCGGATGCGTAGCGTTGAAAACAGCCGTTGCGTTCTTCCCCGCGTATTGCAGGATGGCAGCGGGGCCTCCTGGATGTTCATCGATGAAGCTGGTGACATCGTAGACCTGGCTGTTGATGATGACCCAGCAGGACTGCCGGGAGTTGTGCTGGGCGACCTCTTTAAGGGTGTACATGGCCTGGCGTGGGCTTGCCGTTAGAATCGATTGTTGGAGAAGGTCTGGGAGGGGCAGGTGCTTATTTATAGTTCCAGCTAGGACAGACAAGATGATAAGGACGTTGATCAAGAATGATGATTGGGTGATTGGCCATCCTGGGCCAATATGGCGTTCTCTACTCCAACTCCAGGGTACCTCCAGTGGTGCAAACTCCTGCTTGATTGTCAATGCTAGCCATTAATGAGCCCCAGTACGAAGGGATTTTCCTTCTGATCAAGTGACGTCCTCCGCGGCTGGCAGGAGACGTCCGATAGTACCATAGGTGGTGGTCTTTGCCTCCCGGGTCACCGTAGTAAAATGCAGACAATAAAAGTCGCAGATCGCACAAAGCCAGTTTCCCTTTAGATGTGGCACTGCTAGCTTCTGGCTTCATCGGACCGCTGCAGCTTTAGTGGATGGACCAAGGCTCTAACCCCGGCGAGAGTTAAGTTAAGGCCAGAAGGCGCCAGGACCGCGAGCATGGTCGTTGGTGTGCAGATCAGCATGCTTAGGGCTCGAGAGCCACAGGAAGAGAGGGCCACGAGCGTAGTCCTGTGAGTGAGGTGTGTAACAAAACACCAGCTTTTGCCAGCGTGGACGGTGGAAGGACCGTGTTTCCCACCCGGCCAGAGGCCAAAGAGCAGAGCTGGTACGCGGGAACCAGGACTTGTTCGAGGTGACGCGGAATATGGGACTTCAAGACAACGAATGCAGCAATTAGGCCATCTGGTCGCCAACTTCATATATTGGATACATGGAGCGCGGCCGTTGCCATTACTTGTGGCTTCCTCCCGTGCTCCGAAATAGGTAGGTGTCTAACATACATACATCGCGACACGACAATTAATGAACAGTCCAGCATGGCACTACATTCGCAAGAGCCAAAGCCAGAAGACGACACCAATGGTAGCCGTGCGAAAAAAAAGCCCGCTGCATCTTCAACCAACACGACCTCACTTGTGTGTTGACCCCATGTATACCATGAGAATCGCAGAGTAACTATGGTATAAAACGTCAGTGAGTGCTTCTTAGACAAACAAGACTCCAGAACGTACCCGGCGATGGCGCTGAAAAACTCAATGGTCTTGAGCGAGTCCCGAGTGAGTGCCGTCAACAAGGCCGAGAAGGAGAAGATGAAAACGCTGACCAGCGCCAGCTTGGACAGGAGCTCGTCGAGGTATGCAAGCAGCCAAATGGGCGCTAGGAGGAGGATCAGGCCCAGCGCGACAATCAGCAGCTTGGCGCACAAGTCGATGATCCAGTCTTCTGCGTAAATGACGCTGTCCTCCCCAACATAGTATGGCAATTGGCCTTCGTGATGCCGAGGCCGCCAGAACGGGAGCGAGCGAAACAAACTTGAGTTTACGAGAAGATCGCGCATTGGGTTGGGATCTTTCGGCACGGTCCTGATGAGGTCTTCTTTCTCGAGGTAGCCCCTCTCGTTTTCGTGGATCGTTTGGTCGTTGTTCATCTGCCACTGTTTCAGGGACTCGCGTTCCCTGTCCGTGGTCTCGGCGCAATTCCGGAGGCGGATATACGTGGTGATGTAGGCGTCTGCCAAAAGAATGTGTTAGGATGTGCTGAACGCGGTATCGGAAGGACGCACAATATCTCTCAAGCTTGGCTTTGGCCTTGTGGAGGATGGCCTTGCGATCCTTATACGCTTTGCTGCGAAAGGCACCGTTGTGGGACGCGTTTTGCCGGGGTGGCTTCCGGGCTTCAAGCTCCCGCTCTTCCAGCTGTGCTTCCAGTTCCACGATTTCGTCCTGCAACATAAGCGTTACGTGTGCGTTTAGTCGATCGAATCGCCGGTAGTGGGAAAAGTCTCCATCGGATGAGACGAGCTCAGAGTACCCGCGGTATCCTATAATCCCAATGTCAGTACATGTTGATCAAGCGACAGACACCATCTGGTCAACGAACCGACGAGCTTGTGTGCATGTCTCTCCAGCTCCGCTCGGGTAAACAGAGGCAGAGAAGCCACCTGCGCCGGCGCTGCTTGATCTGCCATGGCGGTTGGCGTGATAGTTCGCTGCGCCTTGGAGTTGATCCTGGGATTTCGATGCTGTAGAGTAATGTGAACCTGAAGAGCAATGCAAAGTCGGGAATGCTAATCACCTGAAGGTGAATCAGGGGGGGAAGGGCTAGGCTGGTGATGGTTACACAAGGTCGTTTAGCTGCTCAGAAGTATGAGACAAAGTGAAGCATCACCAGCTGTAATTTGTCCAGATGCACTCCGCATGTCTTGCTGGACTCTCAGCAGCTCTCACCTAGGACTCCTTTCTCTTCGTCTTACTCTTCCCTTCCTTTTCTCCCCGCGTCCACCTTGGAGCCTTGTGCTCATCCCCCAGAATTCGAAAAGCCTCATCTGGTCCTTGATCTTCGCCCTTGCACTATCTTCCTCTGCAGTAAAGTTCTCATACCATCTTTGACGTGTTTCGGCAGTTTCTTTACCCTGGGCGTGGGTGCCCACCATCCCGCGGTCGCCTCCTCAACCCATTGTCGGGCCACCGACCGTAACTAGATTCGCCTCTTCGCCCTGATTGTCCGCCTCTCCTTCTGCGACCCATCGACCTCCAGCCTGGAGGCTTGTGAGCAATTCTCTGGAGATTCACACAGGCTTGCCCCGCGCTCCCCTCCACCAGCCCTTCCGGCTGCAGTTCATCTTCCTACCAGATAGCGCCTCTCGTCTCACTCGCCGTCATCGTCTAGGCCCAAGCCTCCGGAGCCTTTCTCCGCAATTCACCCAGTGTTTTCCCACGACCCCGTCTACCGCGCCGCTCCGAACCCCACCCGTCGTCCTACCAGCCTTTCGCTATCTCCTCCCTTGACGCCCACGGCAATCGCGATTCAGACGACAATGGCCACCGTCGGCCCCGTCCTGTCAAGAAGCGTCTCGATTATTCCCTTACCCCGTGCGCACAGAAACGACAACGACCGCGGCTTTTCGACAAGAACCGAGCCGCAACCCAGGCAGGCCGATGCCGGCGCAACCGAAGCGGTTGAACCTCCCGACAAAGGGCGGACGTTGTGGTCGGACATTCTCTCCTTCCTGCGCGGGAGATATGGTGTCAGGGGGCTAGCTGGGCATGTCAAGCCCCTCAAGCCGGCAAAGCCGACCAAGAACGGGGATGTCGCACTCGTCGGTACCGATACCTCGCCCGCCTCGACCCAGCCGGCTCCCTCGGATTCGCAAGCCGACCAAACACTGGAAGGCCAGGAAGTGGAACTGGAAGCCGGAGACGACGATGGACGAATGAGCTCAGAGGCGATACGAGGATCCAATGATGGCCCCGCCACTCTCAACGAGATCTGGGAGATGTCATCCCATGTGGGTAGGATGCGGATTTCCTCGGATGTTGAGCGGCTTGTCGATCATTTCGGGCCGGTAGAGCTAACGGAGGACCAATACGCGGAGGTGGATAGAGTGGTAGCGGAGATCCCAAGATATTCCAGGTGGTCAAGGGGCCGGTGGAAAGCGCGGTTGACGATGTCCTTTCGTACGAGGAGTCAGTCGTAAAGCTTGCATAGATAGTCTTCCAATGGCCATGGGTTTCTTGGCCCTTCTGTCGCCTTCTGAGTTCTGTAAAGCGGAGATGTATCCATGTGCCAGAATAGACTGCTGAGAGCCCGGGCGGGCCCTGGCTCGGTTGCAATGCGAAGCCACCATCGAGGATGACGAGGGTGTTGATGAGAGAGGTGAGATCACAGAGTGCGCTGACAAAGGACTGACTAAGGCCGCCTCGGAGTGACTAAGATTGACTAACTAACTTGGGCGGCCTGTAGCCTGAGGCATCATCCGGTCTCTGCTCTGACCGCCTTTGGCCTCTGTGTCCTCCGCATTCTCAAAACACCATCGCCGTCATCTTCCGTCTAGCCTTGAAGACTCCATTCGTTGCCGACTTGTTTGTCCCACCACCAACGGTGCCTTCAAGCACTCTTGGCTCCCACGATAGTTGTTCCCACGGCCCTTCCGCTACCATGCCTCCAGTATCACGCGATGCCCTGACAAAGCAGTTGGGTGCGCAACAATCCCTGGGCGCCCTTTGTGCGTGAAACAAACTGCAAGCCGAATGGGACAGCCTTCTCTTTCAGCCTCTGTCTGTGCTACCACCAGCTAGTTCAATATGGGCAGTGGATAAGCCATCGAAGCGACGCCTCGGGACGATTCCCTCTCCTAGAGGCGACAACTTCCATGGATCCCCCCGACCCATGCGTTTCACCCCTTGAGTCAACGATGAGGCTGTCATTCAGTGTCTGGACAATCTGGGTTGCTTGGTCAAGGCGACCGCCATGGCTTAGTACAACCGCAACCGACCAAAACTCTCGCCGAGGACAAGGGCCGGGTCTCTGAATGGTTTCATGTCATGTGAAGGCCTTTTTGGCAACCTTTGTGGTCTGAATGGCGCCGGTGAGATATAAATCAGCTCAGCGCGACACCATCTCATCGCGGATAAATTAACTATCTTTACCATCATCTTGCTATGATCCCTTCTCAGAGTTGTTCCCATCACACGCCGAACATGTCGACTGATGTCTCATACCCCGGGGTCAAGGCCGTCGCGACAGCAATAGGCCAAGTCCTCAACCGCGCGAAGATTCCCAATCTTTTGTTTGGCTGGACCGCACTCGCTGTTATCCTCGTGGACTTTGGATTCCCCGACATCGACTTTATTATCCCAGACAAGGAGGTCTCGCACGCAATAAAGGCCCTTACAAAAGCCGGATACAAACTCTGCACAAGTCCCGACTGCTCCGAGCGCGATGAAGATCGAGGCGCGCACCTCGGCAAAGCCCTGAACCGTTTCCACCCCGTCCCAGCAGCACACTTTCACATATCCGCAGCTGCTGGTCCAGGATACGTTCTCTCCCTGCTCAAAAAAGACGATATTATCCCGCACCTTCCCAACCTCAAACTCGGTCTCCCTGAACGAAAGGAATACGAGCACCTCACGCTCTCCAACGACCCGCGCCTCCCGCCCCGCGCAGAGGGCGGGCCCTCGGGCCCCTGGTACCGTCTGGACCCAGTCCGGGTGCTGCTTGCTCGGACGCTCACAGAGGCCCTTCTGCTTCTCCGCTGCAGACACATTGACACAAGGCCCGCGCTCGACAATCTCTGGTGCGACATGCTGTGGGAGATCATGAAGGCGAACCTCTTGATCACCGGGTTCTCTCATGAATTCGATCACCCGCCCAAGGGGTATCTGTACCTTTTCTGGCGCAACTATATAATCGCCACGCGAATCGCGGATACCACGCCCGAGAACAGCGTCGCCCGGAAGCAGAAGAGTGATGCTGAAGTGCGGCAGTTTCGGGCTTATCTGATTGCGGATGGTAAGGACCCCAGTGACAAGTATAGTTGGCTGCGGAAGAAGACCGGGAACTATGCCTAATTATCGGCTTCCCTCGGTCAATGCTACAAAATAGATGTCCGGCTGGCCCATGGTGAGCAATTCTGTTCTTTTGTACCATGCCTACTCTAGGCAGTGGCCGTTCCTGTCTTTACTGGTTCTTTTGCGTTGCTTTTTCATTTTTTTTTTTTTCGTTTGTGGCTCGGCTTTTAAGATTGCCGACCCATCAATGTGCCGTACTGTCTGTTTTGTTTTGTCTGCCATACCTAGATACCAATACCATTGTTATTGTAAATCAACAAGCTCGGCGGGTCTAGGGCAACTGTATTCCTAGTGAACATTCTCAGGGACATGTTAGCACTCCCATGATATTGTGGGCCCTTTTCCTGCTCTTGACACTATACTGTTATCCGCCCTGCAATTCCAACACCCTTCTTGAATTCCGAAGGGCTTCTTTTCCCTGATCACCCTCCTGTGTTCTACATCCACCTGCGCATAATTATCATCTTACCTCTCTCCGAAACGCTGCTAGGCCCCGATTCTATCATGATTGGCGCAGGTTCGGCGCATGTTTAAGGGTTTCAAATAGTGTAGAACACTAGTTGATTATTCACTCAACGGTAGATGCGATTGTATTACAAAGGGGATATGCCATTCACTTCCAGAGACACGGCAATCTGTGCCTACAACTCTGGTGGTAGGATGTGCCATGGCGACTTGAGGAGTTGCATATACATGTGGCAGACCCTTGACCTTGCGTTCAAGTAAGCCTTCTTGCACCCTGACCCCCCCTTCCACACCAAGGAATCTCCGCGCAGCGTCCACATCTCAATGGGAGAATATAAACCGTTCAAAGGTCGTGCCGTCGCCCTTGTACCCTATCTTACATCCCATGTCTTCCGAATATCCCTGCTCACAGCATCCCCTCAAACCACTGTGTCAACGACATGGCAAATAGGCACGTATTGTCTGCAGCTGCTTTCCTTCTTTTTAGATGCGAGTATGGACCCTCTCAGCTGGACGAAGAAGGTACGCTCGCTTTACGGTATCAGAACGCATTCATTACCTGCACTGGAAGCAGACCGGGGGCGAGAGGATCTTACGCTAGAATAGACGTTGGGGCAATCTCGAGTGACTTGACGGAGAATATCTGGTCTTTTTTGGCACGATATCGTATACGGCGTTGCTGTGGCCGTAGACTGGGATCCTGTCTTGTTCGGCCATGGCGTCCTCGCTGGGGAGCGATTCTTCCTGTGCGAGGACAGCTAGCGCGGCGCTGCAAAGGGGCAGCAGTTGCGGAAGAATAGGGTTTATTTCATGGCCTGGGAGTCGTGCGCATTAGTATGTCATAGCTTATGGTGAGTGACCAACGGGGGAATGATGAGAATGCCTAGACTAGCCACGGCGCTCCAAACACTCTGGGGTCCGGAGTGAGGTCTGTTTCACGGTCTTCCGCCGTTGGATGTGGCATTGCGTCTGGCTAGCCTCGCACTTGAAGAGGCGCGTCCAGACGGCGCAGCCCTAACGCCTTCCAGGATGATCGATCTCGCTTCGGAGATCGTAGCGTGGCCCTCTAGCTTAGCCCCATATGCTTTGAGATTGCTGGTCAGTTGTTATGACTGAAAAGGCGCTTTTTTAGGGTAGATCCCCTTTCTACGTTCGCAAATCAACTAACAACTGTATCAACTGTCGACAGGGTTCCTTCTTTCCTTCACTGGCAACCAGTTCTGCTAGGACCTCTGAGATTGGGTTGTCTACTTAGGTACCCTGGCACTATTACCTGGTTCAAATTGGATAGCAGTGGCGCCCCCGACGGCTGTTCTTGATAACCCTCAGTACCATCCCACTGCTTCGTTGGATATCTACATATTCCCAGCTAGGCTCCACGGACAACACTAATATTGAGAATCGGAGCTTCATCGGGCTTTCAATACATGATCAAGACATATTTGCTACGCCAAGCTGTGAGCGAGATCCATCGCTGCTTGTGGTCAAAATATTCAGAATGTACAGCTATCTTCTTATAGTGGCGCCTACCAGACGTGCCCCTTCACATCCGCCTCCGTAACTGACACTCCGGGCAATATGATTCTTCATGACTCCAGTTCTGTGTCTTTAGAAACATCCCAGCCAAACAGACAGGCACAAGCAAGACGCCCTGCCTAGGCCATACTATGGAATATGTTTAAGGGTACCGCCACTGGGCTGCCTTCAAGCTTAATGGTTTAATCTGAACATATTGTAACTTCGGGCGCTTCCTAAGTTTGAGAACTTGAAGGGGAATAAAGCCCAACGTGTCACAGACCAGGGGAGAGGAGGGGATGCGGTAGACGAGAAAAAAGAATGGCGGGTGCCATTCTCAAGTGTACATATTAGACTTTGACCTGAGTACTATGTTATTGGAGACCCCGCAAGCCAATACGCACATTGCAAGGACATCCTCTGGTGTCCAGTCATATATGTGCTTAACCCCTGCACCCTGGCCGCTCAATCACGACCCTCCTCTAGTGTAACCACCTTGAACATAGGGTTGGTGTCCTTCCAGATACCCCCGTCCTATTCAGGATCAGTACCAAACCTGAAAAGGCGTAGTTGGTACACAGATAGCTATACGCCAGCTCTTTCTCAACAAGCCCCATCCAGCAGAAGAGGCCATAGCGCACCACTTCGTCTGCCCCCTGGGACTTCGTTGCTGAGTCTACGAAACTTCAGCACCGCATTCAATCCTTGCACCGGGAAGATCCCAAGCGTTGAGCGAGAAGGGGTGGGATTTATCTTTCAGCCAGCCTCATAACCCCACAAGTCCTATGATCACTGCCCAGATGCAGTTGGTACATGGACCATGTTCGCGAGGAGAGCGAACACCCCCCTTGGCACCCTGACCCCTCTCCCAGCGGCCAATGAGGTAAGCGTGCCAGGCCTGACATGCAGATACTTCTGCGATGCTTCGCGTGACTTGAATCCCATGAACCTCGGACGGCGAATGGGGAGGCCTCGGACGGACAGGGGTGCGCTTCAGCCAGCCAGCTCTCTTCCCCTCTCGTAAACGAACATGGGGCAACAACGGCGGTCGGAATGGCAATTTCTGTGTGGAAGTGAGGCCATAAAGAGCGTCGATTCCCCAGCAGTGCACTGGATGAATTCAATCAGATCCCGAACTCAAAGAAATTTGCCATCACTTGGAAAGCCGCCGAATCCCTCGAAGAACTCATTCCATAACCCAATAAGCACCATGAAGCTCCTTTCTCTCTTGACCCTTGCTGTCTGCGCGATCCTCCCGATTGGTAAGACTCTTCCATAATTTGGCGTACGTATCCTCGGTTTATTGTCCCTAATCGAGTTCAAACCTTCCAGCTGCGCAGGATATTCAGGTCAGACGCGCCCTCGTCCAGTGTACCAGGCGCCGCGACTATAGAACATTCAGCCAGTGTATCAGCGATCGTGAGTTGGCCATTCTGAGTTGCATTGTTCTTCTGTTTTTTCTTTTGAACATCAATTGCTAATCTGTCCGTTCCTCGCCTGGTTCGTCCTCGTCGTAGATCGTCTCTATGGCCTTGAACTTGACGGGCTGCTTGACTTGGTTGACCAGGAAGACCTTTAAAGGACTCCAGAACAAGATATCTATCGTGGAAGGCAGAACGGCGGCTTAGAAGAACGAAATGGTCGAGTGATCGCTGCTGGTTTGGGGTATTTCGGACTGAGATTTTCGCGAGATTAGGGCAGCGGGATAGCTATTGATTTGAGAACAATCGAGTGCAATCTGTGTCCACGGCTGTGTCGAGACGCCTTGGTCCGCGTAGATGTAGTCGCCCTCGCGAGATCGAAGCAGATCTAAATGTACCTTGGGGGAGTCAGCCTTTCAAAACACAAAAAGTAGTAGACATCTGCTTGAGCTCCTTAACGGACTCTGGTCCTTCTGCATGAAAAGCTCCCGAACCTTATCCGTCTTCTTAAAAGTATCCTCATTGAGCAGCCCCTTGTTTAGCAGAACAAGCCTCTCCCTTAAATGCTCGAGGTTCCTAGCACTAACGATCGCTTTGTCCCCGTGCTTCCCATCAAGCGCCGAGTTATTCACAACCCACCAATACACCAGCTCAACCTTCGATATCCCAGTCTCCTGCAAGAGCGCCTCCCACCGCCTCAACGCCTCAACTATACTCCGCTTGAAGAGCTGTCGGTCCAGAGCCCCGATCCTGATATTCGGATCCGACCGGCCCCTCTTGATCTTCTCGACGTGGTCCGCGTCTTTGGTTAATACCTAGACCTCCGGCAAAGGGCGAGAACGCGTGGTACTTAATACCGTGCTCCCGGAGGGGCGGGAGAAGGTCCTTCTCGGCGTGGGTCTTTGCGGCGTCCAGCTCGTGGAGGAATTTCTCGCAGTCCTGCTAGACCTTCGCGTTGTCGATTATCTTGACGCCTGCGGCCTCGAGGAGGGCGAGCGCTTCCCTGTTGCCCTCGAGGATTCCGTAGTCGGGATCATCATGAACCAGCCGCCTCCGAAGATGAGTGCGGTGTGAGACATGTTGAGACATGTGGTATTCTGTTGGAGAAACAGAACAGAGATGGTGTAAGATTCTGCTTTGTACCTATGAATATACCCCGGCCTTGCCAGTAGTGCGGGCAGGCTTTGCCAACCCGGGCCTCGTCCGTTCCATGTCTCGGATACCTACTGAAAGGTCAGTGCGTGAGTTTCCGGGCTATGGTTCACTCGCCATCGTCCGTGACATTTGTGCAACTCCGCTGTAGTCGGATTTCAAATAGAGCCAATGCTCAACTTGGCATGGTGTGGAGATAATACGCCCGCACCCTATAACGCCCGGAGTTTATCTACGCCTAAGCTGAGATTAGCCTTATTCTCGGAACTCTTGTATAGGGATTTAGTGGCAGGCTGTTGAGACATCCACTCATTCAGACAAAGCCCAAGGCGGGTCCAAAACCCTAAATGGATCCGTACGAAACCCGACCATCCACGCCGAGTCCAGCCAAGACAACCCTTAAGTTTCGAGTGATTGTCTTCTGTGCGTTTGCTTGTCTCGGGACGGGGTCTTACTCACTCACCCAGACTACGCCTGTGTGCCTGGCCCGACTTTGGATAAGAGAATGTATCATGACACTCCACAAAGTAGAGCGGACTTCAACTCGCCTCATCACATTGTTGCAACTCAGCACCAGTACTCCCCATCCGAGTGGTACGACATCCTTGCCCTTTCTGCTGGCGGTATTCGCATACATGCACATCCGCTGCAATGACGCGTCTCCCTTTACCTAAGCGATACCAAAGCGCGGGATTGAAAGCCGCGTAGAGTTGGTAAACTGCACCCAAATCCCTCACTTTCACGGTTGAGAATATCCGTTTGCATACCTAGGTAGCTTGTGCATACCTAGGGAGCTTGGTACTGATGTTATCCTTGCAAAGCAACCCTATGACTTCGTTGGCCATGGTTAGGTTCTGTTCGCTTGTAGGCCTCCAGGTAACATGAAAGGTCTCGGTATTGCATTTAAATGACTACCATTGCAATATGTATTGTGAGCTTTTTTGGTTGCATTAAAGAGCAGGCGCCTGAGAGATTGGCTCTCTATACTGTTTAGTATTCTGGCCATCCGAGGCTGAGTCCGCCTCTCTGTTTTCCAGTGCAGGTTGCAGTCCTTGGACTTATAACGTTCAAGGCCCCTACGCTCCTCCTTGGTAGCCACCACGTACGCGATCTGCTGTACCATCCATTCGATGTTATCTCTGTCGCGCGTTGAACAATCCAGTTCCGGGCACGAGGTCAGCTGCCGTACCCCAATTCAGACCTCCATTCAGGAGCTACTACGCTGCCGTGACTTGATATCGGTCCTAACCCACGGCAACTCATCCATCAACATAGCTGGAATGGTTGGATTCCGCTGGTCTGTCGAGGGATTAGGGCCCCAAACGTTGCACTCGTCCTTTACATGCCTCCGATCTTTACGCAGTGTGTCATGCGGAGGAACTGCTCTGCGCAACGACGCCCTGTCTCTACCTCCCAAATCCATAGCGCCACCGGTGTCATCAGCCGCTTGTCCCGAATTCCGAAATGCAATCGTTTCATCCATTGTCCATTCGGTTTCCTGAAACCTTGAACGAATACACTTTTCATAGACTGAGTACAGAGCACACCCACCCCCATCGCCACAGCAGCTTTCCGACTCTATATCTTACCTGAAGAGCAAATCGATTAGATGCCCGAGAAGGGAAGCAGACGTTTGCCCCAGTGGCCGAATTGAAGTGGGGGCATAAACGCTGCGCTCTGCGTGGCGACCCCATCCACAAGTTGGGGTTGGACGCAAAGCCGTTTTTGTCACGGTAGGCATCGCGATCCAAAGGTCCGTATGGATGCAACCTTGGAAAGCGTGGGGGTTACTGATGAAATCTAGACATATCCCTGCTCAAGGTCACAGCAATGCATCATCGCGCAGACTATCTGCGCGGACAGAATGCAACCCACGTATATCGGGCTTAGCATGAACGCCCCCAATGCCATGACCTCGGCAGACCTTCCTTCTGTGCCGGCTTTAATGCAAAGAACATCCTCTCCATCCCTGCGGGCATGGGGCAGATGGTGCAGGTGGACTCGGATTATCAGATTCCCGTCCATGGATATTGCACTCATGCGCCCGGCACGCATGCACGTCTATCCGCCCACTTGTGGATGGGGTTGGTAATAGTGCAAGGCCACCGACTTCCCACCACCCCCGTGAATTTCGCAATTCGCATGTCCGGTTGCCCATGCAAAGCCACGGCTATCTTCTCCGAGGATACTTGGATAGCCGGTCTCGGTTGAGGAAGCATCGCCTCGCAGATCCGGAAAGAAAAATGCGCTCTCACCTCTCCGCAGACTCTGTTGGGATTAGGAGGAACTTAAAAGGAGTATATTCTTTGCGCGTGGGGGGGTGGCGGGGGCGCATGGTCTTCCTCTACCGGCATCATCCTGGAATCGGCGTGAATAAATGTCTACTCCGAGTAAAGTGGTCCACTGCGAAGGCATCACGTTTCAGGTGCTTACTCTGCCTCAGCTCTAGATCTACATACATGTTGTTTCTAGATGTGTTATACCATTTTGAGCATTATCACATCAGCTGTTAGGGTGGCACTTACGGGGTGTGATATCGTGGACTTTACCTTAGAGAACGTCCCCAACTCCATCTTGGTACTTATGCCCCAACACCGCCCATTTGACTTCTGCAGACTCATCGCCGGCTCATTTCCCGAGTGGACCCAAGTGCCGGATTATCTGCGAATGGTGTCGGGCAATTTGATACATCACATTCCACACATCACTGCTAGGCGCCAGGCCCAACCCAGTGGATTGATCCACTGTGATGGGAAGCCTAGATCTTGGTTTCCATTGGGATTTGCACAGGTGGGCCTCGGGCTCCAGCGACAGTCGGTTGTCCCCCGATCCCCGGTGTCAAGTGTCAACCCAGCAGATGGACGGGTGAGTGGTGTTTTGAGTGTGGTGAAACGTGGATTGCTCGTTGCCTCATGGTGTTTTGGGTGTCTTGGGACGACATATAACTCTACATTGATTTAATGGATGGATGGATGGCACTGACGGGACACGAGAAAGCTCCTAGTGAAGAAAAACCCCCCTGCCGCCATGGTGCCCAACCTAACGCATGCAGCCCGAATACCTGGAAACAAACAACCCCTTGGCAGCGCCAATCGCCTCTCCAACCCTCCGTCATCTTCTCTCCCGGATCAATAGTTCATGCACAAACGCACGCCGTCGGGTCCATGTCCGACTCCGTGGAGCACTGGCAGATTCTGCAGCTGAAGCTCTAGCCAGGTGCCAGCCCCTGCTCTACCTATCACATCGCTCCACCGACTCGTCAGGCCGCTGGACCGGGCCATTGGCTGTGCACTTGACGAGTAGCATCGTTGAATCCTCGAATTTCGACACGGAGTTTGCGGTACCGGGTCATGGGGAGGGGGATCCATTTCCGGGCCAGTCGGGGCATGCGCAGCGAGGACGGCGTTGGCAGATGCAACAGATCGGCGGATCTGACTGGGCCAGATCGCGAGATCTCCGGGTTCTGCAGACGGCGTCCGGCCAGTCGGGAGTTGGATTTGCGGCGGTGTGAAGTGTGGCGTTGGACAGGGATTCGCTGTTTGCTGCATGGGCTGGCTGGTTTGTTGGGTTGTTTGCGCGCAATGGGGTTCTTCGTTGGTTCGTCAGGATCGACAATTGCATTGTTCTGCCTTGTAGGCTGCCTTCTGTTGGCTTGTGGGTTTCAGTGATGAGATGGTGGGGGCTTCCTTTCGTTTCACGTGTCGAAGTGACCTATATAAACCCGGCCCTACTCCTCTTCTGTGAGAATGGCAGATCTCCAATTCTCTATACCCAGGACCGGTTCCTATCCTCGCACTCCATTACTTTCACACATCCAGGATGACTTGCATTCCAGCCTCAACAATGGACCTCCTCTCCAGACTCACCTTCACCCTGGCCACGCTCTCCAGCGTGTACTTCATCCGCCGCGCAAACAGCGACCCGAACCCCTCGCCGCCGCCGAAAACAAACACGTTCCAAAAGAAAGACTTCCTCATGACAGCCGGCAACGAGGTCACCATGCGCCGACACCTCAACTTCATCACGGCCGTCGGTCTCGCACACGCCGTCCTCGCCGGCCTCCCCGAGCCCCAGCGCCCGTCGATGTGTCCTGCATACAACGACCCCTCCGTCGACAGCGGGCTGTTCTCCTGGAACAAATACACACTCTCCGTTCTGGCGGTCTTGACGTCGGCAGGCCTCCTCCGTCTCGCTGCGTACGCCAACCTCGGGTCCTCATTCACATTCAATATCACGAAGCCGAGCTCCGGGTTGAAGACGACGGGGGTTCATCGATACGTGCGCCATCCGTCATACACGGCGATCATGGCCATTGCCATTGCGATGGTGATGCTGTTTTTCCGGGACGGCGGGTTACTGGGTTGTTGGTTCGGTCCTCAGGTCGCCAGGATTGTCGACAAGGCTGCGCTGCTCTGGGCTTTTGGGGTCAGTCCGGCGCTGTTTTGGGCGAGGGTGACGCAGGAGGAGGAGTTTCTGGTCAAGACATTTGGACGGGAGTATGAGGCGTACAGTGCCAGGACGAAGCGGTTTATTCCGTTTGTTTTTTAGTCTCTTTGGTTGATTACCTGTGCTTAGCTGAATACATAGACATAGACATAGCTCGCAAGTGCATCTCTCTTTATTTTGTTCAAGGCAATATCAATTGGATTTTCAGGAGTTGAACCCCTGTATTGGAAAACGTGAACTGTACACTGACTCCCCGACCGTATTGGGCTAGGAAGTGAGGCAGATGTATTAAAGCCCTGCACCTGGAGTACCTAACGGTGCGCCTGCAGGGGTAGCCCTGCCCTCAGCCGTGGTTACACGGCGCGTGGCCAACACAACGTGGCTCGCTCCCTGCTCACCCAACTCGATTGTCGATGAACGTACCTGCCAACGAGGATTGGTTGATCTCGTCGAAGCATATCGGCTTCGGAACTCATATGCTGACTTTGCGATTGGCCACGTTTCAGGCCCAAACCAAATCGGCTGATTGTTGATTACTACTTGGAGACAGGGAGTGCTCAAGACGGTCATTCTAAGCCTGACGCTTGCTCAATAGAAGCCGCTACAGCACAGGCATTACATCAAGGGTTTTGAGATTTGGACATCAAAGCGTGGTTCTGTTTTCATTTGCTTGTCCATCATCGCCCTAATCCTAGCTGATTGGGCCTTTTGGAGCTGTAATTGGTCGGCGAAAAACGCTGGGTAGCTATCATTGTCTACCAGTCAGCGTTGTTTGCCTTGGTTGTGGCACTTAGCTTCTGGTGCGGAGAGACTAATTAGAATCACCATTAGCATACGGACCTGCTGTCCACATGGCTCCGGTAAATATGGACAAGCGCTCCCTATGGGTGTACGTGGGCGCGCCAGAAAGCTATTCCAACCCCCGGAAGGGCCTCACAGCACGTATGTCCCGAAACCTTGACGCCCCGTCTCCGGTCTACTATATGATCCATATCATACCTAACAAGCTCCAACGAATTTGGCCCTTCCATGTCTCGCTCGGTGAAGCACCCGAATGTCTGGGGAACTCCCGCCTGCACAACTCCTATGTCCTCCTTTGGGCCAATGTCATTGATGGAGCACCATGGTACGAGCAACCGTGCCCTTCCATTTCTCGATATTTCCGCGACAACGCGTGAGCAGTGTTGGGTAGCATGAAACAACCACCTGTACAGTTTCCGCCGGGACATTTGTGCTCCGACTACAAGGCAACAGCTTAGTATAGTACTGGTTCTCAGTGGTGAGGGGGTGATGAAATTCTATCAGTCGTACCTGGAAATAAATAATATCTCCCTTGTTTATTCCCTCGTCTTGCTCCCATATATATTCCGGCTTCTCCGGGTTAGTATGCCTTCACCGAAATACATGACGTCCAGCGAGCGGGTAAGAATCTCACCACAGAGAGAAAGCGCGACAATTTGCAAGAGTTCAAAGACACCATCATAGCGCAAGTCATCTTACAACGCACATGAATATATGTCTTGGTTTTATTTCTTCCATTCGTGCCGCGGCCGCTCCGCAGCGCCGACAATGCGGGCAAATAGAAATGCATCGTGGTAGGTGTACTAAGAGATCGAACGCATGCCATTTGGTGTTATTTAAATGGTTGTCTATGGATAATTCCTGAAATACATTTGGATGATGCCTTTCCGCCTATTTCTATTTCGTTAGGGCACGGGCGGGGGCCAGAACCATCCATACGCCGAATTGATCCGTGGGACGCCTGCCATATTGGCATCTCACAGATATGAGGAGCGCATATCATGAAACATCTACAACCAAGATTTCGTTATTCCAAGAGACGGTACTTTATCAGCTCGTGCGAAGCTTGCGTTCCATAGGCTGGATCGTCTAGAAAAGGCTCGTAAGCGGGGCCGCATGTCAACTCCTTCAACATGAGTCAGGACAGGCTACCATGTTATTATGTGCATGGTCTGAAATGCCAGCTTCAATGATCAAGCACGCTAGCGGGCCTCAGCCGCACCTACCTAAGTCAAATCAGGGCAAGAATCAATATAATGAGCATCAGCTGAAATGCCGACGCGCGGACACCCAAAACGACCATCCCGCCGTTGGCTGGTTCAGGAATATGGTGGAGTCAGCGTAGTCTTATTATAACCACATGATTTATAATAGCATTATAATAACGCGATAAGTAATTATAATATTATAGTATTTTTTAAAATTTATATGCATAATTAATATAAAAAGATATTAATAAAATATAATTACTTATTAAAAATATATTATATATTATTTTAGTTTAAAAATTTATTTTAAATTATATTTTTAATAATATATTAGCTAAGTGCAAGCTATATTTTTATATTTTTTATTTATTTTTAATAAAAATATATAAATATACGGCTAGATATACTTTTTAAAAGGGTAATAATAAATTATAATAAATATATAATAAGATTTTTAATATATACTTTTTTAGTTATAAATTTAGCTTATAAATATAAATTTTTTTTATTATTTTATACTATTAAAAGGCCGGTTTGCCGGCTGTATTTTATTTATTTTATATAAAAAAAATAACCTAGAGAATATTAGCTTTAATAAATATTAAAAAAAAAATTAAGCTATAAATTAAAAAAATAATATTTACCTTTAAAATACTTATAAAATAACAAAAGTTATTATAAAAAAAAGTTAAACTTAATTATTAATATTTATATAATTAAAGGCACTGTCACCCGCAACCCTTTTTTTAGTTTTAATTATTTTTTTATTATTTTTATTTTTTAGCTTATTATTTTTATTATTTTTAAAATATTTTACTTCCACCCCGGCGTCGCGAGCGTGAGGTATAAATAATATTAATTATTAAATATATAAAATTATTTAACTTCCCGGCCTGTTTTACTTAGTAATAATAAACTTATAAATATAAATACTTATAAAAATAAGTATTATTATTAAAGGAAGGTATATTTTAGGGTAATTTAAATTATATATATATATTTTTATATATAACTTTTAATTTATAAATAAACTAGGTAAAGTACTAGTATACTTAAGGTAATATTAAATAATATTTATAAAAGTTTATTACTAAAAGTATTTTTATACGCTTTTATATTTATAAAGGTTTTTAATATAAGTTAAACTAAAATAATATATAATTTAATTATATATATAATAATTAAAGTATTAAATTATATATAATAATATAAAGTATTTTATAGTTATTACTTTTATTAATATAAAACATGTAAAATAAATAGTTTCTAAAAGTTAAATAAAATTATTTAATATAATAAATTTATTTAAAAAAATATAATATATTATTTTTAGGATTAGCCAGCCGGAAAAAATATTAATATTAATAATAAGTATAAGTAAAGGGTTTTATAAAGCTAGATAAATATAAAAAAATATATTAGCTTTATTATTTTATTTTTTAAAATTATATTTTATTATAAGAATTTAATTACTAGTATTTAAAAGAAAGTTTGGGTTATTTAAAGGGCTAGTAGCTTTATAATTAATAATAATTAAAAAAAACTTAAAAGTAATATTAAATAATATAGTGTTAAACTAGGGAAAAAAAATAGTAATTAATAAAAAAGTTTATACTTTAGGTAAAAATAGTATTAAATAATATTATTTTTTTATTTAAGAAAGTTTTTTTAACTTTAAGTAGTCTAGGTAATAGTATTTTTTTAAAGCTTAATTAATAGTAATGTTTTTTTAATAACGCTAGGCGGCTATTTAAATAATAAGGTTAATATATTATAAGTTAATGGCATGGTTACTATTATTTAAAGGTAGATTATTATAAAGTAAAGGATTTTAATAAATATAAATAGTTATTTTTAAAAGATAAAGCTAAAGGCAGCGGGTGTGTTAAAATAAAAAAAATAGGTAAATTATAAAAACTAAAGGTAAATAAAAAATATTATAATATTTTAATTTAAAATAATTAAATTTTTATTACTAAATATAAGTTCCCTAGATTTATTATAAATAATTTTATAATTATAAATTAGCTTTTTATTATAAATAAACATTATAAAAATTAAAATTTATAAAAATAGACCTTACCTTTAGCCTAAAGGCATTTAATTTATATAGGTATATAATTAGTACTTAAAAATAGTATAATTATTTATTAACCTAATATTAATCCTGTCCTAATATTATATAATATTATTAAATATTAATAACTAAAGCAACCTTAAAAAAATTATTATATAAATATATTATAATATAAAAAAATACTAGTAGTAGCAGGGGCATAGTTTATAGTAATAAAAAAAATAAAAAATATATTTTAGTATTTTTTAGCTATTAATTTTAATATTTTTTTAAAAAAATAATTAAAAAATACTTTGTTGCTAGGGGCGGGATATTTTTTTACTTTTATTTTTTATTAAGTTATTTACTAAATAATAGCTTTTTAAAATAACTTTTATTTAAATTAATATATTTTTTATTTATTACTAGGTAATTTTAAAAGTTTAGTAGCTTTTTTTATGCAGCTACTAAAATTTAATTATTAATATTATATAAATTATTATAAAGCTTTATTTCCGCGGCTAAATATATATAAATATCTAAATAATAATTAATTTATATGCAGGATAGGACAGCAGTAATACTAAAAACTTATACTTAATAAAAAATTAACTATACTTTAAAAACTTATTATAGTTAATAAAATTTTATAACTAGTACTATATTTAAAAAAAACAGGGGTAAAAAAGGCTTTAAAAAATAGTTAACTAGCTTTTGCTTTACCTAAGGGGTATTATTAATAAGGTTAAAATAAAAAATAATAGGTTACTTTACACGTGTTTTTATTTTTATTAATTTAATATAATTTTAGCTAGGTTAATTAAACTATAATAATATTAAAAATAGCTTAAAGTACTTACAAGTATCCGCTTTAGTATTTATAACTTTTAATTATAATATATATTATAATAATATAAAAATATATTAATAAAATTAAAGCTTTTTTTATTAGTTAAAGTAAGCTTTTTATAAATAATAATATTTAGTCTAGTATTATAATAAAACTAAATAAAATAAAGTTATTAAAGTTAATATAT